TCTTTAGCTGTTTAAACTGAAATTTCAAACCCTCGAGTTTTAGACAAGCCCAAACAAACAAGCTTTGAACTTGTTCTGTCATTGCTATTTTTTGTTGTTGTTGATAAACCTGTAATTGCTATTATGTGTCTGTAATGTTCATTGAAAAGCAAGAACAGTGAAGCCACCATTTGATTGTAGACTGATATGCCTACAGTACGTTGATGGTGGTGTGAGTTTCTTTTCTTGTCTGGAAGATGAACATGTTTTTATTTGACCTGGTTATTCAATTCAACTTTAGCTTCAGTTATTGATTCCTGTTGTTTTTTTTTTTTTTTTTTTTTTTGCAAATGCATATAAGTATTGCTTCTTCATTGTGTCTGAACATGTTAATTGTTAGCACATATGGTGTCTTATTGGATGAATGGCATAGAGTGCTTGGAGTTGCTTTTGCTACATTCTACTTGTATCCTTTTAGGTAAATGTTGGAAATGATGCAGAGAGTGATCTTAGTTGTCTAGTTGGAAACAAGATGTTGGTACTGAAGTACTATGGGTTGAACATGATGGTATATGACAAGAAAGATCTCCTTGAACATGACAGGATAATGCATGGCCCAGAATGAGGTTTTTGTTACTAGCCAGATGAGTTATTAGAACTCCTATTAAAGCACATGACTTGATGTTGGGACTCTGCCTCACATTGATGAACCCACTGTTCAAGCACAATCATCTATTCATCGTTTATCTGGTTGCTACCTGCCCGTGCTTTTCTTAAGCTGTTGTGCAAGAGCTGCTCTCTGGATATACCTGTCCATGGGATCTTAAATATCATGCGCAGGTCTACCAAGAGTACAAACCAGATCTTGCCCAAGAACGGTTCTAGGATTCCTGCGCTACCCTGCAAATGAATGCATGGGAATCTTCTTAGCTCAACTGGACTTCCTCAGATTCTGTGAGGTTTGAAGGTATGATGACTTTTCCGTTGTTTTGATATATTGAGCCTGTAGGCTGAACTGTACATCGGTGCTAGAGTAAATGTAAGCAGCCCATGAAGATACCAAAACCTATGAAGCAGCCCATTTATGTATATTACCAGCTCGACAACTTTTACCAAAACCACCGCAGTTGAGTCTCTCAAGCTCAACATTATGATTTGGAATAAGTAATCCAGAAAGTCGTGAACGCAGTTTCAATTGAGTAGTTGTGGCGCCGGACTTTGAACCTCAAGATCCTGGTTTCAAGGTTCTAGTGTAGTATTGTTTCCTTGCTTTAGCTTGCTAGTATTTTTGCACTTCAGGTATGTGAGGAGTCGAACGATGTACAACTACTGAGCAAATAACACGAAGATGTGGTGTCGACATGCAAACCAGAAGACAGCGTGGATGGAAAACCAATCGTTCCATGTTGCCTCATCGCTTGGAGTTTGTTCAATGACACTTACATTTTCACCATCTCCAGCAAGAAGAAGGTTCTGAATGTCAATAAGAAGGGCATTGCATGGACGAGCGACAAAGAACACAAATTTGGTTCTGATGTGTACCCTAAGAACTTCCAGAACAGTGGCTTGATTGGAGGTGGAAAGAAGATCTATCGGCGTGGATGCGAACAGCAGCACTACTGCCGACGTTTAGGAAACTGTATGGAAGAATCGAGGAGGATCTTGAGGCGAACGATCAGATAGAAGTTGCGATTCAGAACAACTATAACTCGTATGGTTATGGAAGGAAGAAGATGTTGATCCTCTCCACGAACACTTGGATCGAGGGAAGGAATGATTTTCTTGGGGCTGTGTACCTCGCCATTGGTGGAATCTGCTTCTTCTTGGCCATCACCTTCATCCTTATTTACTTGCTCAAAGTACAGGTAAGTTAGAACAACCTTTTAGAACCAATCCAACTAGAATGTGTAGTGTTTAGTGTATCCATAACTGTGATTTGCGTGTTCCCTTTTTGGCAGGCCATTTGGTAATCCATCTTCACTTGTCTTGGAACAAAAATCCAGGTAGCATCCACTGATCGAATGTTACCGATTTTGGAATCTAGTTATTGTTTCGAATTGATTTGTCATGATGATGAGATTGATTGAATAGAACGAGATTCATTGTATTCTTTAGAAAACTAAATTAGGTTCTCTTGTTAGTGTTTACGATCACTTTTGTGCATTTTTCATCAAAACATTATTCTTATGCTTCATTCCCAACCATCACAGATTCGGACAATTTTCTCGAAATGTTATTTTCTTTCGATTTTGAAAGTTACAGATCATGGATTCAGTCCGAGGCTATTCTACACGAATAATGAAGTCATTAATTCTATTATCCACCGATGATTACGGCTATTAAGCACCGATTCGGGCGAATTCATTTTCGGATGGTATTTCATAAATTTTTTATCATTTTTTTTCTGAAAAATCATTTTACTTGGATTTTGAAGGCTACAGATCACGGATTCGGTTTAAGGCTATTCTTCAACGATGATCAAATCCATTAAGTATCGATTTGGGCGAATTTCTGTCGGATCCATTTTTGACAGACTCCAAAGTGGTATCATCACAGGTTTCAAGCGATTTACCTGAAATGCCATTTTCTTTCGATTTTGTAGGCTACAAATCGCGGATTCAGCCCGAGGTTATTTTTCACCGATAATGAAGTCTATTGGTCCTATTCTCCACCGATGATTACAATAACTGCTGATTCCATAAAAATGGGATGATAGGTCGCGCAATATTCATATATTCTGTGATAAATTAGCTAACAAAGTCGTAAGACCATGTATGGGGGCTGACGTCTGCCCAGTGCCGGAAGGTCAAAGAAGTTGGTGACCAGATGGCAGGGTAGCAGGCGACCGAAGCATATCGTGTATTTGTCTTATGACTTGAATCATGACTAGTTGATCCATACCGATATGTATTTGAAGGAAAATTGTTTAAAATGTCTTTTTTTTATTAAAATTGAGTGACAAATTATGAACACCCAATATATAAAATTAATATTACTCATATAAAATAGGTCAATTTGAGGTAACACAAATCGCGAGAGGAAGGCTGATGCTTCCGCTCCAGAGCGGGGAAACACGATTTTGTCGAAAATCGTTTAAAATTCGCGACTTATACATTAATGGAGTGCGACTTTTTATTTTTAGTTCGCGAACTTTAGGTTTGCTTGTAGTAATTCATATTAGGTGTATTTTAGTTTTAAATTGACTCACCCATTCATAAGCGAGTGTAGTCACAATCATAATGCTTTGCTTTAACTTTTAAAGGGCTAGTTGGTTCCAAATTTATTTAAGGAGAGTGCAGGGTGGCAAATTGCATAAATTAGGTGTATTTTAGTTTTAAATTTACCCACTCGCTTATTACTTATTAGCGACTTGATATAATTGTAACTGGTTATCAATCCACATTTTTTTTTGGATTGGGTGAGTAGGTGGCGGATGAGTGCGGAGTTCTGGATTAATCCGTAAAAGCAATTCTTCAATTAACCATTAAAAAAGTTGACTGACATTTATAATAAGTTCTTCGCAAATTAGTAAGGAGAGGATAGGGGTAGGCAATGTAGAGATTGGGTAGATTTTAGTCTCAAATTGACTCACTCGATTACTAACAAGTTGATATAAATGTGACTCGCTACCCACCACATTCTTTTTTTGTGTTTAGTGGGTGGGTGGCAGATGAGTGTGGGGTTGTGAATTAACTCACAAAAGCAATTATCCAATTAACCATTGAGAAAATGGACTAAGTGGTCGTTTGGAAATTGCGATTGTTACCCATTTTTTTAATTACCCATTTCTTCCTCTCGCTTGTACTCTCACTTTTTTTATAACTTGTTTGAATACCCTGAATATTTTTTCAACGTTTTTGAATATTTGTTAGACGCTTATTAATGCGTGGTCAGTGGGTAAAATTTGTTGGTATCAAATATGAGAATACTAGTTCAACGCTTTTGAATATTTGTTCGACTCCTATTAATATGTGTTTATTTGTGTGAATATTTGTTGCTCTCAGATACGAGAATACTAGCTTGATACTTCTGAATATTTATTCGATGCTTTTGAATATTTCTCCGACGCTATTGAATATTTGTTCGAACTCTATGAATACGTGTTCATTTGTGTGAAATATTTGTTGGTCTCAGATATGAGAATACTTGTTGGAAGCTTTTGAATGCTGGTTCGACCCGTTTGAATACTTGTTCAATGCCTTTGAATACTTCTTTGGTGCTTTTGAGTACCCGTTCGACGCACATTCATAAGCGTCAAACAATATTCAAAAGCATCGAACAAATATTCAAAAGTATCGAACTAGTGTTATCATATTTGAAAACAACAAATATTACACATAATGACCATGCATTAACAAGCGCTGAACAAATATTCAAAGGTGTTTGAAGAAGTTTCAAAGGTGTTTGAAGAAGTTTTTAGGGTAGAAAGGAGAGAAATGAATGAAATATGAGACCAACCCAGTTGACTCTCTACTTTTTTCTTACTTGAGCTCATTCAAAAAACAACAAATCCTAGTTCTCCAAATCACCTAAAAAAATGTGGCATTTAATCTCACCATGTGAGCACCTAGCTGGGTTGATGATGGAAAGAGAGCGAGAGGGGAGTTAGGGACGAAGGTGTGAGGTCTCCGACGAGGATGCTGCTGGTGCGATGGCCCCATCATCGGCCCCTCCAAACCGGTGTGTCCCCAAATGGTCGTCCAAAGTGAAAATAGAAAGAAGAACCTTCCTTCTCTTCTTCCTCTTTCCCGATGCCATCTTTCTCCCTCTCTAAAGTTGCCACTACTACTAGGGTTCCTTCTTCCTCTACTCCCGGGAATGATCAATTCTTCCCTTTTCTACTGAAAAGGTACTAATGCACCTCTGCCTTAGTCAGCTGTCATGGATCGCGTCCAACTTCCCTGTTTGATCCTAGTTGCCTGTGGATTTTACAGGAAATGCTTCTTCTGGAGCTGGGTTCTTCTGGGTTATGGATAAATTTCCTGTCTTTGAGCTTAGTTGCTTGACGTGATGAAATAAATATGCCTAGTCAAGTGAAACACAATCAGAGGTAAGGTTCTTCTTGGTACTGGTGCTAGTTCTAAGACCTTCCTGTTTGACTGTTTGAGTATATCAAGTTCCGGGGTTTCTGGGTGTTTGACGGTTTGATTCATGGAGTTCTCTCCTTTTACTTCTTCTTTTTTGGTTGGGATTTCATTCCAGAAATAACTATTGCATTGTAGGTGTAGCTTATTGTCGGATTAACTCGTGGGCAAGCAATTATTGTATTGAAGATTGTAGATCGATCCATTTGTGCTCTTAATTGTTTGCTCCGTAGTCCGTACTATACATGCTCTTGTACTGATTACTCGCTAATCAATCTTGTATTTTGGTAGCAACAGTTGTGCTATGGAGGATTCTACTATGACTATAGACTTCCTCCGGGCACGCTTGCTGTCTGAAAGATCCGTGTCCAAGACTGCAAGAGAGAGAGCTGATGAACTAGCAAAAAGGGTATGTTTTTTTTTCTTTCTTTCCTTTTTTGTCTTCCCTTCGAGTTCCTGCTGTCTCTTTTTGTACTCTCTAGCATGTTCCATGGGTGAAAATTGGTTATGTGTTGTAAGTTGGATGTATATATTGTAACAGTTCTACTTAACTTTTAGATGATTTGTTTTGCTTGTTGGCTAGGCTGCAGAACTGGAAGAACAGTTGAGAATTGTCTCAGTTCAAAGAATGAAGGCTGAAAAGGCAACGGCTAATGTTCTTGCAATTCTGGTGAGCAATGGATTGAGTGATGCTTCTGAGGGGTTTGATTCAAGCTCTAACCAGGACGATGAAAGTGAATTTGGCTTGGTTAATGGGTGTTCTAAGGAAGGGCAAAGTTCTGTCAATTCAAAAGCTAAAAAGAGTGAGTCCGATGAGCGGTCAGGTTCTGACAAGTTCATCCCTTCTCCTGCCAGAAGCTTGTCATGGAAGAGTAGCAAGGATGGCACAGGATCGATGAAAGGGTGCAAGGACCCAGCTCTGAGAAGCTGTAACACCTTTACTTCTGCTTGTTCTTCTCCAAAACGTCATCCAGGAAAATCCTGCCGCCAAATACGACGTAAAGACACTAGGTTCGTTTGTCTGAATTCCTTAATGCTCGTAAATTATACCTTATGTCTTATGCCTTTTTCCCTGTCACACATCTTAGTGTGATACATTGTGTTGCTAATCTCAGGTTTTTAATGTTACCTCCTAAACTGTTGGTTTTTAATGTTGCCTCCTTAACTGTTTTTAATGTGGCCTCCACAAAAATTTACTTTTGACTAACTTGGGACGAGAAATCAAGCTTTACCTTGTGGAAAAAAGAAATTCAAATGGGAGTTCTCGCTGTTAAAATTTTCTTGGATAGGCCTTCCATTTTTTCCTTTGGTTTAGGAGTGTCGTAATTCCTACAGATTGTAGGTTATTCTGTAACTTTAGCCTAGTCAACTGTAGAAGCTTATCCACATTGCTTCAGTATCAGGATAACAAAGTTCCGCTGTAGGTTGCTCTTTTTCCTCTGTCCAAGATATAAAATGCTAGTGGTGACCTTGAGAATCATTTGTCTGGCAGAGCTGGTGACATGAAAAATGCCATTGAACGGCAATTACAACTCATACAAAGATATGAAGATATGGAAATGGCTCAACGAGAGTGGGAAGAGAAGTCCAGAGAAAATTCCAACAGTACACCGGTATGTCTGCTCAAACCTCATAGTACAAAGAACTAAGTTTCTCGCTAGTACATCTGGTGACTTGGGGTTTTCTGTAGCAAGTATCAGGTTGCTATCATCTTTTTTTGTTTGAAGAATAAAGATGTTTGCTTTTGATAGGAATTGGAGTGTAACTATAGACTTATTTAGTAGACCAACTGAAAATTTGTTCATGCTGGACTCAATCTATAATACGGCAACGAGGAAAGAGAAAACACTAGTTCCTGAACCCAATCCACTATAATTGGCTATCTATCTCCTTTTCAGCCTACTGAGAACTCTTTTTGGTCTATATTTATTTTTCTCATCTTCAATAGAATTTAGCTCTATGCAGCTCTGGTTAAATTGCCTGGTAAAAGAGTTTGAAATTATGAAGCACCACAATTAACTGGGTATTGTTAGAGTACGGTCGTCGAGTATGTAGTTAGAATACGGTCATGGGTGTCAATGAAACGGTTAAACTAAGAGGGAAATATGTCTTGGCGAATTCTAGTGTAGTATAGAGGAAATGAAAACACTTAGATTCACAGGCAGTAGTTGAATGGGGAAAATACCCTTTGAGAAACATTATGATGAGAATTATCAAGCTTGCACACGCAACAATACATAACTAGTTGAAATGGTGTGCTCAATTTTGTGCTATTTAATAGTCTTTAAATTTTTGCTTGTATCCACTGTTTGTCCCTGGCATTTCTTTCTGATTTGTGGATTACATATGTGCAATCTTTTGAAAATGGATTGTCATAGCATCTTCATCTGTCACACCCTTTTACTTGGATTGTTTGTCTTATAAGCTATGTTTTCTCTTCATCCTACTTGTAGGGGTGGGCATACGGTTCGGTAAAACCGAACCTAACCGAACCGAAACCGAATTAATGTTATTCGGTTCGGAATTCGGAAGAGAAAAGGGCATATTTCGGAAACCAGAGTCCTTTCGACCGAACCGAATTTCCGAATTCCGAACTGAAAAACCGAATTATAATAATTGCAAGCTCTAAATGGTGGATTTTTATGTTTCTACTTATTATGAGACTTAAATATTTGAATTATGTTAGTGTTTTATGACTTATGTGTTGAAATGTTTGATTTTATCATTGATGATACATATTTATTGTTTACATTAGGGTGAAAAATAATTTAAAAAAGAGAAAATACAAGCTAACCTCACTATTTCGGTTTTGTATGAAAAACCGAACCGAACCGAATTATAATTCGGTTTGAACCAACCGAACCGAATTATAATTCGGTTCGAATTCGGTTTGAGGTTTTATAGAATTCGGGGACCCGGTATGCATAATTTCGGTTCGGTTTGAACCGAACCGACCGAATGCCCACCCCTACCTACTTGGCTGGGAAAACTATTTTGCTGCTGCCTGCTTGATTTCTTCTTATCATCACATAGGATCTTGATATGTTAGCCTGACATCCTATGCTCTGTGGAACGTGTACTTGTAGGATTCTTGTGAACCTGGGAGCCGCTCAGATGTTACTGACGAAGCTCCGTATGAGATTAACGAACATCCACCACGTTCTTCTGGGACTATAGATACAACCAACCGCGTGGAAAAATCAAAAGTTGAAGATTTTCCGAAATTCCAGCCTAATGGCAATCTTCAGCAGACTGTAAACAGGGAGCACTTGAAGGTGCAAGAAAATAGCATTGCACCTATTTCAGGATCCCGTTGTCCTGATTTTGCCTGCTCTTTGGTAGAAAGTAAGCATAATGAAGCTCAGCTTGCAAACATCCAGGGTTCACCCTCTAGTGAACATCAACGGACACGCGGTATAAATGATGTCCCTGGAAGCCAATCGACTCGCGACTTCCAATCCAACAGAGCTACGGATATCAACCAAGAGAAAGCCTCTGAAAGCAAAAGTGAAGTCCACGCACTGGTTCCACACAAAGCACCAAAGGAGTTGGGGATTCTCGATGCTCTTAAGAAAGCGAAGCAATCACTACAACAGCAAATCGACAAGATTCCACCGGCTGTAGTTAGCAGTCCAGTTGGAACTTCGTATGATCTTTCTTCTCTTCTGACAACAGTGCGTGGGGACAATATACGCGAAATACCTGTAAGATGTCCTGGACTTTTCAGACTACCAACTGATTTACTGGCACCGGGTAGAAGTGCAGGAAACGACTTCCATTCTCTTGATAAAAGATCGAGTCTGGATGACATCCTCAGCGCTAGTGCCAGAACAAGTTTGAAGAAGAACTATCATTCTGGAAAAGGATCAACAAATCCAGAAGCAGCAGTGATTGATCAACTTGTTGCTATGCCGCAGTACTCAGACCCCAAGATGAAGTTTCCTACAGACAACCATTTGCTTACCAGCATACAATATCTTGATGGTGCTTCTATGCAGAGGCAACGGATTGATGAGGCAGGCTTTCCTCCAAGTAAAAGTGTGTACCCTGCATTCCCAGTTAGTCCTGTATATGGTGATCTGATGTTCAGGGTGCCTCTTTCAGAAGGCTTCTCGACATTTCCTGGAAGTAGAACTGCCGACGGGATTCACTCATCCCCAGCTGTCAGTCCTGGGTATGGCGATTTGATGTTGCGGATGTCTCCTTCCGAAGGCTTCTCGACGATTCCTCCAGGTAGAAGAACGACGGATGGGATTCCTCCTCTCGGTGACCGTTTCTCGTTTTCCAGTCCCTACACTCCAGATATGTATAGATGATGGAATTCTTTGTGTTTACCATTTTTGAGTTTAGCATTGTTGTGAGCTATGCATGACTGGTGAACAAGAACTTGTTTGTATTGTTGTAGATGTTATACGGCTGTAGTTAGACGTACTGGTTTAGTGAGCTCTGGCTCCAACTGTTGTACCTTAAAACTGAGTGTAGAAGGGCAATATGTATTCAGGAAATTCAATGGCTAGTAAATAAGGGGTAGGTGGGTTGTTGTGATTCTTGCAATTTGTGTATAATTGTAAATTGACTTCTTGCTCAAGTGAATGCATTTGAAGATTTCAAAGTATGCTTTGTTGTGATTGTAGTTGTTTGGGTGAAAAGGGTAAAGTCACTTTGCGGTTTGCCTGAATTGTAATTTTCGTTCTAAATAATGAAAGTTGTGTAATAGAAAATGAGATATTTTCAAGATTGTTAAATCGGTGTATCTCGTTACGCCGGTATAGTAAGCGGTAATCGGGGCGGAGGAAGAAGGTAAGAGGGTGGGTCCCGGGAGGAAAAACTGTAAATTAGGTATAATAGTTAATTCGGTATGAAAAATAATATGTATTTAAATGAAAATGGTTGACCTTTCAAATATTCGATGTATGATTTATAAGTTGTGTATTGACATATTCAATATTTTTATAACAAGTTATAAACGAATGGCAATTGGCAATGGTGCATATGATCTGCTCAAAATTAAAGTGTATTTGTCCAATATATCGAACAAAATTCCACGAAATCATAGCTAATTTATAAAAAATAATTTTATTTCAATCAGGGGTAGAGAGAGCGTAACGGGCGGCTCCTAAGGACAAAAATTAGTAAAATAGTTATAGTTAATTGAGAATGGAATTTAAGGCACTTCTAATTGAGAATGGTTGACCGAAAGATCATGTATTCGAATATTGGCGACCCCATTTGTTAAACACATGATATTCGGATTTGCAAAAAATTTAAGCACGTATAAGTTGGTTTTCGTTAGCGCGGAAGTGATATAAATACTAATTAGTATAAGCTCATTATTAAATCTTTCACAACAACTCGAGTTATTGATTCTGAACAGTATTGATGAAGAAACATCATTGAAAAGCAAATGTCTAACTAAATCGTTAATAATTGGTTGATATATATAGAGTGATATTCTTGATAATTTAAACATATATTTCATTTATCAAGTTTTTGTAAATACAAAATTATATCATAAATTATTTAAAACGCTAATAAAACTATTTTATCGTGTGTAATTTTCTAAATGGACCCACCCTTCGACAAAATCCTGGCTACGCCCCTAGCAGTAATGATCCGATTGGAGTACAACTAGTTTATATATCGATTTACGTGGATTTTCATAAAACATACGAAAAAGTGGAAAACCTTTTTTTGTTGTTGTTTGACTAACGCTTGAAAATCATTGATACTAGAATACTAGATGAATTATGTATTTACATAATCTATCTTGAAACAATCTACCTATATTCTTCATTATCTTTATAAATAAAATATTAGATTACAAACAAAATTAGATCTTTGTAAAAAAAAAAAAAACTAGATTTCAATTCATCATGTTTTTTTTACCAATTTTGAATGCCGCTTTTCACACTTGATATCAATCAAACTCGATTGTACCAACCGTCGACTTACCAATGATTTCACAACCATAACAATTTCATTTTAAAATAATTTTATATTAAATACATTCATTAAATAAATCGTTTAAATTCGTATTTATCTACATTTACCAACTCATCAAACAAATTACAAATGTGATTTTTTTTTCTTCCTCTTTGCAATTCCCGGGTGAAAATATAAATTTCCCTCCGGATCCTATCCCTATCCCAACAACAAGCAAAAACCATGAAAAGGGAATCTCAAGTTCTCAGCCACCGAACCCGCACAATTTGGTGCCAAATAGGAAAAATCACGCCGCTGGATCGCAATCCCTCAAACGTCGTTGTCTTCCTCCCGCGAGGAAAAGATTTGGAATTTGAGGTACGCAATGGCGCCGGAGCCAGAGTTTACCAAAGACAGAATCCTTCTTTCTGAAAAAGAAGTGGGTGGCAACGAGGGAAAAGGGAACTCCCCACAAATAGCCCAATCGAATCCGATTCACTCATTCTCTAATCACTTTACTCTCTTCCACTGAACCTTCCTCCCCCCTCAAACCTCTCCCTCTCTCTCTCCGCCAACAAAGCTGCTTCGCCAGAAAAGGAAATGTATGGTTTTGGTCTCAATTGAGAAAAGGGTTCTTCTCGATTCACCCCAAACCGCGGTCAGATTTAGAGGAAAATGGCGATCGCAGTCTGTGTGCTGGAACGAACAGTTGTTGTTGTTGTTCCCACCGCTGCTGCTTATTCAATGCGGAACTGGTTTTTTGGGTTGCTGGAGAGGCACTGAGAGTGTGAATTGTGGGACTTTTTTTTCACTGACCCTCTTTTGTTTTCTTCTTGCTTGGCGTTTTTCATCTTCGAACAGTTGCCGAGTTGAAGGGAAAGGTCGCTTCTTTACATTCAATATTATATTTCCTCTCGTTTTTTTCCCCCGGGAAATAAAATAAAGGGAAAACCCAGAAGAAGAAAAAAAGGATGATTACTTCTGGGATGAATTTGGTGATGACAGTGATTGGATTCGCTATGAGCACTATGTTCATAGTTTTTGTTTGCACCCGTCTTGTCTGCGCTCGAATTCACTTGAATGCAGCTCGCCGCTCCTTCCCCGTTGCTTCCAGATCCGATCTCAACATTGTGAGCATTTCTGTGACTGTTACTGTTCCTGTTCTTGTACCCATTGGTTCTTTTTCTGATTGTATGGAAAATGCACAATCCTCTTTCTTTATTTGTTCATAATACTGTACGGGGATCTGAGTATGGTTTGAACTTTGTTTGGTTGTTTAGAGCTATTCTATTAGGGACCAGAACTTCAACCCAATTCTGTGCTCAATTTTGGTGCTCTCTGCTATGATTGACTAGAACGTTGCTGCTCTCAAAATGGGAAACTGGGATTATTGCTGAGCACCCAACTTCTCTTTTAAGCCACTCCAATTACTGTCTTCGTTGTTCAAGATCTTGATGTTGTGCTATTGATGTCTCTGCTTTTGTAGTTGGAGAGAGGGTATCACCGTGGCATTGAGCCTGTAGTTGTGGCTAACTTCCCAACCAAGGAGTACAACAACGAGTTGTTCTCTGCCACCGAAGACGCGCAGTATGCTCTCCTCCTTGTATAATACTTCACAGTTTAGGTTTAGTTCATTAGGTTTGTGCATATATCTGCAACTTCGTGTTCATGATGTCTATGCAACGAGAAAGAATTAAGGTCCACAGGAGAAGTTGGTGTGTTGAAATCACTTTATCAGGTTTTACTTCTTCTATGCACTCTATATGTATAGTATAAGCTATTGCGTGGAAAAGAAAAAGTTGCAGAAAATTTCTATTCATTTGCTGGTATTTTACTTTCCACTTGCAACAACAATCCATTCATATGCAGGAAAATGGGTTCCTTCTAGCTATGCCGAGTTGCTTTCACTAATGCGTTGACTTTGCATTATTTTGTTGCTGTAGTAATCTATGTATAGATAAGTTGCCAAGTGCTAGCAGAAAATTCTGCACTGCCATTTTTCGTTGAGTTTTCAGAATACCATTTGATCTGTCTTGTGTTTAATTGAGGAAAGCATGCCATATGGCACAGCCATTTTTTCGGGTTCTTTTAAATGTTCTTTATAGAATCCATTAGTGGATTAGTTCATCTTGATCTTGCCTCGGTGTTCCTCGGCATGTTAACGAGAGATGCAAATTTTGTTTTTGGTCCGTGTGCGCGCGCAGATGCTCGATTTGTCTTGCAGAATATCACCAGGGCGACGTCCTGCGCATCCTTCCATACTGCGGGCACTCCTTCCACGTCACCTGCATCGACATATGGTTGCAGCAGCACTCCACGTGCCCCGTATGTCGAATATCACTGCACGAGTTCGTCGAGAGAAAACGGGCAATGCAGCAGCCGTTGTTCAGCTCAGCCATCCGCTCCCAGGATTGCAGGATAGAGGTGGCCTTCGAAGTCCATCCTCACAGCTGTTTGTATACTGAACATAGGTATCCATCGAACCACAACGACAGCAGCGGGGCAGAGTCAAACCACAACAACAACAACAACAACGAGAGCCACCGGTCCTCTGACTGCGATGAAGCCAAAGCTGGGGAGACTCTGTCCCCATTAGTAGAGGAAAACTGCGGATCCAAGTACGTGGGAAGCAAGCATGTAGAGAGCCCATCAAATCCTTGACGACGTATGATGATTTGCTCCGACACTGGAGTGGGGATTATATGCAGTTACAGCAGAGCTGAAACTCCCTCGCAAAATCGACACAAGAGAATCAATGGAACAAAACAATTGCCGTGGAATTTTGTGAGGGGAGTTCCAATGTGTGATAGAAATTTGTATATATGTAAAGGGTGAGAAGAGGATTCCCTTGTGGTTTTGAGAATATATGGTTTCCTATGATTCTTCACATTATGCATTTCAGCTCTTATCACCCTAATCGCTGAGAAAACATTGTAGGATATCTATGGTTTCACTTTCGTCAACAATCAATTTTTCAAAGGGTTAATACCTTAGTTTGGCCCGAATTATACACATATTTTCTACTTTGGCCCGTAGTATTGGAAATTGCTATTTTGGCCTGAACTATGTGGCAAACTTCCTCATTTGGCCTGGAGGCAGGTTTGACCGTCAAATTAGACGGTCAAACCTGTTGACCGTTAGTCAATGTCTACCTCACCTGCCACGTCAGCTTTGAGGACATAATTTTTTTTTATTTCTGAATTTTTTTCGATTAATAAAAATAATAAATCAAAAAAATTAATTAAAACAACTAAAAAGGGCCCATTTTTTAGCAAATGACAAGAAAACAAAATTCAGAAATAAAAAAATATTTTTTATGTCCTCAAAACTAACGTGGCAGATGAGGTGGACATTGACTAACGGTCAACAAGTTTGACCTTGACCGTCTAATTCAACGGTTAAACCAGCCTCCAGGCCAAATGAGGAAGTTTGCTACATAGTTCAGGCCAGAATTGCAATTTCCAATACCACGGGCCAAAGTAGAAAATATGTGTATAGTTCGAGCCAAGCTAAGATATTAACCCTTTTTCAAACCTAGCAACTGAAAACTATAGCTCAAATTCTATCACTAAAACAAGAAAGCCACAAAACTTAACATAAACGACCGCATAGCGCAGTGGATTAGCGCGTTTGACTTCGGATCAAAAGGTCGTGGGTTCGACTCCCACTGTGGTCGAATTTTTTTTTCTTACGGTTCCATCGTTTTTCTTTTTTCCCTATCACTCTGTTTTCTTCTCCTTTCTTTCGTTCAATCGAAAACAACAACAATGTTCCGCTCCGCCTTCCTCTCGCCGCCGTCAAATTGCATCATCTCCTCGATCTCAATCCCTCCAACTCCTCGCCACCGCCATCACTTCCCTTCTCCTCCTGCATCCATTCTCCCGCTTCCACCTCCTCCAACTCCCATTTTCAAACCCCACTCCCCGCCACACCGGCCACGGCCAATCGCTTGCGCCGCCGCCAACCGAGACGGAGACAACGACGACATCGATCAGGTGCGGGAGGATAAGCGAAAACCTAGCTCCGACGATGGTAACAGCAAAAGCAAGAAGAATGGCGGCGGCGGCGGCGGCGATTTGGGGGAAGAGGGAGGAGGTAGCGGACGGCGACCCCCTTTCCTATCCAACGTCAACTGGGTAAGTCTGCTGCTGGACCCAGATCCCGACAACGTGGTCGCCGTCGGATTGACCGGATTGCTCACCTGGGCCAGCGTCTCGGTGCTCTGGCAGCTCTTCACCATTTCGCTCGCCATTCTCGTTGCTGCTCTCAAGTACTCCTTCATCGCTGCTCTCCTCATTTTCATCCTCATCACCCTTCTCTAGCCGCCTCTAGTCTCCATTGTACATTCTTCTGAATACTACAAACTCGATGGTTTCAATTGTATGATTATGGGTTTGGGCTACTGCTTGATTCGGTCACGGATGAGTGTGAATGTGGAGATTGAGCTATTTAGCACAAGTAGTAGTTGCTGCTGGTATTTTGTTAATAAAGTAGCTGTCTTTACCAATTCATTGTCGCTAAGCACAAAGCACTCTTGAGTTCTTCACATATTGACGTGCCCGATTGGTCTTTCACTTGATCTATGATACCTGTATATAATTATTTAGATGCTGCTCCTGCTGAGAAGAGAGAATTCACAAGTGTAACCATCCTCAATCAAAACTCCCCATGGTGCCTCCTGCAACATATGACTCCACTACTTGAACAGTAATCCGCAGCAGCAGATCATCCAATTGGTCCGGTCCGCAAGTGAGCTCCCAGGCTTCATGTATTGTTTATGTTCTTGGAATAAGACACTTACTTCAAGCTGCAATTTTTTGAGCTACTCTGATTCTGGTAGATGAAGACACAGTTGCAGATGAAGTTTCTTTTGCGGTCGAAAGTGTCAAGTGACAACAGTTGAGACACGGAGCTTCTGATCAGTTTCTACTATGTATGAGAATGAACAACGCTGAGAGTTGTCACTGCAGTCACAATCAGACTTGTCTGACTATTGAGCAAGAGCATGACATTTTGCATGCCAATGGTTATATAAGATGGAAGAATAATCATGGTCGTTATCCACTTACTTGGCTAAGCAGGCTGCAATTTTATGGTGAATAATGTTCTAACAACTATTATGCTCAGTGGATTATGTATCAGCTAGTCCAATGCAGGAGTTCCTTGATCTTTATTTCTGTACTTCTGCCACCACCTTGAGTTGCAAGCAAAACCTTTTCCCTTAACTTGTAACATAGATGATGCAGGTAAGAGCTGTCTTCTTCTATTTGTGTACTCAGAAACATGCGGTGTTCAACAAATTGGTTAGGTATGCTCAGTGGATTATGTATCAGCTAGTAAAAGGATTGTTTTGCAAAGTTGTCTACAGTTCTGCAGTATACCAAACCAATCTTAGGTCTTAGGTCTCTTTTGACCCCTTTTTTTCCTATTTTCTTCTTTTGGCCAGCACACATAAAAAAGGTAGAAACTCTCTTACTCTGCCACCAACACCAAACCAATCTGTTACGTTACATCCCAACTTTTCACTTTTAGGTTTTCCTTGTACAAATCAAACAAACGCCACCACTTTCTTTCTTTCTTATAGTCGTTCTTTCCAACCTTTCTCTGTATGGCCGTCGAGGAATCTTGAGCCGAGAATAGTGGTACAGAGGCTGGAAGGGCTGAAGAAAGTTGATGATCCAGTGGAGAAGGAAAAGAAGAGGTTGGTGGTTGAGGTGAAGTGGAAAGGCGAAAAGGGGATTGCTTTGAGGCCTTTAAGGAGGAACAGGGCTGTAAAGAGGAGTTTGCTCAGGAATGTGTGGGGTTTTCCAGTGGTAATGATAATGGGGTTGGTTGTTTTCAATTGAATGAGGATTTCACAAATGTTTGCAGCTTTTCAGGTCAAATACATGGCCTCTTTCTACCTTGGGAGGTTGTTGCTCTTACTGTTTTCCATGTGAGTAGTTATTACACTAAGAATAGCAGCAGATTTATGACATGTTTCTTTGCTGATAATTCACGTTCTTCATTTTCTCAACTCCCTGATCATCTGCCTCGTGCTCTAGAGAAAGCTAGCTTTATAATAAGGTGGGGAACTCTACAAAAAGGAAGGATAAGATCAAAACAAAGAATATGAACATAGTGGAGTAATATGCTTTGCAGAATATGAGCGTTTCACATGTGACAATTACTAGCCACATATTCTTAAGGGCTCCCTGCCCTGGAATTCCTCTTCACTTTCTTTCTCTCTCTCTCTCTTTAATGGCCCCACAAACGCAGTATTCCCTCCATCTCTCTAAACTGTAAAGTCAACTCTTCTTTTATCTTTTTGTCTCGTCATGGTTAACTGAGGGATTGAGTGGTTAACAGTTCCTTGCCTTATGATGGGACTACTGATTCAGGTTGCCAGTGAAGAAGGATCAGAGAACAAAGGCCAATCCACTGGGACTGCTGTGATAAACATTGCAGAATTTGTTTCAGCAGCCACTGATAAAGAGCTTCAGACTGATTTACCTCTAGGCTCTAACACCTCCTACTGCCACTCAAGGGAGTAATACTGTACTAGTCTTTTGCTTCATGTAAGTTCTTCTGAATTGAGCTTGCTTTCCAGTTTCCACCAGGACTCCAGGAATGATCCTTATGTTTCTGTGCGAAAAATATCATTTTACTGCAATGCAGGTATTTCTTGTGTTGACAGAGTTGAGAATACTACTAAGGCCTCCATCACAAGAAGCTCAAAGATCAATGGTGCCTCTTGAAAGGACACTCTCTTGCCTGCCATCCTCACCGATGAGCTTTCTGGTCTGAGAGCCCGCCTCGGAAATGTCAGGCTCTTGCAAGGCGGCGGCAAGAAGATTAGAAGAAGCTTTCCTTTTGGTGAAGAGACCGCCATTGCTGATGCAGCAGCAGCAGCAGCAAATAACATCTACTCCGATGGAGGAGAGTCCTTCTGGAGGCGGAGTCACCAACATCATTAGCTCTCCCTGTCGTTGCTTAGAACACACAAGCTCAAAGAGCTCTGCTAGTTTTAATCGCCCTTGGTTCTTTGGATTCTTTTTCCTTCTTCTTATGTGGTTGAGATGATGAATAAATTGGCAACGGCATTATCAATATGGAATGATTGGATGCATCCAAAGGAGGAGCTTGGATACTTTGTAATTAACTTCAACTGCAAGCAACTGAGTGCTGTTCAAAAAATATCACAAGACCTGTTGCTGATCCTAGTAACCAATCTACTAAGTTTGATCTCATTGAAAAACTCTTTACCTTCAACGTACTCTTCGAAGATGAACTCGGGGTAAATTCGAGCAGCTTTTTTTTCGGTTCATGAAGGCACAACTCCGAGTTTTTCCTGTTCTGTTCATTTTCGTCATATGTGTGCGTATAGCTTGTCGTTTGGACATTTTCACGGAACCTCTATGGAAATAGTCATGAATTTCCTGACGTGACTTCAACATGTGATGAGTGACGAATGACGATTTCTCTCTCAACCACCTATGTATTTTCGCGGTGGATCGGAGTTGGTACGAAGGTTGGATACAAGTAGAAGGACTGTTTTGCAAAGTTGCCAAAAGTTATGCAGTAAAAGAAATAAGAGACGTTAGGGATTTAGCGTTAGTCGTTAGGTATGTTATTGACCCATTTTCCCCCCTTTTTCTCTTTCATTATCCAAAGCTTCTTTTTCATTTAGAAGTCCCATTCATGGCCGCTCTCTGCCTGTCTTTTCTCTGAATCTCACGCGTTCGATTGCAAAATAAAAAAGAACAGCAATTGCCATTTTCTTCCTCTCCCTCCAATTCTGTGAAGACCAACACTAGACGCGGAGCATCTTCAGAAACCGTCTCCACGGCAGATCAACATACAGATCTAGAAGAAAGGTTACAGAAGAATCATCAATTTTTCAGGGAAAAAAATCTTCACATTCGGTGACCGGAGAAGGGATTTCTCGCGACGATCCGGGAGTGAGCTTAGTACGATTCTTTGGAGACGAGGAGAAAAAATAGGAAAGTTATCCGGATCTGGATAACCTTTGGATCTGGATCTGGAAGATCGCTGGCAGGGGTTAGCGCAGATTCCGCAGAGTAATTTCCGCCGATCGATCTTCCAAATCTGTAGGAGATTGAGGGGTTTTTGGATGGTTCAAGTTTGAGGGCTTCCTCCAATTCGTTCCCCGTGTCCAAATTTGAAAGGGTTGTTAGAGAATCGTCATATCTTATCTCTGCTCTGCAAAGGATCCACGTCGTTACCCAGGTTGACTTTCTTCTTCCTTTCTTTCTCTGTGAGGGAAAAGATCAAAATTTCGGGGCAGGGAGAGGAGAACAGATGGTGGTGAAGATGATGAGGTGGCCGACCTGGCCGTCGAGGAAGCTTGAGGCGAGAATCGTGGTACAGAGGCTGGAAGGGCTGAAGAAAGATGATGATCAAGTGGAGGAGAAAAAGGAGAGGAGGTTGGTGGTTGAGGTGAAGTGGAAAGGTGAAAAGGGGATTGCTTTGAGACCGTTGAGGAGGAAGAGAGCTGTGAAGAGGAATTTGACTCAGGAATGTGTGGGGTTTTGCGCTGATGGTGGTGATGATGATGATGGGGTTGGGGTTGGTTGTTTCCAATGGAATGAGGATTTCACAAATGTTTGCAGCTTTTCAGGTCAAAGAGAGGGCCTGTTTCTCCCCTGGGAGGTTGCTCTTACTGTTTTCAGTGTGAGTAGTTATATCAAATTTCTGAGATGTTTCTTTGCTGATCATGCATGTTCCTCATACTCTGAACTCCCTGATTATCTGTTTCATGATCTAGGGAAAGCTAGCTTTGGATTTTGTTTCCTCTTCTTCCTTGATTCATTCATTTTGGATGACAAGTTTCCAATGTGTTCTTGCCATAGTTGACCTGACATAATGAGGAAACGGTTGATCCCCAACCCAGATAAGAGTTGACTTGCAATAAGATAACGATTTTCCCTATATTATTGTTTTAGTTTGTTCAAGTTCTCTGAGCACTTATCTCTGACATTTATGCTGAGCATAAAGCATCCTGGTATGAGTGGCATGTATGTCTGTCCATTTCGTGGGGGTCAACTCTCCTTTCTCAATGCATTTGGGAACTGTACAAAAAGAAGAAGAAACAGAAAGGAAGGAGACAATCAAAACATAGAATATGGATATGGTGATAGGTATTCAATTCAATTGGACAAAATCTGGTAAATGTCAGGAATGTTTTCTTTTTGTTAAGAGTAGTATTGTAGAGTAATAAGCTTCACAGAGAGTGAGTGTTGCTGTGTGCCTAAGTTCCTGTCACCTGCTCGTTTCACAGGTGACAATTACTGGCACGTAGTCTTAAGGGCTCCATGGAATTCTTCACTCCCTTTCACTCTGTCTCTCTTGGCCCCTCAAATACAAAATTCTCTTCCACTCTAAACTCTTGTTATTTTAGTTTTTGCCTCCCCGTGGTCCCATCTTTTTATTTACTGCAATAATGTGATAAGCAGTTTACTGCCTAAGCCTAATTATGAGGCTGTTGATTCAGGTTACCAGCGAAGAAGGATTAGAGAACAAATTCCAGGCCACTGGGACTGCTGTGATTAACCTTGCAGAATTTGTTTCAACAACCACTGACACAGAGCTTCAAATTCATTTACCTCTAACACCTCCTACTGCCTCTCCTCCTCAAGGGACTAGTAGTCTTTTGCTTCATGTAAGTTCTTCAGAAATGAGCTTGTTATCATTTTAGAACCCAGTTTAGCATCTGTTCCAGTTTCCACCAAGACTCCAGGAATGATACTTATATATGTTTTTGTTTGACCACAATGCAGATAACTCTTGGGTTGACAGAGCTCAGAACGATCGGGCCTCCATTACAACAAGATCAAAGAACAATGGTGCCTCTTGAAAGGACACTCTCTTGTATGTCATCCTCAGGACACACTGAAGAGCTTACTGGTCTGAGAGCCCGGCTCAGAAATGTCAGGCTCTTGCAAAGTGGTGGCAAGAAGAAGCATTCCTTTGGTGAAGAGACCACCGATAGTGATGCGGCAGCAGCAAATAACATATACTCTGAAGGAGGAGAGTCCTTCCGGAATGATGAAGCAGCTGCTGCTGGTTTAGAATTGGAGGCAATGGCTGATGACGGTTCTCAGCCATCACTGAACTATGCAGTAGCATTGGCCTACACTAATTTTGCTCAAGGGTCAGCTCTGACGAACATTATGAGTGGTGGTGAAGGTGAGGAATGGTCGGAGTGGATATATTTCAACAACAGAAAGCTAGATGATGGAGGTGGTTCCTTCCAATCTGAGCAATCACCAGCTGAATTTATCTTCCAAGAACATCCTTTGAAGGAGAGGCTGAAGTCTAGACTCTTCTTGCCTTGGAGGAAAAGGAAACTCGGGTTTGGATCTTCCAAGGTCAGAGTTAAAGGAGAACCTCTTCTGAAGAAGCATTATGGGGAAGAAGGTGGAGATGACATTGATTTCGATCGCAGACAGTTGAGCTCCTCATCATCTGACGAATCTAACTTCGGGGTATGTGGATCTTTATTATTGTTGTTTTGATTTTGCGTCAAGGGTGATTGAAATTCATTTCAAGCTAACGCGAGAGCCTTCTTCTGTTATTTTTTTCTAGCAGGGGAGAAAATCAGAAGAATGTTCCACCACAAGCAGATCATCCTTCTCTGAATTTGGAGATAACGGCTGTTTCTCTGTAGGCAGCTGGGAAACAAAAGAAGTAGTGAGTCGAGATGGTAAAATGAAGCTCCAAACACAGGTCTTCTTTGCATCAATTGATCAAAGGCATGAGCGGGCTGCAGGAGAGAGTGCTTGCACAGCCCTGGTTGCCATCATTGCTAACTGGTTGCAGTCCAACCAATATGAAGAAGCCCCGATCAAGTCGGTGTTTGATGACCTGATCAGGGATGGATCACTGCAATGGAGAAACCTTTGTGAGAATGAAGAGTACAGACAACGGTTTCCTGACAAACACTTTGATCTAGAGACTGTCCTTCGGGCTAATATATGTCCGCTCACTGTAGTACCAGAGAAGTCCTTCATAGGGTTTTTCCATCCAGAAGAGATTGAGGAGGGAGCAGCAGAGAATTTCAACTTCCTTCACGGCGCCATGTCCTTTGACAGCATCTGGGAGGAAATCAGCCGTAACAACAGCTCACCTGCTTCTGGTGAGCTTTTCGTCTACATTGTGAGCTGGAATGACCATTTCTTCATCCTAAAGGTGGACCAAGATGCATATTACATCATAGACACTCTTGGGGAACGCCTTTTTGAAGGATGCAATCAGGCATATATCTTGAAGTTTGACAAGGACACGACAATCGAGCTTCTTCCAAAACCGGCTGAATCTTCATCAGATGAAAATTCCACCACCAAGGACAAGGCACAAGCAACAAACAGCAGCAACTCGCACGGAGAGAAAAGTGCAGAAGCTCAATTGACCATTGCAGCTAACTTAAGTGACACAGATAATTCTGAGACGGAAGAGAAAATTTTGTGGCGAGGAAAGGAGGCCTGCAAGGAGTATATTAAGAGCTTCCTTGCAGCCATTCCGATCAGGGAGTTGCAGGCAGATCTCAAGAAAGGGTTGATGGCGTCTACCCCTCTCCATCACCGCCTTCAGGTCGAGTTCCACTACACTCAACTCACAACTAACACAGGCGGCTGCAGTTGAAATTCTCGCGACTGTTAGCACGAAGGATAGCGAGCTTCCAGCATATCATTAGCACTGGCTGTCGCTGTTGCTTAGAACATAACTCGGTCGATCCTCTGCTGAGCTTAAAGATCTCTGCTAGTTTTAATAACCTCTTTTGTTTTTTTGTTTTTGCTTTTTTTGGTGTGTGATAAATCAGAAATGGTTCATCAAAGTTGGGTGATTGAATGTATCTGAGGGAGGAGCTTGGATACTTTGTAATTAAATTCAACCACGAACAACTGAGTGCAGTTCAAAAGCATCATAAGATTTGTTACTGATCCGAATACCAACCTAATGTTCAGAAATTTCATGTGCAGTAATCCATTGATCACAGTTAGACTCTATCTTTCACCTGTGATTTTGATTGAGTGTGATTTGTAGTTCTTATGGTTATTTTTCTTCGCTCTATTCTTAATTTCTTATGACGAAACACGATCGTGAATTCCATTTGCACGATCGTAAACTCTGTTTTTATGTCGTGAGCATGTTACACAATCATGACATATTAGGACTAGTCGTAACTTTCCAAAACCGATTCCAGACAAATCAATTATCAGCCTTCACATCGACAACAAGTAGGTCAAAAACTCGTCATAGGAGGGCTCGAGACTGGTCGAAACCCCGTCTCGAGCTCCCCGGCGACTGGTTTTGAAAATTGGGCCAAAACTGTAGTGCCTCCTATATTTGACTATCATTTTTTCTCTCTTTTTTTGTTTTTTTTGGCTATAAAATATTTGACTAACATTTTAGTATTTAGTGCTGGCTTCTCCATCTTCTCCAGACCAGACGCCATTCCTCGAACTAGCCCGTCACCAACCATGGCTCAACGTCTTCATTTCTCCTCTTCCTCGCGTCCGTCGCCGTCTCTTCCGACTCCGAATTCGGTCGCTGCTTCTGCCAAGTCCAATCGACTAACGTTCAATTTCAACTTCCTCCCTCATCCCACCACTCCCACTCGTCTCTGCTTCGGCACCACCAACCGCCGCCGCCTCACCGTCAGGCCTCTGGCGGCGGCGGCCCTCCCCACAGTTGCTTCCGACGAGAGCGTCGGTGTTCCGGGGAAGAAGCCGTTGCTCGAAGTCAGAGATTTGAAGGCCGTGATTGCCGAAACGGGACAGGAGATTCTCAAGGGCGTCAACCTAGTCGTGAATGAAGGAGAGGTAATATTGACTTTGATAGTCTGTAGTATATGATTCCATCAGTTTCTGGAATTTTGGGTCTCCTTGTTGCATTCAACTTACAAAAAAAATTTCCTCTTTTGCGGGCGAGGGATAGGTCCATGCTATAATGGGGAAAAATGGCTCTGGGAAAAGCACATTCTCAAAGGTTAGTGTGTCATCTCAAGCGATCTGTTGGCTGCTAAACTTGCTTTTGCTTAGATGGTTTATTAGTTTGCGCTGCCATGATTGTTTAACTGGCACCAGTTGTGGGAATGCTATTGAGAAATTATACGTGATGTGAATGCTATTGATTCGATTTGTGGGTGGTGGTTTGTTCATCAATCTTCAATGCACTTTCTTAGGTTCTTGTTGGCCATCCACATTATGAAGTTACTGGAGGTAGCGTTGTCTTTAAAGGTAAGAACTTGCTTGACATGGAGCCGGAGGATAGGTCCCTTGCAGGGCTTTTTATGAGCTTTCAGTCCCCAGTAGAAATCCCTGGTGTCAGCAATAGCGACTTCCTAAATATGGCTTACAATGCTCGAAGAAGAAAACTAGGTCTTCCCGAGCTTGGACCAATTGAGGTATCATTCCCTTTTCTGATTTGCCTGCCGAAGTGTCTTTCCTTTGAATTTTGCTGTGCTTATTTTTCTCCACCGGTATCTAGGGCACTGGATTTTGAATGTTTTACTGTTAATGTATGGCATGGCCTTTGAAAACATGGAACCTCTTATTTTCATAGAGATGACAGACAAACAATCCATTCATTGACCAATTCTGTTTCCACTTTTTATGCCATGGCTCCTGTTAATATTCACAGCCCAAAAGTTTCTTCCTGCTGAGTATGCATGTAAGAAAGCGAAAGCAATATCTGGCTGTACTTGTTAGTTTGTTAAACTAACTGTTGGCCTTTTTTTTATCGGCAGTTCTATGCGTACCTGTTTCCCAAGCTTGAGCTTGTGAACATGAAGAGTGATTTTCTAAATAGAAATGTTAACGAAGGGTTCAGCGGTGGTGAAAGGAAAAGGAACGAGATTCTACAGCTCGCGGTAATGTTTCGTATCTAAATCTGCGTTCTGCTGATCTAAGTTCTATGTTATCGAGTTTCTTTGGTAAAAGTTTGCATGGTTAGGCTTCCTTCTTTTTTTTATATACTTGATATGACATAACTTTTGTGTAAGATGCTCTTAGAGTACCCCTGGTGCGTGGCTTTACATAGCCTAGGAGATTTGTGCATTCGAATTGGAACTGTAGAACAATCGCTTCTCTTGCGATGTACTCTGGCATCATTATAGAACTAACGCAAGATTCCTTACCGAGCAAACTGGGTAGTTCATGATTGAACTATTAACGAGCAGCGGCAGTTCCCTGATCTGCATGATCACACATAGTACATTTGCATTTTACTCATTTATTTGCTTTGCTTGTGTGTCTCTTATGCTTCATCGAATCATCTTTGTCTAATTTGCCAATGCCATGCCTGCATATTTCAGGTTCTGGAAGCAGATTTGTCCGTCTTAGATGAGATTGATTCTGGTCTGGATGTCGATGCTCTCCAAGATGTTGCGAAAGCAGTAAATGGACTCTTGACGCCTAAGAAGTCTGTTTTGATGGTTACACATTATCGACGGCTTTTGGAATTCATCCAGCCTTCCTTCGTCCATATCATGGTATCCCGTTCATTCATATAGTTCTGTTTAATAGTGGTTGTGTTTCTTCTAAAGTCACCTGCATCCTGTGGATCAGTTTCTTTATCATGTGTCTTCTATGCTTCTAGCTAATTCTGTGCCCTGGTTTGGTATTTTGTAGGAGGATGGAAGAATTATAAGGACTGGGGATATGAACACAGTAAGTCTTCTTGAGAAGGAAGGTTATAAAGCAATGTCTACATCCTGAATAGTTTGGTGAAGCATCTATTATCCAGTCAACAACACTGGTGCTATTAAATATTGAGTTGCCGAACCCGTCGTTTAATCAAAGTGCTACTCATTTTTTTCAAGACTGGATGAAGCATCTATCATCCAATGTCAACCCCTCAGCTCTCTCTTGAACTTCTCTATCGTGCCATTGTTTTGTATAGAAACAACATAGCTCTGCAACTGTTGACGACTAATCAATGCACAAAACACCATTTTTCGCTTGTTGATCAACAAAACTACCAGTCAAATTAAATTATTTCATTCTGTACAACTTAGGAAACACAGTTCATCGAACAGGCACCAAACTAGGAATTTAACAACACTGAAACCAGGCACAAGGATTCCATACTCAACCTAAACCAAAATTTCCATAGCCGCATTTGATTTTCTCAAGGTAGAAACAACCGGTGGTGATGAAGCTGCAGGAAGCATATCAGTACCGCAATCAGGAATTTTGGGAGCCTACCATGTCGTATCTAGTTGCTGAGAACTATGTCATGTTATCTCGACTCATATTACTCGTCTGTCACGCACCCTCTGGCAGCTGACTGGACGTTCTTGATGTACTGGGAAACATGAAAAGGAAAGTGATGCAATTCTTAGTAAAAGCATGCAGATCAAAGAGCATCAGTGTTTCCTTTTATTTTGGTTTTCAGTTACTTTACCTTGTAGAGAACCCCAGAGGTAGCCTTGTACGGGGGCGGTGTCCAAGTCTCTCTCCTCTGTTCCATCTCCTCGTCGGTAACTTCAACATCTATTCTCCTCTCTTTCACATCGATTGTGATTACGTCTCCGTTTCTAACAAGACCAATGGGACCACCTTCCTGTATATCATTTTGCCAGAATGTATTAGCTAACACTCCTAGTGGTGTTTATAAGTGCGTTCATCAAGCTACATAAGAGACGAGGTGCCAAGCTCTATAAAACCATGCAAGCATTTAGCAAGAACATTCAGGGAGAGATAACAAAAAAAAGGAGCATTTTGTTTGCTTAAACATTCTTACATTTGAATTGGATTGAACAATGAATATGAAAAGATTGGAAAGACAAGCAACGTAAGCAATCAGAAGGAAAGATATTAGCGAAGGTGTGCAGACCTGTGCTTCAGGGCATATGTGGCCGACGACAAATCCATGTGAACCACCCGAAAATCTCCCGTCAGTTAATAATGCACAATCCTGTGTTATCCCAACAGGAATAATATATTTGAGTTGATCTGGAGGCTGTTAATCAAGAACAATAAAAAAATTCACAGCAACAAACCTTCCCAAGACCAGCTCCCATTATTGCACTAGTTGGTGTTAGCATTTCTGGCATGCCAGGACCACCCTTGGGTCCCTCTCCTCTAATGACCACCACTTTCCCCTGGTAAACAATGGAGATGGCAAGTATTAGGATCGGTTCAGCGCTGTAGCTGTGGGTAGTTGCTATTACTTGTAACAAAACTTAAGATCCTCACAGAATCCCTTTTTTTTTTTGGGTAGAACACAGAATCCTTAGTTTGACTTGACTTAATCTTCTGATTAACGAGACAGCATCTGTCATTTCCGAAAACAGCTAAGAACAGAAATCTGAAAGATCCCTGGGGGGATAACATGCTTACTTTAAAGCTCATAGGATCCTCAGAGATAGCCTTCATCATAGATTCTTCCCCTTCGAACACGAGTGCGGGACCTGGAAAAATTTACTTCAGTACAGTCCTTGAAATGGGTCATTCAATAACAATACATAATAGCATGAAATTTTAAATGAAAAGATCACCAGAGAAATAAAGCCCTTCTTTTCCTGTAATTTTTGCTACCGAACCATCTGGTGCAAGGTTTCCACGTAATACTTGGAGGTGACCTGTCTTCTTGATGGGGTTGTCAGCAGATCTTATGATTTCCTACAACATTAGATATATGAAAAAACCTTCACAATCTATTCAGCTACCACGGATGCACAGCCACAGAAATAGTACAGGAAAGAAAACTAAAATCTCACCTGACCCTCTGACAAAGGAGGACAGGGTTTCAGATTTTCAGCCAACGTCTTTCCAGTCACTGATGGAAAATTTCAGCATGTTACATACCATTAGTCGAACTCCTCCATTGAATCGGTACTATTGCAGAATAACTGTATAAACAATGTTCAACTTACCAGTCAAGCAATCTGCATCCAAAAAGCCCAGTTCCAAGAGATAGCGGAGTACCGCAGGTGTTCCTCCAATCTGTAAAAGTAATATGCATTTGAACATCAAGATGAAAAAATGGTCAGAAGATGAAGTAAAGCAACAATAGGCAATGTCATGGGACACAACCGATATATTGATAAAAGCACAATCATATATAAAGTAATACCTTGTGGAGATCCTCCATAACATATTTCCCACTGGGTTTCAGATCAGCAAGGAATGGAACCTGATCACTGACCTTTTGGAAGTCATCCAGTGTCAGCTCCAAACCAACAGACCTGCCAAGCTTAAGTGAGCAACCAACAGTTCCTAATGAAATAAAATTTCCAAGAATCTGATTCGTCCAAACAAGCAATTCTCCTAACCTTGCAATCGCAATCAAATGCAACACGGCATTGGTAGATCCACCTAGTGCCATGACAGTAACCATTGCATTACGTAGTGAGGCAGGAGTTATGATGTCCCGCGGTTTCAGGTCCATCTTAAGTAAATCTAAAAGGTATTTTCCAGCCAACCGACATTCATCCAGCTTCAAATCACTTTCAGCAGGGAGTGAAGAGCTGAACCAGAAAAAAGAAACAAAAAACATATAAGATATAGAAAGTATTAACACCAAAACGAGAAATAAACAATTTAGTGTACAAGGCATGAACCTGTATGGAAGAGACATTCCCATGGCTTCAATAGCCGAAGCCATTGTATTGGCGGTATACATTCCACCACAGGCACCAGCACCAGGACAGGAATTCCGCAATACTTCTTTCCTCTGGTCGTCACTTATAGCTCCACTAACATATTCACCATAAACCTACAACAGAAACAATGTTAGAAGAAGTAAAAAAGGGAAAATAAAGACGTAAGAACCTGGAACAAAGTACTACCATACCAATACATATTTTTTTCTACACATTGCACAAATATACATCAACGAGCTAAGATCATGTGATATTCATACCTGAAATGCAGATACTATGTCGTAGGTATGACCATTGAAATGGCCAGGCTGCAAAATACATGGTGTAAGCAAATGTTTGTAAAAAAAGTTGATAAACATATGAAACTCAGACCCTGAGTGAACACCCCTGACTCTGCTTTCATGCCTAAATGAATTGAACTTCATCACTAGAACTGAAAGTTTTTACGAAGTACACTTCATAGGGGAAAATCTATCAGAGCTTTCTATTGGAAACGGAAATGGGCAGACAGGGAGAAACATGTCTAACCTTTATAGATCCACCATACACCATGATACTAGGCCTATTAAGCCTTCCCATTGCAATAATTGTACCTGGCATCTGCCGAACATGTGACGAATCAAAATAAAATAAGTTCCAGAACTGTCAAAATACCATAACAAGAGCAGCAAACTTCATTCTTTAGATACCCCTTAGTCACCTGGTGAGACTACCTACTAATACAGAACACATAAAGGAAGGAAAAAGCTTCACTCTGAACAACTATTTGCTAACAAAAGCTTCGGTTCTTATTTGGTTCGATTACACAATAACAATGGCTTCAAGAATTAATCTTCTAACAACTGAAAGCTACAGAAACGAGAGTCAACCAGCTCAATTCAATCAAACACACCGAGAGAAAGCAAACACCAAGGGAAACCAAAATTTTAAGAAGCGAAGATCAAGACTCACATTCTTGTCACAGCCAGGAATGGAGATATTCCCATCGTACCACTGCGCACTCATGACGGTCTCGATGCTATCCGCGATCAAGTCCCTGCTCTGCAAGCTGTAACACATCCCTCTCGTCCCCATCGAGATGGCATCGCTCACGCCGATCGTATTAAACCTGAACCCAACCAATCCAGCCTCCTGAACCCCTTGCTTCACTGCCTCGGAGAGCTTCAGCAAGTGCATGTTACAGGTATTCCCTTCGTACCAAACCGACGAGATACCCACCTGGGGCTTGGTCAGGTCTTCGTCGGAGAGACCCACTCCATGGAGGATGGCCTGGGACCCGCCCTGCGACTTGGGTTCCGTCACCTGGGCGCTGTACTTGTTGAGCTTCTGGGTCACGGCGGCTGGTGACCGTGACGGCGGCGAGGCGACGGCGGGAGGGGATTGGGCTGTGATCCGAACGTCGGCGGGACGGCGGAGCCGCGTGGCGGGCGATGAGAGAGGGCATGGCAGGGAGACGAATGTTGATTGCATAGTGGAGGAGGGAGAAGCGGCGGCGTGTGGCGGAGCGGAGGAGAAATGTGGGGGAAAGGGGAAAAACAAGTGAAGTGGAAACGGTAGTGTTGTGAAAAATGAACGCCATGTAAGAAGTAGGTGGGCTGATAAAATGCGGCGAGGTGCACGTGAAAATAAGTAGGCTAATAGCTAGGGATGGCAACCAAACCCGAACCCACGGGTACCCACCTGACCCAACCCGGTCAACGCGGGTAAAATCCGTGTTGACGGGTTTTGGGTCGGGTTTGGGTTTAAACCCGTTCACTATTCACCGGGTTGGGTTGGGTTTGGGTTTAGGTAAACCCGACCCGTGGGTACCCGCCCACACATATAATTAATTTTCTCGGTATATTTAATATTTTAAACAACTAATCTTATTTATGTTTGTGGAGACATGTCTAATTTTTTCTTTCTAATTGTGTAGAATGAAGTTTGTGTTATCGAGTGGAGAATGAAGAAACTTAATTGAAAGGAAGAAGCCTTCAATTAATATGTTATTTATGGATAATTTATGATTTACTTCAATTTTCTTGAGTTTTCTAGATTGGTGTTGAACAATTTGTATAGTTAATTTGTGATTTGTTTGAATTTTCTAGAATGGTGTTTTAAATATGGATAATTTGTATTGAGAGATTGATATTTGACTTTAATTTTGATAGGAACATGTTATTGTAAATTTTTTACGACAAAAACCCGTGGGTACCCATGAACCCGCGGATACCCAGCGGGTTGGGTTGGGTTTGAGTTTTTCAAACCCAGTGGGTTTTACCCCGGATTTTTTTCACGGATAAACCCATGGATTTGGGTTTGGGTTTGGCAAAACCCGACCCAACCCGACCCATTGCCATCCCTACTAATAGCATCCCTCCTCCATTGCGTCCAGAGATGGCCGGGGTGCAGGGGCTGTCGATTCCTTAATCTCTCATCATGATGGTAAGTGGAAGGAAGACTTGCTTTGTCAGCTTTTTGAGAGCGGTACTATTGCCCAAATTCGGGTCATTCATCTGCCAAGGGTTCCGATTCAAGATAGGTTGATCTGGCATCATGAGATGTCGGGTACTTACACGGTTCGATCGGGGTACCATCTAGCATCAGATCTTAGGCTAGATCGGGAGGTTCAAGCTAAGCAAGGGCCTGTGATTTGAGATTCGTGCTTGTGGGGTAAGGTTTGGAGTGCCCCGGTTCCTCCTAAATTTCAGTTCTTTCTTTGGCAATTGTTGCGGAGGGTGGTTCCCACAGGAGAAGCATTATCGGTGAGGGGAATGGAGGGGGTTCTTTTATGCCCCACGTGCTTATGGGAAGAGGAATCTGCTGAGCATTTATTTTTCCATTGTCGTTTGGATGAGGGATGTTGGGAGGCGTCTGGTCTAGGTTTTCTTCGAAATGAGTTCGTCTCGGCCTCAGTCGAAGTTTTCTGGCGACGATTTCTTGATCAACCAAATTTGGAGGAAGGAATGCTCATGCGGGTCCTTGCTCTCTTCTGTCGTATATGGAAAGCTCGAAATTGGGTGGTTTTTGACTCCACATTGTTTACCCCTGTCGTGTTGCTCTCTCAGTTCAATAGACAGGTGGCGGAGTGGGAGGCAGTGCCTTTGAGTGGGATTACGTCTTTCCCTGCTCTTGGGATTGGGCTGGGGGGGGGGGGGGGGGTGTCAAGGGGGGTGCAGGATAGGGAGGGGGCGATGTGGGTATTCATGGATGGCGCCGTTCGCTCAGGTTCTCATGGTGCAGGTGGCTGGGTTCTGGAGGATTCCTCTGGGACGCTGCTTGGGGTGGCTGCCACTTTGTACCCGGATGTGCAAGATCCTTTCTTGGTGGAGCTCCTAGCTTTGAGGGACGGGATACGGTAGGCGTTGGAGATGGGTGTGCAAGATGTCGTCTTCGCTGGTGATGCTCAGGTGGTGCTAGACAAGGTGCAGGAGGACTTGTGTTTGGATGCCCGTGGTGGGGCGATCTTGAGCGAGATTAAGGTGTTGAGGTAGTGTTTTCTCCGGTCTAGTGTTTGTTTTGTTGGACGTGCTCGTAATAGGGTGTCCCATTTGGTGGCCAAGAAAGCCATTTCATTGTTCCCTAGTTTGATAGGGTTCAATTTTCGTACCTGGCTCTGGTCGCCCAACTGACTCTTTTGTATCTTGATTATCTCGTTTAATACGAAGTATCTTTTGGCAAAAAAAAAAGTAGGTTAATAGCATAAAAAGTCATTTACATTTGGGAAAACTTATGAATCTGATCATTCATGTTTAAAATTTGATAAATTGGTCACTCACGGGCTTACGTTTCACTAAACGATATTATTTTCATCAAATCGTGTGATTTCAACGTGTTTATGACTTGGGATTATTAGAGATTACCTTCATGTGAGAGTGCACACTTTGGTATTACAACTTAGAGGCATAATGATTAACGAGTGCACTAGTGGGTAGTCATTAGACATGGATTTAAACATGAAAATGCTAATGCAAGCCAATATTGTCCGTTCAATTAATCATGTTGGCCATCCTCGAGCCCAACTAGGATTCCATTGAAGTTCAATTAATAAATCTTTTTTTAATTTTGTAAAATGACGAATCAAACAAGCGTGACTATTCCATGTACTGGATCACATCAATAAGAAAGAGACTAATATGATTGGAATGAAGAGCGCAAATATGACTGGTCTCCTCTTACGAATAGAGCATTATAGGTCATGACTAATCACACTAAAAACGTTACAAGGAACGATCTCCTGCAACATCGTTTTATACAACAAGGAATACTTAATTTATCGAATAAGAAACAATCAAACCAATTGGTACATAAAACCCTTGAGTAGCACTCCGCTCTCACCCGGGTCGACTACGGCATTATCGAAGGTGATGACCGCGAAGGATGTTCCTCCTCGTATAAAAAAAAAACTTATTATTGATAAAAAAATGCAAAGAATTGTTGAACTAATTTAAGTGAATACAAATAGAATAAATTAATTTTAGTGGCAAACATAAACTTTATACGTAATTCAAATGACCAAACTTGCAATTTAAGGGGTCGTTTGGAAGTTGCGATTGTTTTGTTGAGATTGTCATTATGCAAGTATTGTTTACAATGCATCATTTTTTTGTTTTTGTAGCAGAAACAATACATGGATTGTTTTTGTGATGTGACAGAAACTATCACTCATTTTGAGTGATTGTATATCTCAACTTTTAGTTGAGATTGTTGAGATAGTTGAGTTGAGATTGTTTTGTCTCAGCTTTTAGCTGATGCGACATACACAATCACACATACCAAACGTTGTATTCTACAATGCATCAAATTCGACAATACATGTATAATATTATACATGCATTCTCAACAATACATCTATTTAACAATCGCAACTAGGGCTATCAATCTGGTTTGGTTTGGTTAACCAAACCATTAAGTATGAAAATCCAAAAATAAAAAACCAAAACCCAAAAACCAAAACCATTAAGGCCCTTATTGGTTTTCGGTTGCCAAAAACCAATAAGGGCTTTAATGGTTTTGGTTTTGGTTTGGATAACGAAAAAACCAACATGTACTCATACACTCATATTTATTCTCATTTTCCTCCTTTTTATTGAATAAACGTCATAATAATGATAAATGGTCATTACAAATTATTAGTTGGCATGAGTGTAAAAAAAACAAAAAACAAAAAATTTGTTGATAAATAATTTTGTTCTTATTGGTTTCTATTGGTTTTTCGGTTTTAACCAAACCAAAACCATTAAATTACTTATTGGTTTAAAACCAAAAAACTGAAACCATTAGCTTTCCAATTGATTTCGTTTCGGTTAAAACCAAAAAACTAAAACCATATGAACAGCCCTAATCGCAACTTACAAATGATTAGTCAAAGTTGAAGGTGTCTTGCTAAGCTGGCACGAGACACGAGTCCATCATCTTTCCTTTCTCGTCATTTCGACCCGGAAAAAAAAAACCCTGCAAAAAGTCAGGGAAAGAGCCACCAAACTTTCAATCATAATTTCAAAAATTCATCCTCTTCCTCCTGGATTCTGCTAGCAGCGAAGCTACAGTAACAAGGAGACACAGCGCCGTCACCACCAGCAAAGCTTATCTTAGACAAACCATGGCCGTCGCGGCAATGGCCGGGGGCGTCGATTCGCTGAGCGACCGAGCCGCCAAGATGAAAGAAGCTCTTCTCAAGAGCCAGACCATCACCGAGAACGTCGTCTCTATTCTCGGCTCCTTCGACAGCCGCCTCTCCGTCCTCGAGACCGCCATGCGTCCCACTCAGGTACCTACCTAACCTACTTCATTTTAGATCGAAGGAAGCTTGAACTTGACGGCTGGCTAGCTGGTGGATGTAATCTGTTATCATCATAACTTGTCGGAATTCTTGATCTAGTCGTTGCGTTGACCGACTTCATTGATGAGATTTCGAAGTGAATAATCACTTCATCAATGGGAAGATAGGGCTCACTGTAGCTTTCAGTGTTGTGAAATGATCTGTGGGATTGCAGAATGCGCGCTGTATAGAACTTGCAATGCATTCGAGTAATTTGTTCCTTCGATGAATCGTTTGATTGATTTGGTTTGCGTTATGTTTGTTTTTGTTCTTTGTAATAGATCAGGACGCATGCTATACGGAAGGCTCATGAGAACATAGATAAGACTCTCAAGGCTGCTGAGGTTTTATTAGCTGAATTTGACATCTCTCGACAGGTTGGTTCTTCAGTCCTCTGGAAAAAAAAAAATTGTGTGCATTTCGGTACGTTTGTAAGACATACTTCCCTGTTAGATAAATGTTTGGTGCTCTGTAATGTGCAACAATTTTCTGATCTCATTAGTTTGAAAGAACCATTTTATGCTCTGTTTTAATTAATGCGTGAGTATTGGCTTAATTTAGTCGGTTATGGTTTCTCAGAGTCACTGTTATCGCCCACGTGTGGCTGTTGCTGTTCAATAGAAAATCTGACGGAATTCTGAGCATGGTCAGTAGGGTTAGCTTATGCAGTGTCTTATTTTGCCTATCCTTTACTGATTGTGTACGCTGCATTCAGCTCATAACCTCTCGGGAGGTTTCTGGAGTTTCGGAACTTTGAACTGCTCTTCATTCAGTTACTATTTTTGTCAAATTCTGAAGAAGACGTCTATGTTTCCTTCCAGAGGATGGATACCCAGAATATTTTAGTGATCATTACTTAGTCATTTCGCATTATTTGAACGTTTCCAGTTCAAAACTCATATTTGAGTAAGATTTCCATTGTTCTTTTGCCTATAAACTCTAGGCAGAACAGGTTTGTTAAATGGGCTATGTAGTCTTGCACTCCTGCTTTATCCTATCATGAATATGGTCTAATCATACATTAATACTAGAGCACTGATTAAAAAAAAAAAAAATATGAACTTGCTTATAGTCCAACGTGTGTCTCTGTAACCTTGATTGATATAGTCGTCTACTTGGCCATTTTAACCATCAAGTTTGGCAGGTCTGGCCTCGGTTAATTTCTTTAGGCCATTCTTCAAATCCATTCTGAACATTTTTCTGTCATTTTTAGGCTTCAAAATGGGTGTTCTGGCTGTTGGTATATACTATTGATACTTCTTCTCTCTGTGGATTCTGTTTCCTCCTGTGGTGCTTCCTAAAACATTAGGCAGAGGCACAAATATTGAGGGGACCACATGAGGACCTTGAAAGTTATTTGGAAGCTATTGAGCAGCTGAGAAAAAATATTCGATTCTTCAGCAGTAGCAAAGGCTTTAAGAGTGGGGATGCAGTGCTCGATAATGCAAATACTTTACTTGCTAAAGCCATATCAAAGCTAGAGGATGAATTTAAGCAGCTACTTGTGTCTTGCAGGTATGTGTTACTGCAAAGTCTGGTATTGGTTATATGGAGCTCCGTTATATGTATCAATCAAGCCGTGTTTCAAATATAAAGGCCTAATTTGTTGTTTTTGTTTCACTCATGCTCGTCACATACTGTCCTCATTGTAAGGGGCAGTCTGTTTCGGGTGGGATACTGTGCTTGTTGTCATTCTCCAGATTGAACATGCTTGTGCCTTCAATCCTTTCATTTTGGCTTTGCTGTGTTTGATATGTATCTGCGAAAGCCATACGGTATCAACGATTATCTTCTGTTATGTCAACCTTTATTTGTAGAAACAATTCACTGATAGTTCTGATTAAATGGCATCGGTAATAATATATTCATTTTTTCCCGTCAATTATAATATAATATATTATTTTTTCCTTGCAGCATTTGCATCATCTTAGCTTTTACTTCTGTGCAATTGCACGTGAGTTGTTCTCTATGAGATATGTGATAAGCTCTATGCACTAATCCTGCACAAAATTTGTTTTGTTTCTCCAATTTCAGCAAACCTGTGGAGCCCGATCGTCTTTTTGAGTGTCTTCCTGAATCAATGCGACCTTCTGCTGGATCTCCTGCAAACCATGGGGACCCTAATGGCCTAGGTCCTCATTCCCATAATCATTCCGAGCAGCAAAACAGTAATGCAGAGGCAGCCAGTTTTAAACCCCTTGTCATGATACCCCCAAGAACTGTACCTTTGTTGCACGATCTGGCCGTACATATGGTTCAATCTGGGCACCAGCAGCAATTGCTAAAGACTTACAGGTAAATAGTTAATAGTCTCCTAATTTACATCATTTCTGTTATGTCATTAATTCCTGTAGTTTTCTTGACTTGCTCATGCTAAACCATGGATAGCTGTCCCTTCCCTAAATTTCATCATATTCATATGATGTTACTTGCTGCTGATTGTGAACTGGAAAATGACATTGAGCAACTTGATTACTTCTTTCGCCCAAAGAGTAATATATCTGATGCAAAATCGAATCTATATCCTCTAGTACTTTGTGAGGTGTACTCTTTGTTAGTGTGGTGATTGTTGTAATCTGTTTCTGAATTTATATGCAGATTCAAATTGATCTGAACACTTCAAGACCTTTTCCCTTTATATCATCCTCCTTTTTGGTTCTCAGGGATACACGATCCTCAGTTTTGGAAGAAAGCCTTAGGAAATTGGGAGTTGAAAGACTGAGTAAAGAAGATGTTCAAAAGATGCAATGGGAGATCTTGGAAGCAAAGATTGGGAATTGGATTCATTTCATGCGGATCGCAGTAAGGACTGAAACTTATATGTCTCACTTCTTTTGTTTTGGTTGTTGGTTGCTTATCATACTTTGAGCAGGTCAAGATCTTGTTTGCTGGAGAAAGGCGACTTTGCGATCAAATCTTTGATGGGTTTGATTCTCTGCGAGATCAATGTTTTGCCGAATGCACAGGCAATAATGTGTCAATGCTTCTCAGTTTTGGAGAAGCCATAACCAAAAGCAAGAGATCACCAGAAAAATTGTTCGTGCTTCTGGACATGTATGAGATTATGCGAGAACTTCATTCAGAGGTATGTTTAGCGACGGCAACTAACAAGAATGTTGATGTTTGCTTATATTGGATGCAGTATATGGCAGGGATTAGATATAGCCTTTTACTTAGAGAATAGCTCAGTGTTTATGGTTCGTGAGCCCATTTTCACTCAGTGTTTATGATTCAGAAGCATGAATTATGGACTCATCTTTCACTAATTTGATTCGTTTAAACTTATGCCTAGCTGCCTGAACTTTTTGGCATATATTAATTCTATCTTAGGTAGCAGGCATGCATGGGTTTTTTATTTTCGTTTTCCAACCATTATCCGCATTTTACTGTATAGGGGTCTGCCGATTCATAATGCATAAACACATGAAAATTTCACAATTTCACTAGTTGCTCTTAAAAGTGACTGTGATACCACTAAAAACTTTATTGCCATTTCCTGTGCAGATTGAGTCAGTTTTCAGCGGTAAAGTTTGTGCTGAAATTAGGGAATCTACATTGGGCTTGACAAAGAAGCTTGCCCAGACAGCTCAGGAAACTTTTGGCGATTTTGAAGAAGCTGTTGAGAAGGATGCAACTAAAACAGCTGTACTGGATGGAACTGTTCATCCCTTGACTAGCTATGTTATTAACTATGTAAAATTCCTTTTCGAGTAAGTTCATCTGATCTTGATTTTTACCAACCAAACATCAACTATATTTCCAACTGATTGTGCTTCATAACTGGGTGCTAATTATGCATTTATAAACTGGTGCAGCTACCAATCGACGTTGAATCAACTCTTCCGAGAATTTGAAACTGGGGGGGAGACAGTTTCGCAGTTAGCTACTGTGACCATGCGAATAATGCAGGCTCTTCAAACCAATTTGGATGGAAAGTCTAAGCAGTATAAAGATCAAGCTTTGACACACCTGTTTCTGATGAACAATATTCACTATATGGTCAGATCTGTCCGCAGGTTTGTTATGAATGTGTTTCCTGGAAATTTCTTAGCCATGCCTTGTAGGTTATAATGCTTGGTTGACTTTCAGATCTGAAGCCAAGGACTTGTTGGGAGATGATTGGGTTCAACGACACAGAAGAGTTGTGCAGCAACATGCAAATCAATACAAAAGGACTGGTTGGGGAAAGGTGCTCTTCTCTCTTCTCGATTAAATGAAACCTGATGCTAACCAAATCTTGAACTGCAATTTTCCCCTGTCTAATCTTGAAATCTTGTGACGTTTTACTCACCAAGGTATTAGTATTTGAAGGTAATGATGCATCTCCTTAACTAAGTCTAGGTCTCACACGAATTGCTAAACAGAAGATAGCATTATAAACATTGAACACGGTACCCAAAGTGAATCCCATATCAATGGACGTAGAGTGATCTTTGGTGGACCTTTCTTGTACTATGAAATGATGCAACAAAGTGAAGTTACTGATTTTCAAGCTTTAGCGAGAATGGTTGGGTGTGTACCCATATTCTATTAGGAGTCGTTTGGATGGGTTAATTGTCAATGTGGTATTTTTAGAGTCAAATAACTCATTTATTGTTCATGTGGTATTTCAGTGTTATTTCAGTGGTAATTGAAATAAAGTATCTCATTTGGTTGAACCATGCAAATGTGGTATTTGGTAAAAGCAGAGTGATAAAACGAGTTATTTCGAAATAACACATGGGTATAAGTTATTTCAAATAACTCTTTTGAGTTATTTGTAAATAACTCACTGTCCAAATAACTCATTTCAATAAAACGCTGCCAAACGAGTTATTTGCGTCCAAATAACTCATTGTGAGTTATTTGAACCCAAATAACTCATACAAATACTCCATCCAAATGAATTAGTTTATTTTGCTGCTTAATTGATGTTGTGTTTTGTTCTTGCAAACTATGTCATCTACTTTCTTGGAAGATCGAAAGACACGTTGAATTTCTTGTTCAGTTTTAGGCTCATTCCTCTTAATGTTATCAAATTTGAGACCCTTTTCAGTACAAGGATAATTAATAAATGTGTTGGAAGGAATCTGGCTCATGAAATAGCGAACCTTTTCCAGATTCTTCAATGTGTCTCTGCTCAAGGCCTAACTTCATCCGGAGGAAGTTCTTCAGCACCTGGTGAGAGTGGAAGTGGCAGTGGTGCTTCAAGGGGATTGGTGAAAGAGAGGTCATATCGAGTTCCCGGCCCATTTCTATCTCGTTCCGACTTTTGCATATCTTGCCCTGGCCTCATAAATGTCGTCCCTTACCATGTTTTCCAGGTTCAAGATCTTCAACATGCAGTTTGAGGAACTCCACCAAAAACAATCTCAGTGGACGGTACCTGACACCGAACTGCGAGAATCTCTGAGGCTCGCGGTTGCTGAAGTCCTGTTACCTGCTTACCGATCTTTCGTAAAGCGTTTCGGGTAATGCAGTAGTTCAGATTTGTTTCAGAAAGCATACTACATTGACTGTACTTCTAATCACATTTATTTCCAACAATCACCTAACAGGCCACTGGTGGAGAGCGGGAAGACCCCACAGAAGTATATAAAGTACACGGCTGAGGACCTGGAGAGAATGCTTGGTGAGTTTTTCGAGGGCAAGACGCTGAATGAACCGCGCCGGTAGATGCTTAAAAGTCGAGACCACCTCATCGGTTTCCCTTCCCTGGTTTTTGCTCTTTTTTGGCTGTTGTAAATTTGATAGGAAGGGGACTACGTGGGCTCTCTAGGTTCTATAGTGTTGCTATGATGCTCTTTCTCCTTGCGTGATCTGTTCCAAAGTCAGGCTGCGAAATATGGCCGGGCCTCTTGTATGTATCCATCCTGCTTCTTGTTTGTTCTGTAAAGGTAGAGAAAAGCCAGACTGTTCGTTTATTCTTCGGGCGAGGCTTGCGATAAAACGAAGCCAGACCAGGTCCTAGACGACCGCAAAGGTGTAGATTGGTGAAAGTTATCTCTTAATTTCATGTGTCCTGAACTCTTTTGAGTGTTGTATGTACAGTTTGGAAGAACATGATTGCCTCTGAACTTCTTCCTTGCTGATTCTACATGCTGGTTGAAAACGTTACGTGAACGAGTATCAAGTAGGGAGCAGCATTGCCTGGTTGGTGCATTTTTCGTCGGAGACATGGCAGCCCATATTAGGGCTGTAACAGCGTCGGTAATGGTCTAATAAACATGGTTTGAAACCAGACTGGAGATGTTATCCAATGATTAGGTTGAATAGTATTTAGTTATACCATAGTGATCTAATTGGTAGCATGCTAATAAATATTCGATATTAAACTATGCTAAAATGTATGTTATAGCCAATAACTCGGAACAGCCCTAGGTGCGTCGAAAATGTGGGTACCTGCCAGAAAGGAATGACCCAGGGAAGCTAGGTAATCGGCAACATAATTAGCCTCCCGATAAACACGAACTAACTGCACCTGCCAAGGACGACTCAACGAGCGCCTAAGCTAAGCAATACAAGAGCTCACTTCAAACTTACAATCATCACCGTTGTCGTACCTATATTGTACTTGAGCAATATTTATGCCACCTTGAACCTTCTGATTAGCAGCAAAAACACTGCTGCTTCCTCTGATAGGTGGTACTGCTCCTGGTGGTAACTGATTCTCCTGCGTAATCGGCCCCAACGATCTCGGCCATCATCCGGGAAACATGGCCCAGTGTCCAGCGATACCGCCAACAACAGGCTTGTGGATCATGGAAGAGCGAGCGTTAACACTCAACGCCATGGTTGCCAAGTGGAGCACTCCACCAGGCATGGCACTTAGTTAAACAATTGACAACCACTTCTCTAATGAAAGTTGTGCATTGAGACCAACAGAATCCATAAACAAGAGGTGGATAAACACTTGGGCTGCAATTACTATCTAATGTGGAAAACGATTCTGCCAAAGCAGTCTTTGTCTAAGAGCACCATCATCTTCTGCTTCAGCTTCACTGTCGTCGTTTTGGTGGCTTCCACCGCCACTGGCCAAGTAAATGTCATCATCATCGTCCGAGTGAACGTTGAGTTCGTCATCCACATCTGATTCGGAAATGGAGACGGGAGCATGGCGTGCACTCCAGTCTGGAGGGAAGGTTTTCTGCAGTGCTTCTGTGATGTCCCCACCGGTTCTCTCGATCTTGCGCAAACACCTGGACCAGTGGACCGCCGTGCCCATATCGAATGTCAGCTCAGATTCCACCATCTCTCTGCAGATGGACAGAATCCCAGAGTAAATAGTGGATGTCTCGGCCACGGTAGCCCTGGAGAGAAGCGATGTCATCAAACAATGGTAAACAGCCTTGTCAGGCTTTAATCCCTCAGTCTTCATTTGTTCGAAGCATTCCAGCGCCTTCTCAGGCAGAGATGCTCGAGCCCAACCATAGATCAAGGTTGTGTATGTTTTCACATTTGGCTTCACTCCGAAGGTTGCCATTTCATCCATGGTCTTTGATGCTTTCTGAAATACAAGGCGAGAGGGACAAATTATCAGGTCATAGTCATCTGAGATAAGTAGCCGAGCTCGATATGGGTTAAGATAAAGATAGCATACCGCCATGTCACCAGCCTTGCAGCAAGCATTTATAAACGAAGTGTATGTGTGAATGTCAGGTTGCACTCCCTCTTGCTTCATTTGTTGCATAAGGTCAGCAGCCTCCCACACATCACCTCTCCGAGCCCATCTGAAAATAATCCTCGACGGTTAATTAGGCAGAAGCGAAGGAAAACAAATGAACCAATCTGCCTGAGAATCTCACCCGTCAATCAATATGTTGTAGACGAAACAGTTTCTGGGAATGTTTCGGGCACTCATTTCTTTAGTGACTGCTAAGGCACTTTGCATTCTTCCAGCTTTGCAGCATGCCTTCAACAATGCCTCGTAGGTGAACACATCAAGTTCAAGCCCTTCATTTCTCAGTTTGGTGAAATACTCGAAAGCCTTGCCCGTATCACCTAATGCAGCAAAACCATGCATGATGGTCGTGTATGTATGTTCGTTTGGACCTACCCCTGCTAGTGCCATCTGATCTAATATTTCAACTGCCTTCTCCATCTGACAAGTTAGTAAGAATATAAGATAACTATAATTAGTGCTTTTAAGCTGGAACACAAAATCACAAAATTACCAAGACTAACCAATATGGCAGATCACTGAGATTATGAGAAGTCACTAATTTGACTAACCACTAGGAATCTCTACCGATTCACTAAAAGGAGTATCAAGTGAAAGCATCCTACCAATGTTGGATGTTAAGGGCAACGATCAACAGAGAAAAAGCTACTCAGCAACGCATAATGAAAAATGCTATTTCTTGTAAAAATGAGCATTTTCCCTAAGAGAGGTGTAGAGGACCAAGTGATCATTTATAGACTACACATTTGGGTTCAAGGTTTGACAAGTACATGGAGACAGTAACATGTAAAATTATATAATAACAAGAACCTCTAAGATGGGGTCTAGAGACTTTTAACCAAGTAGCAGACTTCAACAAGTCAACTAGTCAGAGCATAAATATACCTGACGCTTCTCGACAAGACCAAGAATCAACGCATTGAAAGTGTGAACTGTTGGAATGCACCCACTCCGCCTCATCATATCAAAAGTATCAAGGGCTCTTCTCATGTCCCCAGCTCTAGCAAATGCATGAATGATGGGCATGAAAGTACGTGTGGTAGGTCTATGCCTTTCCTTTTGCATTTGGTTAACCATCGTGATGGCACGGTCCATGTTTCCCATGCAACAAAATGCATTGATGATGTTGTTATATAGCACCACATCAGGTTTCAGACCATCTTTAACAACATCCTCAAAAACTGCAAATGCATTTGCCCAATCTTTTAACTTCACGAATCCATTGATAAGCATGGAGTATGTCTTCATGTTATGTTTGATGCCATCAAGCTCCATCAGCTTGCAAACTTCCATTGCTTTAGAAACTTTTCCAACCTGAGACGAACTTGAAGTTTTAGCACAATAACTTGCCTCCAATTATTAAGCGAAGAAAGGGATTTGTGGATAGCTGAATCAGTTCCTAAAGCAAGCAAGAAGCAGTTTCATGCAGAGTTGACAGCACAAGGCCCCGGATACTTAATTGTAAGATTTTTACATAGCTATTATATAAACCTAAACAAGGTTCTGAACCAAAGAAAGAGGGGGGAGGGGGGAACGGAGACAATTTAAATGAGCAGTACAAATCAACTTCCTCTATGAGATAATACTACTAAAGATCTTTGCATATCAATCATAGATTAATGTGGCTTTATTTCATACAGCTTGTTCCATCTTCTCCTTCATCTTTAAGTTCAAATTGCAAGCTATTGCATAACTCTCTGTGGAACACAAACAATTCTAAGTTTCATGTCTTTCATGTGAAGTTTCAGCACCTTCTAATTAAGAACTACAACTCAATGACCACCGTCTAAGTCTACAATCAAAAAGCAATAACAATCCCTTATTAAGATAGGTAAAAGAAAATAATAAGCTTGCCTTGATGTAGAGGTTGATGAGACATCCATAACTGACAACTGAAGGTGAAAATCCACATTCCTGCAGGAATAAATAATTGATTTACATAAACGCAATAAACAGAAGTGGTAATGCAAATATGCAATTGACTGTAAAGTTCAAGACTTGTAACATGAGTCACGAACAAATAAATTCATGGAATTGTATAAAATTTATCTGGTGTTGGCCTCCTAAACGTTCGCATCTTGTTATACCTAATTTCTTTACACAACAGGAGCCACCTAGATACCATAAGGAGAAATTCTATCCAATTCATTGTGTATGTCTCACAGAATGTACATCAAGGAAGATGAATGCATCAAAGGATGATCTAGTGGGATCCCGCCAAAGCAGAATGAATCATTTCATTTTACCACTTGGCTTCCACATAGAAATATGAAATGAAGCTCATGCATGCGTTAACGGTATGGAAACCAAAAGATAACAACGATGTGCTCTAAAACAGGGGGAAAGACCAAACAGAATATGGTATCCAATATGTATCAAGACCTTACAACTCGTATGGAAATCTAGATGCATTTCAAAGACAATGTTATGTTGAAACGTTTTAGAATAATTTACAACCAGAAGAATCCCCATTACAGACATTGACATGACAGTCATTACTTACCTTAAGTCTTTGAAAGACAACCAAACATTTCTCTTCATTGCCAATCATAGTGTATCCATCCATCATTGTGTGGTATATGTCAATAGGAGCGTCTATGCCTTCTTCTTCCATAACCCTTACTAATGCTTCAGCTTTATCCATATTATATGTTTGACTACAATTGACACATATCTAAGTGTTAGGCAAAAATAGATGCAGCTCAATTATCAAAGAAGAAGAAGAAAGATACAGCTTATAAACAAAAGTAATGTGCATTCGACAGCCATGGAACTGAGCAGGTGAGTAAGTAGCAAACAATCTACAACAGGACCAAAGAGTTTGATCTGGAAACAAGAACTGCCACATTAAGTACGGAAGTCAAAATACTAACCAATGAGCATATATAATACTCCCGTAGATGATTGAATTTAAGTTTGAATGTCTCTCCTTGGCCTCATTGAACCAGTAATCAGCAGCCCTTTAACAAAACAGAAAAACAATGTTAGTTTCTCGAAATAGAAACGGTAAACATTAGAAATCTATCTAGGAAACTATGGTAATCAGAAAAGAGCAAACCACCCAAAATAAACAAAGTACAGTATGCAAAGGCTATTTCACAAGCACAAGGAGAAGTAACCGAGATCTAAGGCTAAGAACCAGCTTAAAACTAATAGACCATATTCCTCTGCTACAAACCAGTTTGGAAAACAATAAAAGGAAACCCTTGCTTACTGAATAGGCGTTGTTTGCTTACTCAGCATTGCCAACTTTTGCGAATCCACCAACAAGGATGCTGTAAGTCACCAAACTCAATTCGACACCCTCTTCCTTCATTTTCCTAACACAAGACAGAGCTTCTTCCATGTCTCTACCAACTGCATAAGCATGTATAAGGCTGCATGAAATAAATTATTTTAATCTCAAAAGCAGCAGTATGACGTACATAAGCTTGAGCAAACAACGGAAATTGACAACTCAACCTAGAAAACAAATGTTTAGCACGCATATTATTATAACACCAACATCATCAGCAGGGAACAAGACATACAAGCTAAATAGTTTGAGAAGGAAAAGGGCTCATCTCTTGTTTGCAAAAGAAATTGTAGGCTTAGTTAAGAGTTCATTCCAGAGGTGTTTACCCTCATGAATATGAATACAATACTAAAACACGACCTATTAGCTGGCTGGCTGTATGGACAGGGAAAGGTTCAGGCACTGACTCGGATAGAATTTTACCTTGTGTAGACATGAGAACTGGGTTCTATTCCTCTTGCACGCATGCTTTCGAAAGTTTGTCTTGCACGGTGCATATCTCCGCGTCTAGCATAATAGCCCACCATCAATCCAAACTCCCTTCTAGAAGGCTAATACAGAAAAAGGGGGATCAGAAAAAACGACACTCATATTTCTTTCCAGAATTGATGTTGTACGGCACTTAAACCAACAAGCAGCTGGTTACATATTACTGTTAATCTGTTATCTTAGATAAGAGAAGTTTGCCAATGCCAGCCTTTCGGCAGAATACTGATCACAAAATCTCACACCATTTCTCTTACCGCATTTCCACAAACAACATTTACAGTACACATTTGACAGCCACCAACGCATTCTGAAGCAGTTTAACTAACGAAACAAGGATCCCCCAAATCCTCACTTACCTTCTTAACGTTGTCGAATGCGTCGACGACGGCCTGCCAATTCTCCGGCTGCGTATCGAGAACCCTCCGGAACGCATTCCTGGAACCCTCCCTTTCCTCGTGCCACTTGGACTTGGACCTGTACTCCTCCTCCCCACCATCACCACCCACCCACCGCTTCCTCTCTTCGGCCTTGGCCTTCAGCCGCCTCCCGTCATCCAATTTCACCGTCAGCACCCTCCCGTGGAACTCCACCCCGTCAAACTCCACAGCCTTGGCAGCCGATTTCTCCGCCGCCCGGCCATCGTAGATAACGAATCCAAACCCAGCATTCCTCTCCGTCTCATTGTGACCTTTAATCAGGATCACGCTCCTTATCGGCCCGAATTGCCGGAAGAACTCGACCAATTCGAGCTTCTTCACCCATGACGGCAGGTTCCCAACGAAAATCTTCCCCGGCTCCCGGAGTTCAGCCTTCGGTGGGTCATCCTCCGCATCAAGAGTTCGGGTTGGAACACGAGAGCGTCGCTGGACCGGGGAAGGAGGGGTAATCGGGGGAGGAGGAGGAGGCGGCGGCGGTGGTGGGGGCGAGAGCTTACTGGAGAGCCAGAGCTTGGAGGAAAGGGAGAAGGGTGCTGGAGAAGGGCTGGTATCCGGCGAAGCGCGAGATGACTGTGAAAGGGATTTGAATGGGTTTCGTGGGAGATTGGGGGCAGGAGGTTTCTCGTCGGAAGTGGAAGCCGACTTGGTCAGTAATTGAGGCCGGCGGACGGCAGGGGATGTGTTTGAGTTGTCCGGTTCGGGCGCCGGAGGTGGCTGGGAGGAGAAAGAGACGGAAGTGGAAGGAAGGGAGGTGGGTCTTTTGCCGGCGGCGGTGGAGAAGGCGATTGAGGTGTGAGGGAAGGGGGAGGGAGCGGCGGAGAGCGAAAGAATATCCATTTTTCATCCGTCCGAAGCAGAAAGGGAAGAAACAGAGGAGGGAGGGAGTGGATAAAGCCACTGGTTGCCTAAGCGCGGCGCGGGTAAACTTAGTGGGTTCGCCCGTATCGAGTTCATCCAACCAAATCGATTTTTGAACCGGATCGGACCAAAAATGAACCAAATGCAATGTCGGTCCGGTCCTAATTATAATAAGTCCTTCATTATTGAACTGCGATTCTCATTAATTTGACTAGATCGAACTATTGCGGACCCCTACTTGCTAGTTCGTGAAACATCAAACTAGTTGCTCTCATACTAAATGTAATACTAAAAACATTTATCTTTCTTTTCAATAACATTATTTTCTTCCACACAGCATCTTCTAAAATTTAGAGCTTTTTGGCCTTTAGCACGAGTTGTTACTATGTTTATCGGTAATCGTGCTTTCTTTTAAATTTTATGAGACAAATTCAACTTAAATTTATACATTTTCTAACAAATTTCTTTATGATGAGAACTGAACTTGTACTATTGTATCAATTTGTACTTATACTTCTTGTATAATTTTCTTTATGCTAAAAGAATGAATTTGTACTTTTAATTTTATAATAAAAATTCAACTTTTACTATACTTATAACATTATAAAATTTCACAAATATTAGTTTTCCTTATGCGCATTTTTTAAAGTTTTTTGTTAGAGAAAAATATTATAGATCATCATAAAGCCAAAAGGGTAAGAATGCCCCGTGAATATTCCAATTTATGGGTTGAGTGAGTTTAAAGATTTTTTATCAAAACCTTTTGTAAAGATAATAAAATCTTATTTGAGAATTGTGTGTGCCAACAATTGAGAGCATCCATATTTATAAGTTGGGAAGGGGCCTCTATCAATTGTGTATAACTAAGTTTTAGACAATATTCACGAATATTCATATCAATCACGGTACAAAGGAAATAATAAGTCTTACTTAAAATAGATAGCTCAAGAAACTAGGCTAAATGTGTTTGATCATTTAACTTATCAATTTGTTTCACGTTTGTCACTAATAAGTTTCCAGTGCACTTGTGGTTATTGAATTTACATTTGTGTCTCATTACTAGTCACCCTCCATCTAATTCTTTTACAGAGATTCTATATGACAACAAACACTTATATTTTAGCAATCAAGATAATGAGTATGAAATAAGAAGAAACATCTATAATTTCAGCTTCTTCACCTTCTAGTACCATCCCCATCACCCATTCCATAATTTATTCTCTCTCTAAATTTTCTCTATATCACCTTTTTTTTATCTGTTATAAATTGGGTTGTGGTGTTATAAGAGACTAATGAATAACATAATACATAAATTCTCAATCTTTCTTTACTTTCTTCCTCTTCCTCTGCAACTCTCTGTTCTCTTCTCAATCCTTCTATATTCTTCCCCTATTTCTTCCCCTACTCTTCTTCCCTCTTCCTTATTATTCTCTTCTCAGTTCCAGCATGAAAGATCCAGTTCCAGCTACATCCATTACAAGTGGTATCTGAGCTGTAATTCGACATCCATGACGGCGAATTCAACTCTTCCACCGATAGACGGATGCTACTCTGTAGATCCTAGATCAAACCCATGACGGTGATTCCGACTTGTCCATCGATCAACACTGCTACTTCAGAACCTGGGAGTTACGACGCATGGCTTGAAAAATACAACGCACGACAAGCGTTCATTATGGCGCGACTTTCTGCAACGGGGAATCAGTTGCGAGAAATGGAGAATCTATTGTGGGAAAGAAACCATGGAATGGTCGACCCTTCAACTTTGTCGCTAGTTGAATCCGCGGGTGTTCGAGACCCATTTTCTCCTCCGCCGGGTGAGTGCCACAGGGATCGAGGTTTCCTCCCGCCACATGTTCGACGAAATGTCACACCCTAATTTCTCTACCACAAAGGGAGTCCGAGTCTCTTATTTCTTCAGCTATCGCGGGAGAATGGGGCAACTTCAGCACTCCATTACCTCTACCTTCTGTAAAGCGCTACTGGTGCCAAAGGGCTCAACCCCCAACTCGAGCAGCTTCTACGTCTACACCGCCAGTTGAGCCGTTAATAAAAGAATGGGTGTTACCGTCATCGACTAGTTCCTTCTCCACTTCCTGGTAACAATCAGACAATCCTTCATGAATAAGAAAATCATATCTTCTACGACGATAACCCAGCGGGCTGGGCTAAGCTATGTGAGAAAATGTTTATTCTCCACAATATTCCCGACCTTAAGAAAGTTAAGATTGAGGTAGTCAATTTTGATCATAGAGCAGGTGTGTGATTTGAGAGCTGGGCTTATGGTTGCTCCGTGTTGGTATGGACGGAGTTCGTAAATAGCTTGTGTAGGCACTTTGGGCCTATCGTAGCTTCAAGATTACTTGAGTTTGAGCACTACAACATCTTACGCAATGAAGGAGATTGGTGATTCTTTCCCTTATGCAGACCTAGTTGTTGGGAATGGTGATTTAGCTGCTGTAGATAGTGAGATAAAGGCAAGAAAAATCCAAGGCCTTGTATTAGAAACACCTATCTGATTCCAAGAAGGGTAATTTTGTGGTTGAAGCTGGCGAGATAAGGATGACCCAAATCCAAACTCCTATACTAGAGTCATCTGCTGTAAGTGGCTCAGTAATTGCTACCCATTCTTAAATTGGTGCCTTAAATACAGATTATTTCTCTGTTAGTACTTTGGCTAGCAAGGATAGTGGGGATATGCAAGTTGAGAAGTGGCCTCAAGGGCTTTTGCACGCATTACGTTTTGGTAAGGTCTACTATGAGAATTACTTGGATGAAATGCCAAACTTGCTAGTCAATGTGGTTGGTAAGTTTTCTTCTCATCAGTGGCGGAGGCAGCTTGCATAAAGGTGGGTCATTTGCACCACCTTGGTTGGAAGACCACACAAAACCAATATATAATAATAGTCTACCCAAGAGTCATAATAAACCCTTTGACCTCCCTTTGACCACAAAGCTATATTTTCGACAAAATACTGATGAGTATCTCATCCTTTTTTTCGTTACTTTATATATATATATATATATACCATATATATATATATATATATGGTGGCTTCTACGGTACCCCGGGTGAAATTCAGGGTACCGTATACCTTGAGTATAAAAACACTATCTAGACCTCGAAATAGAAAAAACTTTGGGCTTGGTACTATACCCTAATCCTTATTGAGTGAACCCTAGGTCCTAATTATCTAAATCATAAACTATAAACCCTAAGACGGAGCATTCATTTTTTTGCCTATATTTGGACGAATCATAACCGTCGATTATTGTTTCTAATTAAATTGATATTGGAGTATAAGATTTAGGGAGCTAAGACCCAGATTTTGATCTGTAAGGGTTAGAGTATAATATCATGTCCAAAAGATCAATCAATTCAAGGTCTGGATAGCGTTTTCATACTCAAGGTATGCGGTACACCGGATTTAACTCGGGGTACCGTAGAACTCGCCATATATATATATATATATATATATGCATGCTTCTAACGTACTTTGTGTAAAATCACTCGAGTAAGAATATGATATATAGACGTTGAATTGATCGGAGATTGGGATGTGATACTATGCCATAACCCTTAAAATTAATATATAGGTCTTAATTCTATAAATATCATACACTAAGATCAATTTAATTATAAACAAAAATCGGCAATCATGATTCGTCGAAATATATGCAACAATTTACATGCAAAATCTTGATGTTTAGGGTCTATGATTTAGATAAGTAAGGCATAGAGTTCACTCATTAAGGGTTAGGGTCTATGATTTACATGCACAATCTTAAGTGTTGAGGTCTATATATCATTTTCTTACCGAGAGTATACTATACCATAGATTTTACCCAAGGTAAAATAGAAGACACCAAATACATGTGTATATATATTGGGTACTCTATTGATATATTTCTATCCATATATAATGAATTAAACTGATTTTCGAGTATGATACTACACTCTAACATCTAATAGATAAACCCCATGTCTCACTTCTCCAAATTCAAACCCAAAGAACAAGTGACTAAAAATAATAATCGACTATTCTGATTCTTCGAAGTATAACAAAATACATGCTTCAATCATATCACTTAGCTTGGAATATGAAATTCTTTCGGAGTACTCTAGTCATTACCATATACATATGCTTCAGTCTAGCTTACGCCTCACGTACGCTAATCTTACCATACGTCTATCAAGTTTTGCTATTTAGAATATGAAATAGCTGAAGTTTGAGATATGGTACTATACCCTAACATCTCATGGATGGACCCCACTATCTAATTTTCCATTTGAAATCATAAGATTTGCTTAATCTAAAAATAATTATCGATGATTCTGATTCATAGAAATATATCAAATATATTTAATAAGTGTGAACACAAAGACATATTATATGCAATATATAAAAAATGCATTTAATAAGTGTGAATGCAAACACATATCATATTCCAGACATACACTACCCTTTGTCGTGTATATAAATATTGTTAAATTTTACATATGACCCACCTTAGCTAAATTCCTGCCTACTCATCGAGCCTTGGATTTTGAGAAAGGCAGGAATGAGATAATTTCATCTCATGTTGTAAGAGTGGTAACAGAGTCTTCAGCTTGTGGTGTTTTCTTTTATGGGGGCAATGAGAAGCTAAATGTGACATTGAGTAATAAAGTGGCTAGTGAACTGGAAGTAGGCATGGCAACGGGGCGGATCGGGGCCGGGTACCCTGTATCCGTTCCCCGCCCACAGTGGGCTTCGGGTTTACCCGTCCCCGACCCAAACGGGCTTCCGGGCCTAGTAATATACCCAGCCCCGTCACGGCTGGGTTTTCGGGTGCCCACGGGTCTGAAAAGCCCGTAACAATGCCAACCAAAACGACAAAGTACATTAAAAAAATCCTGAAAATCTGACATCTCCTTTTATTATCAATAAACTTATAAAAGATCTCAAAAACTGAAGTCTGAACCTGACGTCAGTAACATTCAAAACTTGAAAGTTGAGATCAACAATCAAAATTCAAGCAAAGTATCAAATCATCCAAACTGAAATCAACAAAAGAGAATCCATTCTCAGCAGTCTGATTGCCGAGTCTTATTAAAAGCAAGAACAACTAAGCTAATTAGCTAAACAAAGCCATAAGCCATCCTAACTATTGAGATCAATTCCAACAGCAGCCTTCCTTCGAGCAAGATGAAGCTTCAACTTGAAATTCTGCACCAACAGCAGCCTTCCTTCGAGCAATATGAACCCATCAAGCCATTAGCCATCTTACGCAATAGCAGGTAGTGGCAGTCATCATTCATCAATTGAAATTCTGCACCAAGATTCAAGTAAAAAGACTTAACTCCCTAAGCCTAACCAGTAATAGTGTAACACCAACAAACTCCATGTTCTTGCAACAAAAGAGAAGAAGTTTTAAAGTAATTAACCTGGCTGGACAGTAGAGAATGGTTCAGTCTTCATGGTCAAATGGTGATCTCAGGAACACCATTTCTGGACCTAAAAACCAAAAAGCAAAACACATTAGTTCAACCTCAAATCTCAATGAACAAAATTAGAAATGCACTAATTTTCTTACCCCCAGGTTCTGCCTCTTCTACAGTAGTATCTTCGACTGACAGTGCTGAGAAGACTCCCTCCAATGCCTCCACAGCAGCAGCCTCCGAATCTGCAGAAAAGTGTATACAAATATTAGTTACACTTAAACAAAATTAGTTGTACTAGAATTTAGAGATTTAGTTGCATGTTACCTCGTTGCATGTCTTCCATAATCCAACTTCGTGTGCACATCATTGATTCAACAGTGGAATAATGAAGCCTGCTCCGGTGAGGGTCTAACAACCTCCCACCAGAACTAAATGCACTTTCAGAAGCAACAGATGTAATTGGGATTGCCAGAAAGTCCCTTGCAATTGCTTGCAAGGTGGGATACTTGAGACCATTAAGTTTCCACCATAAGAGCAGATCAAAGTCTGCTGTCCGAGGAATAATATCCTCGGCAAGATACATATCCAACTCAGTAGTAATCAAAGAACTCTTGCTCTTTTTCCTTTGACTTACAAAGAGCTCAAAGTCAAGTTCAGTAGCCGAGACAGATCCAGAACTAGCAGAAGAAGTTCCAGTTTCAAAACCAGAATTCTTGTCGGCTTTGCTTTGATAATCAAGAATCAAACCACAAATAATCTTCTTGATATTATCACCAACCAAGTCAGTTTCCATACTCCCAAACTTCCCAGCATAGTATTCAATCACATGGAGCTTATATCTAGGATCCAAAACAACTGAAACAGCAAGTACAAGATGGATATCATCCCAGTACTTATCAAACTTCTCAGACATTTGACTGGCCATTCCAAAAATCACAGGGTTGGGGTCAAGACCCCACTCATTCAGTTTCAATCTCAAGTCACAAATCTTTGGGAAGAAAAGATTGGCAGTCAGATACTTGGAACCAGAGAATAACTGAGTTATCTCAGAAAATATTTCCAGCTTATCAATCACAACAGATGCAAATTCCCAATGTGAACTAGAAGGAACAGATGTGTATTGACTGTCCCTCAAGCTCAAACGAAAGAAAATATCCTTATATTGAAGAGCAACAGAGAGCATATGGTATGTGGAATTCCATCTAGTTGGACAATCAAGTACCAGTTTGTTCTCAAATGTCAACTTTAGTTGCTTAACAACTTCAAAGAAGGTTTGAACCCTCTTAGGTGTAGAATTCCAGTAAACTACACTCTCCCTAATCAAATGTATAGCATCTTTGATTGCATCCAAACCATCCCTCACAATCAAGTTCAGAATATGAGCTGAACACCTCATATGAATCAGTTTACCATCAAGCAAGAGATCACTGCTCACAAGCTTATTTCGCATATGGAATATCATTGAATCATTGGTGGTACAGTTGTCCAGTGTGATTGAGGACAACTTACCATCAATGTTCCAATCAAGAAGTGAATCAAACAGCCTATCAGCTAGCCTTTGACTAGTGTGAGGGGTTGGAACATACATAAACCTCAACATTATGTTACGAAGCTTCCAAGAGTTGTCAATAAAATGACCAGTTACTGCCATATACCCCATTTTCTGATTTGTGGCAGTCCACAAATCAGTAGTGACTGAAATTCTGCCCAAATTTCCATCAATCATTGTCTGATATTTAGACCTCTCAACCCCATACAGACCCAGAATATCCTTTTTCACTGTGTTTCTACTAGGGACAGCAAACTGAGGTTGAAGAGAACAACAAAAACGTTTGAAACCCACATGATCAACAAGGCTAAGGGGGTACTCATGGACCAGAACCATAGAACAAAGTTCCTTCCTAGAAACCTCATAATTGTATTGAGAAGCATAGAGTTGAGGATTTCCACCAGGTTGATATTTGGGGCCAAGTATTTTTTGTGAACCATCATGTATCCTCTTCTGGATACATGTTTTGATATGGTTTCTCAGGTGTGAAGTTCCATTACTTGTTTCCCCACCAAGGGGTTTACGACAGTACTTACACCTAGCTTTCATTACCCCATTAATCCTAACTCTGTGGAAGTGAGGCCACACATTAGAGGTTAACTTACGTTGTGCTTCAAGTTCTTCCTCATTACCATTAATCGGATTATTTGGAACAGGAGGAGGTTGTTCAGGTTGGACTTGGACACCATTTTCAGGGACATGTTGATCAACATTCATAGCATTAGTAGTAGCACCTTCCATCTGAACATAATCAAGTTATATATCACTGATTAGACCTTTCATTTTACATTTTTCCTTACTTAAATGGACACCATTTTCAACCAGACAACATTTTTTCTTCTAACCAGCAAACAGGACACCATTTTCAAAAATTTACAAGCCATAGTGGATTAGTGGTTACCATTAGCAAGCCATAGTGGTTACCATTACAGTTTATTATCATTAACAAGTCATAGTGGTTACCATTACAGTTTACTTCTTCTAACTAAGTTATTATCATTAGCAAGCCATAGTGGTTACCATTACAGTTTATTATCATTAACAAGTCAAAGCAACACAACAAACACAATGGTTACTGCCTAATGGTTACGACTTAGGAGAACGAGATTACCTTGTCTTTCTGTTTTTCTGAGGACTGTCGAGTACCCAATGACAGTAGACTGATCACTAATGATCACTATCACTCGCTCAGTTGCTCGTCAGAGTTCAGTCCTTCAATACAGCTTCAAATGAGTCCAACCTGGCCAAAAAAGAGTGAACCACGAACAAAAAAAAAATAGAACAGGAGACAAGCATGCATGTCTGTATTAACACCAGTACACCACAAAGGCACAAACCCAGGAAAAGGAAGCGAGTTCAAGAACCTTACCCAGAAAAAGACTTGGACTCTTTCTGGATGCTCGTCGTAATCTCTCTGTCTCTACTCTCTATGGACTGGGTGTTCTCAGTTCTGGGTAGAAATTTAGCGAAGGTCAGGATGGTGACTGGTGACCTTTGAAATCCCCCTATATATAGCAGTACGAGTGTCAAGAAGAAACAGTAGATTGAGGATACAACGAAGATAATCGAAAGAAAAGAAAAAAACCAGAATTGACTTATCTGTTATCGACGAACAATCAGGGATTTGAACTCCAAACGACTCATTTTTGGGCTGTGCTCGACGAAATCGGCGTCGGATCGTTGCTCTTCCAGCCATGCAAGTGGTCGAATGGAGGAATCGAAGATAGATCGTAGTGAAACTAGGAGAGATTCGAGGATTTGGAGAGGAGAAAAGGCAAAAAATCGCGATTATCTTGCGATTCGCCAGAGAAGAGGCAGAGAGAAAGAAGGAAACTAGGGTTTGGGGTTTGTGGTCTGCGAATTGCCAAATGAGGAATGAGGGGCGGCTGCTAGGGTTTCTCAACACAGAACATGAATATATATGGAGGGCGAAACGGCGTCGTTTTGGTGCACTGGTAACCCACCGGGCGGGTTACGGGGCGGATAGTGACCAAACCAGCCCCACCCGAAAACCAGGGTTGACGGATCCCGGTTTCCCCGCCACCCGTTGACGGGCCTGTGCTACCATCCCGTTTGGGCCCTTAACGGGCGGGCCTCGGGCGGGTATCCGCTAACGGGCCCGGGCCTGCCATCCCTAACTGGAAGTGACGAGGTGGAAACTAAAAAGAATTTTTCATTTTCTTAATTGATACTTCTAAGTTCATGGTCAAACTAGAACTATTGATTGCCACATGATATTCTTCAACGATGAAAGGTGACTACTGACTAGTAGTGAAATGCAAATGTAATGTGAGTGATCATTAATGCACTAAAATAAGTTAGCTACATATGTAAAATAAATTAACAAAGTGCGTGACTAAATGTGTCATTTAAACGAAGAAAACTAACTGATATAGTAAGTGAAAGAACGATAAGCCATAACTGATATAGTAAGTTTATCTTATGTTGTAAGAATCATTTGTTCAGTGGCGGACCCAGAAATTTTCCATAGGGGTGTCCTCTTTTAAAAAATAAATTAAAAATAAATAATTATAATTAATAAAAATAAAATCGTAAATATGAAAATAGCTTACTCGTACATGTTAAAAAAGTCCATGGTGTGTTTTCATATTCAAAAATAATTGTAGAATACACTTGGTGTTTATAGTGTTAAAAAAAATTCTCTATACACCCTACTAGACAATCATTCGGGAACTTATCGCATATTCGATTTGTAAACTTGTTCTTGATGTAACCCAAAGCTGAAAGACATTTCAACACTTGCCGTACAATCATAAAATCAATACAAATTAAGGGCAGATTGAAATTAGTTTAGATTGAAATAATTAGATATAGGGAATGACTTTTTACTATTACACATTGTTCAAAATCGAACACCAAATGAGTTGTAGCTCAACGGAAATTAAGTTTATTAATAATAATAGTGTTCTAGATTTAAATTACCCAACCTACCATTTATATTTTTATACACAAATGACAGTAGGATAATCATTTTTGAAATTTCAGGGGTGTCCCTCACTATCAATTATATTTTTTTGTCTATACGTAAATTACCATCGGGGGTTGGATAATCATTCTCCCGAAATTTAGGGGTGTCCGGGGACACCCCTAAAACCCCTGGGTCCGCCCCTGCATTTGTTCATGGTTCAATGTTCTTAGCAACCATGGGAATCCTATACCAAGGTTTGAATGTTTTTTTTTTTTTCATTTGTTGAGATTTAGACTAATATTCATATTGATAGACGAGAAAAGTCAACAAGGTAGAGAATCTTTAACCAACCAAGGAAGAGATTTAGCTAATATTTTCAAAATTATTTCTCAAAGGAAGTCAGTCAATCAACAATTCAGCATTAATATTCAATATAAAATCCTCAAACCATACAAAAAAATTCATAATTCTTTATGGTATTCATCTTCAGTGTTGATACTTTAAAATGACCTGAATTTTACATTACAAGAATTAATTTGGCCAATGTTTTCTCAAAAGTGAAATCCCTATCCTAGTATATACTAATTACTAAGGCATAGAAAGACTTGTCTGTTTGGCCCAACACAATAAACAAATCCATATTTTTTGTTGTGTGAATATTTCAACTCTGTTATATGAATACCGCCAACACAATAAACAAATGTTAAAAGACACGCCAAAAAGTACATATTTTTTGGTCTGGTTAGATTCCGAACGAAATAAATTAAAATGCTTTTGTTAATATAATTTTTAAAGACAACAAACAAATAGGAGGCAATGGTCACAGTAGTAATATGAAAAATGAACCTTTAAGAGATATAGAGATAAAATCACATGAACGAGTTAGGATTTGGTCTAGTGGTAATATCACTAATTTTGAATCTGAAGATCTCAGGTTCGATTCCATTAGGGTTTGGCCTAGTGGTAATACCACTAAATTTGAATCTGAAGATCTTAGGTTCGATTCCATTAAGTAGTACCTAAGTCATAAAAATGAACCTATATCACCCAATATCCAAAAAATAAAATCACATGAATAAAAAGCGAAATTCATTGCAAAATCCGATGCTTTCAAATCCCGTGGAGGAAAAAAGACGAGCTAGTAACAAGTAGAAAAGTTCTTATTTTTTAATTAAATTGTAAATGGACTGAAAAAGTTAGTGATTCATGGTTCACTTACTTATCGACTATCGTTATAGACCCGATAGTGGCTTGTGCATGAAACCGGACATACTTTAATCGTTTGTGTAACACTCAGCAAATTATGTGTTAATTAATCTTGAGTCCATTGCTCTTAATTTTCATGCTCCCGCATACATAACATTTGTATCATAATTATTAGAGATAACTACCTATTCGTTAATCATATTCTAACCTTTTTATCACATCCAAGTTTATGGTTTCCTGAGAAAGATCTGAAACCTCAATGTATTACAATTGTCTCGAACCGTGGCTCTAGTACGATATTTTCTGGACGGTAATTACAAATGAATCAATTAATAACATGCAGTCAAGAGTGGCATAATCTAACCACAATTATATAAGATTTTGGATGGAATCATCAAGCAAAAATGTCAAGATGGCCGAGTTGGTCTAAGGCGCCAGTTTCAGGTACTGGTCCGAAAGGGCATGGGTTCAAATCCCATTCTTGACAATTTTTAATGAACAGTTGTACAATATTTTTTATGATCCGAAAAAATTCAAACACAAAAGTCGACAAAAACAGAGACCAACATCTTTCTGAATTGAATCGTCCAAGACACATTTTTAGTATGAAAGGGTTCAAATTCCTTTCTTGACAATTTTCTTCTATATCACAAATGAAAGGTTGTACATTTGTTTATGATATGAAAAAACTCAAACACAAAAGTCGACGAAAATAGAGACCAACATCTTTCTGAATTGAATCGTCCAAGACAATTTTTAGTATGATAAAAATAGAATTATAATAAAAAAAACTCAAACACAAAAGTCAAAAAAATAGAGATCAACATCTTTCTAAATTGAATCGTCCAAGAGAACTTTTAGTATGATAAAAATAGATCTCATATCAAAAGTGTAAAGCGTGTTACAAGATAACCCCCTTTTGTCATGGGTTGCAAGCCCGGCCCGATTCTAGAGCAGAGGTAAATGTTGGGCTTCGGCCCACCTCTTTACCACTCAGCCAAGGTCCAGCCGGGGTTTGGTTTGGCGCCGTAGAAATTGGAGAATTGAGAGAGTCTGAGCGGGAGGGAGCTGCTACAGAGCCGGAGGGAGGGGCGAAGATCGTAGTCGTCGGCGGCCGGAGCTTTTGAGGAAGAGAAAGAAAGATAATAATGGGGTCCGACGCAGCAGCAGCAGTTACTCTTCCGGAATGGGCATCCACGCCTTGCATTATGGGGATCGACGAAGCTGGCCGTGGTCCTGTTCTCGGTAACTCCATTTCCCTCAAATCTCTCCCTCTTCTTCTATGCTTCCCCCCCCTTTTTTTTCTTTTCTGGGCCTTACTGACTCCGGCTCCACGAAGGTCCCATGGTTTACGGATGCTTGTACTGTGCTCGCTCCTACGAGAAAACTCTTTCCACCTTGAATTTTGCTGGTAAACCCTTCGAATTCCGTTCCTCTTCATTCTACCTTCTGGGTTTCCTTCCAATTTTAATGGAATGATGCATGTTCCTGACTTGCCCTCTTCAATTGCGAGCTCGAAATGAGGATGGGTTGTTTCAAATCTCTCGTAATCGGACTTCAAGGTTGTGACTTTATGATGTATATGATTGAAAACTGACATTGAAGTCCAAGTGAGTGAGCGAGTGAGTGAGATTAGGAAGCAGGCCACCCTGAAACTTCTTCTGTTTACTGGTTTCCAGATTCAAAGACCTTGAAGGAAGAGAAGAGGGAGGAATTGTTTGAAAGTCTCAAGGCTGACCAATCAATTGGATGGGCTGTTGATGTCATAGATCCAAGGGAGCTGTCCGCGAAAATGCTTAGGAAGTGGGTTGGTTCTGCTATGGTGTTTTCTTTGATGGATGATTGTTCTTTCTGTTTTACAATTTTAACACATGTTGTTTTCATGAAACAGGCATAAGATAAATCTGAATGAGATATCTCATGACTCTGCCAGTGGCCTTGTGAAGAGAGTGCTGAACATGGGAGTCCTTTTAGCAGAGGTAAAGCTTTGCTCACCTGTATGGTTGTGTTTCATCTTCTATCATAGGGTGTGTTCTGCTCATAAGTTGGTGGCCATTTTGTGCATTAGGTCTATGTCGATACGGTTGGAGATCCAGAGAAATATAGAGTTAAACTGTCTGAAAGATTTCCATCCATCAAATTCGTTGTGGCAAAGAAGGCTGATAGTCTCTACCCGGTTGTGAGTGGAGCCAGCATAGCTGCCAAGGTATGATTATGAATGACTACTGAGCTCTCCTCTTCTAAATCTCGGTCAAATATGGTTGTGATATCTATGGTAATAACATAGGTCACTAGAGATAGAGCCCTGCGAGAATGGGTGCTTGATGAAACATACAAAGACATTGGCAGGAAATTTGGTTCTGGATACCCTGGAGGTCAGAAACACTTATCCTCCTTGACAATTATTTTCTATTTCTATAACTTGTGCGATGTTTGAAGCTAATTGCTTATGTTTTCTGTTAAGACCCGGATACCAAAGCATGGTTGGAGCAACACAAACACAGAGTGTTTGGCTTCCCGTCGTTAGTTCGTTTCAGTTGGGGAACATGTAATTCCTACTTCAAAGATGGTGTAGAAGTCTTGTGGTTAGTCCTTATTCCATAACCCTATTGCAGTTACTGTGCATTTAACTTTTTGGTCCCTGCTTGTTGGGTCGGTATGGTAGAGCCTATATTGTCAAATCTTTTTTCGATCTCTCATTGTTCACTGATGATGAATAGCAGTTGTGTTGCATCCTTGAGCAAACTTTAGCTGACTTGGGAGGATATCATCTCTCATCTCATGCCAGTGATAGGAGGCCACTTCATGACTTTGATATCTCACATTGTCTCACAAAAAAAATGCCTTAGTTTCAAAGCAAGTCCAGTTCATCCTCATCTTCTATGGAAATAGGAAAACTAATGAAAAGTGGAAGTTTTCATGCTTCTTTTCTACGTATGCAAGTTACTATTGGAGTTTCGTTCTTATCGATCGTGATGTTAAGGGAAACTTAAGTTTGGGTCCTTGAATTAATTTCAAGGGCTAACTGTGCTATAATTTATAGTTCTGAGTAGAATAAATAATAGACTGGTGTTTGATAATATTCTCATATTACACTTCATCGTTGGAATTTTGGTTCTTATAGTTCTAATAATCTTGTGTAAACAGGGAGGCTGACAGGGATGAAGAAGATATTGGCAGCAGCAATGGCAAACGACAATTGAAGTTGAGCAACTTTGGCGTAACTACCTCCAAAAAGAAGAAGGAAGAAGAAGTTGAATCAAGTGGTAAAGGGCGCTGCAAATTTTTCGAGACGAGGCAACTTGAACAACTTGCTGATTTCTAACGTTAATTTCTTTCCTGTTTTGACTCTCTCAAGTCTAATGCTACACTGCTACATTCCGATCCCTGTGTCATTGTATCATTAAATTGATGAACCTCCCCAATTAGACTAGACAATCATGGTGGCTAAATACAAGAGGAAATCTCATGTGTGTTTTCGATCTCTGATAGGCTACATCATGCATTTGACACAGAAGGCTCTTTGATTCAATTCTTTTTCTCTTCATAATCACCAGTTGAGTTACAGCAAGACATGCAGAGAATTGTATCGCTATATGTACAACAATAGGAACTTCGATGTTATGGCGCTCCAAGCAGAAACATCATCTGGGGAAAACCAAGACCAAGTCAACCAACAACAGCATCGATGTAATTAAGGACGTATATTATAATCCCGGAATCAACTCTCCGACTTGTTTATGTTTGAAGTACCATCTCCGACTTGTTTATGTTTGAAGTACCATGACATATTTGCACCGGGAATAAACTGCTCTATAGACACACAAACGTTAGCGAAAAACCAAGTGTTGTACCAACCTGCAAATTAGATCACAAAAGTGAAATCCTTTCAGAAGTATTAGCCATTATGTGATCTTTCTGATGATCTTTAAATTTACACTTATATTTTGTCTAAAAACCTGATCGTAGTGAGGAAAAGGAAACATGGTTGGTCACAACTCACAACTCACTGGGGTGTAATTTACACAAAAAGTAAAAATGTTGTAGTGCATGGATAGAACTTAAAACTTCAATGACTGAATGTATAAAAAGTCGCAGAACGGATCTGTCTCTCTTCCCGCAGTTTCCAAACTGTCGCTCCCTCGCTCACTTACTCTTTTTCTTCTCTTCTCGCCGCGATCTCGAAAAATTCATCTTTCATTTTCCTCCCTTCTTCGTCAACCTAGAAGAAAAAGTCAGAATCCCTCAAACCGTTCTGATCGGATGGCAACCGGATATCCGCTCGCTCGACTCGGCGTGTCTCGCTCCCTCCGCCTCGGTTTAGCTCGTTCCATGGATTCAACTCCCGCCGCGACTCGCTACTTCAGCGACGGCAACGTCGGCAAGGGCGGCCGAGTCCTCAACGAAGAGGAGCGCGCCAAAGAGACCGTCTACGTCCAGGTAGAGAGTTTTTTTTTTTTTTTGGGTGCATTCCTTGTGTCTGCGTCGGTTAGATTGTTCGGGCGCGGCTAAAATCGGCGCGATCGAAACAAGGAAATTTTGAAATGTTTGATTCAAGAATTGCATCTTGTAGCTCTCGAATTTTTTAGGGTTGGCTGATTCCCGTTACTCTCAGTTCTAGTAAGCTGTGAATGGCCGTTCGATACAGTGCTCGATGAAATAACTCAGAGCGCGATCATTCCTTTGAATCGACAGTAGTTCTGAACTCGGGATCGCTTCTTGCATGATTGCATATGGTTAAGGAAAGGATGTTTTCATTGTATGTATATGTGCTTTTTGAGGTCGGGTAACTTTCAGCATTTTAAGTAGTGATGATTCTGTGTTTTGGTAGGTTCGGTTTCTATTTCAGTAGTGCCATGGTGTTGTTTATCGAGTTGCCTTCTTTCTCTGTATTTGTAAGTTGTTTGAGCGATTTGTAACTGAACTTTTGCAGAAAATGGAGAGGGAAAGGTTGGAGAAGCAGAAGCAGAAAGCTGAGAAAGAAAAGGCAGAGAAGGAGAAACACAACACTGAAAAGGTCTGTGTGTTTCTGAGAGATCCCAATTTGAAATCTTCAAGTATCTTTATCCTTTTTTTGTGAAATGATCATGGAGAGTACTGTGCCTGCTGCTAATTTTGTTTCTCTGCTCTGCTGTGTGCGTCTGGGTTATTTTTTTCAGCTTCTTTCTCGATGTTGATGTCTTATTAGTACTTGCTAGCTATAACCTAATTTTTGTTGTTTGATGAGGTCTAATTTGTTGATTGGGTTCCTGCTCGAATCACGAATCTTGAGTTTACTCTGGAGATTAATAGATCAGTTGGTTGTCCTTCAAAACCATCCCAATTCTGTGATTTTTGTTTGAACCATACAGTCCTGTTGTAAATCTGGTTGGTGTCTGGTTTCCAAAGATTTGCTTCTATGTTTTGTTCAAATCTAAAATATTCCAAATCTGCTTATTGTTCGCTTTGGATTGAAGACTTTGTAGAAAGAGAATTTGCATACCCCTAAGCTTAAAAGGAAAATGTTACGGTAGTTTGCGAGCTTCCATCTTCACAAGCGAATAAAGTATTTCATGGCGTAAGAATATTGATAGACTGAACTGGTGAATTTGTTTATACATAATGAAAACTTGATAGAGATACTTAGTTTTGATGGAAAAAGGTTTGGAGCAGTGTCAGAAGTAGTACATCTAAACCAATTTGGGAAGGAGTTGGGTTCTTCATTGCCATTTCCCATCTTGTGATCAAAACAGTTATCCTACACAACTACAAGCTGTGAAACATCCCCCTGATAAAGGAAGTGTAGCGGGATGGTCCATACTCCATATCTATCATCTGCATAGAATGTTTTACTCTCTTCTTGTGAAATATTTCAAAAGCTCCTCAAAGCTTGGAAGATTGTTAGCTACGAGTTACACCATCATGACTATGTTTTCATTTTTTGCAGAAATGAAATCTGAAACTGTCAACCCGAGTCGATGAATGCCAGAGCCATGCTGCCGATGTGGAAATAAGTCGAACGGAGAATAAAACCCGGAGCATGACATTCTCCGTTCTAGGGTTGTGATATTTTTGTGCTGTGGACCTTTCCTAATGTTGATAGTTTTCTTTTTTGCACCGGCCATTGCTGTCTACCTTGTTTTACAAGCATATGGCCAGTGCAGTTACTGCTATCGAAAGTATAAAATCTTCATACTGCTGTTATCCAGTGTTAGCTTGTTGCTTCTTATTTGATTGTACCGTAGCATTCAAGTATCATACTCTCTTAACCTGCAGTTCCAGAGTGTTACAATCCAAAGCGAGCTTCCAGATTGATTAGGACATATTCAGGAACAGGAAAATATGAAAACACAAACATGTTTACAATGTCAATTAGATAATCGAGCTGGTACCAGCCAGAATCAGTTACACGAAAGCGCAATCATTCTAACTATTACACCAACCGAGTTTATGAATCGCGCAGGTAACTTGTATTATTCAAACATTACAACTCTCGATTCTCGTGTAGTTCCAAACCGCAAGTACAACCCATACAATGGAAAGGGAAACACCAGGCAACTGATCCTTGCATTCCGACCGGTATAAAAAAAACCAGGCATTTTAATAACTCGAAGAAAAAGTTAACGACGAAGTAGTGAGAGCTGCCAAAGAGGTTTGCAACTGCAGCTTGATCTCATCCACCATTAGCAGTCCAGTCTTCACTTCAACTGGTGCTCAAACAAGGTTGCCATCTCAATCTGCAGTTCAATTCAAACTAAACTACTGTCAAGTATTGATATCTAGCAACAATTTGCCAGCTCGCATGGCCTCAAACAAGTGATACGCGGTTATGTTTTTTCATAAGTTAGGTTGACAGAAACTATAGGCCAGTCTCTTGGAAACAAGGCCGATTTGGAAATGAGATAATCTCTGGTTTGGAAGATGCTTATCGCTCTAATAAATGGCGCTCCCAAATGGCAGTGATAGTGAAAAGCTTCCTAAGGTTTTGCTATATGAAGGCACGGAGATAATATCTTTCAAATTTTAATTTAGACCATATGAAAAGCCGTAAGATAAAGAAATCTCACAGAGTAATGCATGGTTCAGTTGGGGGAAGATCACTAGAGGAAAAATTTCTCAAGTTACCAAAGAAGAAGATGTGACTTACAGCTGTAAGAGCAGCCTCAGCACCTTTGTTACCAACTTTCCCACCAGACCTGTCTAGAGCCTGCAGGATTATCAAATTAAAGAAATACTACAACAACTTCCCTGCAATCATGGACTAAGCGAGCATGCAAAACTATGTTATAACCTCACCTGGTTCATGTCATCACATGTAAGAACACCAAATATGCAAGGGACTCCTGCCAATCAATCAAAAAACAGAACCGAATTTTTAACAAAAGGAAACAAACCAAGGATTCAATATGATCGGCAGTATAAATGGCAGTTGCGGTTCACAAAGGATTTGATGTTAGAAATGCCTATTCTTGGTTCTGCTTGGTTCCACCTCTCATAACTTGTCAAGTGTGAAAACCCTACTAGATAAGGAAATGGACTTCTAGAAATCATAAATACCACTGTTGTTTTATATATAGGCCTCGAGAGAAATATCTCAGCAAATCAAACCCAAACCTAAGACATTTCCCCAATTCCATACATAAACCAGTTCAGGGTGACTCTAACTATAGAGATCCTTTTATTGCTATCTTACATACAATAAGCTTAGGCGACTACGAGAGATTAAATGATTCTCTCTTTGGTGTCAAACCATTTGTATGAGGAAAGGTAATAACATGCCCTTGGCCATCAACCCAGGTAACAAGCTTATGCACAGGGTCAAACTGTACCAAAATAGGATGTTACAACTCTAGCTATATACATGAAAGACAGAAAACTGAAATTGTTACTTTCGACGGTTAGCCTTCCCAAATCTACTCTAGTGCTGAAATACAACAAATCCCCGAAAAGGAATCGCCAACTAAGACCAGGAACATAGTGCGAGCCAACATTTCCAAAAGAGAAGCAAGAAGAAAGAAACCAGTAGTCAGTCATTCATTCATTCATGCCAGATGCACAAGAGGAAGAAGTACTACTAACCTGAATTTAGACCAGCCGACATTACTCCGGATGCAGCTGAATTTGCGACAGCATCATAGTGTGAGGTGTCACCTCGTACCTACAGATAAATCATAGAGTGGAAGCATTACGATCCTAGCAATCAGCATGCAGTGGTGAATCACATCACATTAGAAAGAAGCAAACATTTCGATGAAAATACGAAAGCAAGTAAGACTCTTCTGATTAAAGAAACGAAGAAACATCATACCACAGCGCCAATGCACACCACTGCATTGTAGTTCCCTGACCTGCCTAGCCTTTCAGCGGTTAAACATATTTCGAAAACACCAGGAACCCACACAACCTGAAAAAGTAAGCGGATCGTGATGAGAAACAGTTTGATAGTAATCGAGATAAAGAAAGAATCGAATAAAAGATCGAGCACTGCAAGAGTTGGGTCATCATACATCAATGTCTTCTTCATCAACGGAATACCTCCTGAAAGTTCCGATGGCTCCCTCTAAAAGCGGCCTAGTCACGATCTCATTGAATCGAGCAACCACCTTCCATGGGACAACCATGGCAAGCAATGCCCAAATTTCAGATTCCACGTCGAAAAGACTAACACAGTAGAACCAATCATAACGAGAGCTCACCACGGCAAAACGGAGGCCTTCAGTTTGGGAAATCGATCCAATATGATGCTTAACAGCTTCTGGAGCTTCCAGAGAAGACGACGAGTTCCCCTGACGCCTCCCAACGGTAGTAAGAGCGCGAGCATTACCAAACCCTGCCGGGAAAAAAAAGTTACATCCAAACTTAGATTCCCGTTACCCGATTATTTCCAAAATGCGAAAGCGATAGTGGAAAATAGTACCTTGCTGTGGCTGGGTCGCAGAGAGCGAAGAAGAAGAAAAACAGAGGTGGGTCGTCGTTTTGCCGCACGGCAGGTGATTGTATTGCTGGGAAACAGACGAGGACGTCAAATACTGCGTGGCAGTTGGAGCTGCTGCTAGAAACGCCATTGATGATGGAGAGATAGAGACGGAGTTTCTTGAGATAGAGAGATAGAAGAGTAAGGAAAATGAAGGAGCGGCCGCGATTGCTATAAGTAGTACAGAGCTCCATCTCCGGCGAAATTCTGTTGCTCGTTGAACTTCGACTGCCAGGCCGGAAGCACGCCGCTTTCTCTCTCTCTGTGTTTGGGCGCAGAAGCACGCCGCTCTCTGGTCGCCTGCTCGCGCATCAACCGAATTAAAAAGGCGTGGAACGAGTCGACATTGGTTACCCCGGTTGGACCATTGAGTCGGCCGAAAAATTGGGCTGTGGGTTGTCTGGTTAGATCGGGGCGAATCAGATCGACCATTCAACACACATTTTTCCTTTCTTATTTACTATTAAACACATACTTTCATAGATTGGTATTTGGTGTGGATGAAAATGAAAGGATGGAATGACAGATAATGTTGTGGCAATTTCGGGTGGGTTCGAATATTACGCTATATGGTCAATCCATTCGGCAAAAGCTTGTACATATACGATTATGGAGATCGAAGGGTTTCGGCGAGTAGAGAGTTAACCGGAACGACATGTGAACTAGCTATACGGTGCAATCCAATTTCCATAGCCGGTCCGGTTCACAAACCAGCTATGTTATTATTTTTTTACAGACAGGAAGAAAAAAACAGAAGCAGAAGAGGTAAAAATGGAAGTAAAAAGGAGAAGAAGAAAAAAAAAAACAGAGCAATGAAGTACCAGAGACAGATTACAGAGTGAATAATTTCTACAGTTTGGCAGGGTAACACAGCTAACATTTGAAACCGCGGCAAGCGAGGAGCCACAGTACTACAATGAGGATGAGTATTCCACCGCCGATCATCAGCTTCATCTGGAGATTCTGCAACCACATCTTCCGCCGCAGCTGCCTACCTTGCCTTTGGAAGCTGTCCGCCTGTACATTTAACAATTTCTTAGCTTGATTCTTGTTTTGTATCTCGAAACTAGATCTTCTTCATAGGCAGCACATCGTACCTGAAACTGCAGACTGTCTGTTTTGTCAACCAGGAGCTCGATCCTCTCTCCACGATCCAACACCTGCCAAGTAAACATACCGATTCTCAGCTACTTGTTTTCATTCAATCACAGACAGAGCACTGCACATTTCTTCTGCTACACGGGGGCGAAATGGAGAGGTCCTGCAGCCTTGAAGGACAATCTAACCGCATGAACACAGACAGGTACTGCATCTATGGTTTCCATTGACCGCAGTTGGACATCTAATTCTCTTCAAGCCCTTTTGCTTTGATTCTCTCAACTATTTGAGGTTTGCTTGTTCATTATTCGCACCGCGTGGCGGTTTATCAAGAACGTTAAAGCTCTTTTTAATCCTTGCCAATCAATGGACCAGTTGACTTTCACAAGATTTTTGACACTTGGATTGCTATGCATAACTACTAGCTAAACTCACAAGACTCTCATTTCGGACAACAACCTGAATCTTGGTCAAATGGTTTGCAATTTTTATCTGTCTGTGGGTTGCACCCAAAGTTTCCGGGTATATATGCAGAAACACTATGTTCATAGCTTTCAGTTTTCACCTAATTATCACGTTATATGGTAACTAACTGCAAACCAGGGCCACTTCAAGCAACATGAGGTGCCAATAAGCTAACAGATACTATTCCAGGAAGGGAGGATCAGTCCATAACCTTAAGCCCTCTATAAATAAAAGTGATATCGTCTGACAGCAAAGAATCGGACATAAGAATACCCATACCAGTTCTGCCAAAAGAACCATTAGGGAACTATAATAGACCTCCATTCTCAGGTAAATAAGAAAATTTGAAGCAAGTTTCGAACCTGAATGATTCAAGGTGATTACCCAAAAGCAAGCTATATGCTTACCTTCTCAATGTTGTCCATCATAATTCCCTTGACCTCAGTGATTTGAGCTTTCAATTTGGACAGCTTACTGATCTCTTCAGGATGTTCTATGCAGTACTGCATGTGCTCTTTAAGCCTTGGCCTAATAGAAGGAAGCAAAAAAAGAAGAGGTCATGAGAATCGGACCCTAAGCGAGGAAATGCAGATCAAAACAGAAGGAGCCGTACCCAAAGTCTCTATCGAGATTGTAAGCAATGCTAAATCGATCTTCGAACAAGTCATCGTCATCATCATCGACAAGAGGGTGTTCCTCATTTTTTATATTCCCCGCATAGCGCTGCTTGAAATCGTCCTTCACACGGTCAAGAAACACAAAGGGCACTGCCCTGCCCGCCGCCTCATCAGCAACCACAAGAAACACTGCATTGTTCAAAGAAACTTCTTTAGCAGCAGTTTCCATTTCCACGGAGAAACTAAAACCCCACTGACCGAGAATCAGAAGAAAAAAATAATTACCAAATGCATCGTCCTTGAGAAAGTTAAAAGTGTGGCCATCGCATGAGTAAGTGTACTTGTTGCTATTTGGAGGAAGTTTCTGCAAGCACTGAACAGCTATGGTACTAAAATTCCCGGAGTAAGATGTGTGCTCCGCTAACACAACAGTTCCCCTGGCCACAAAGCTATAGATCAAACCCCTACCACTCATTTTGTCAAATCCTTCCTTCAACAAGCATCAATCGCCTGCCTGCCAAAACAAAATCACAAAAATAACCCAGCTTCACATGGTGCACATTGAGCCCTAACCCTAAAACTAAAGAATTGCCAAAATCAGCAAGAACCCAATAAGAAATTCAAGAACTTTCTGCTGAAATCCCTAATCCCAAACAAAATCACAGTAAGAACAGACACCATCAATCCAATCGATAACAGTGACCTATCCAAATTCAGGGCACTAAAAACACAGAGGAAGCATATGCTTCTGAGTGACGATACTCCCGACGCCAATCAATCCGAGCAGAATCAAAATGTACGGAGAACAACGAGGCAAGGTTCCCGGTAATTTTGTTCCCCCCATCTAAACCAGGCGCAGATCTCACAAGCTCGAGCGCCGATGAAATTAAGCCGGGAAAGGGAACGGGGAAAATGCAACACCAACGTATCGTAAACAAATCGGGAGGACGAGCTTCGTCAATTAGCATAGACTTAAGGAAAGAACCGTTGAATAGCGATGTATGGCGACGAAGCCAGCGATCCGCTAAGCGGGGAAGTTGAAACAAAGTGGATCGCACCAGGAATTCAAACTCCCCACGGAAACAAAAATGAAGGTGGGAGAGAGGAAAGAACCTGTGAAGCTTTGCTTGGTGAGCTATGGAGCGATTGGTTAACTTAAGCCTTAAGCGAGTTGAGTCTTGACGGATGGTTGAAGAAGAAGAAGATTAATTGATGAATGATCATAGTCGCTTAACGAAAGAATTTTGCAGATGTCCAACAAGCAATGGAAATGCCGATATAAAAAAGAAAACACCGATAAATTAGCATAAATACTAAATAGTATTTTAGTAGTAATATAATTATGTTGGATCAATATATATTGCTGTAATATTAATGTCAAAATGCAATGAAATAAAATTTTATATTTTAGCCCGTAGTATACTCGTTGTAATCATTTAAAATTCTTGAATTATAATATGTATGTTGAAACGAAAATAAATCAAGATAGTGCAACCAATTGGGTAACATATCTACGTTGCCACTAAAGTTTGAGAATTGAGATAGACATATCACTTAAGTTTAAATAGAGCGTCGGATACCATTAAAGTCGTCAAAATGTACATCCATCTACTTTTCCACCCAACCCAAACTTTTAATTACTTTTTGGTACCCAAAACTTTTAAAAACATCCAAAAAAATATTTCAACAAGTTTTATCTAATATAATAATTAGAAAATCTTCTAAACATATTATTACTAAAATGACTGATCAATTTTTTCAATAAAATATATAAATTAATAAAAATAGTAAACGAATATCAAGAAAAATAATAAATATATTACAATATAATAATAAATATTTAAAATCAATATTATAATATATATTTGAACCCCTTAATTCAATTAGAAGCACCATTAAAAATAGTTAAAATAAAACACAATTGATCGTCAATACATCAAAATCAAAGAATGGAACACGATCAAAAAGAATTAAACATATTTCCCTAATTGAAAAATTTTAGAACGAAAAAAATGGAAAGCAACCAAGTAATAAATAAAATATAAAAGCTACAACATTCCTAAAAACGGTAGAAAAGAAAATATTATTATAAAAGCTACAACATTGTTTTTTTTACAACATTCATGGAATAATTTAATTATTAGAACACATAATGATATTGAAAATAATTATAATGATAATTGATTCTAAATTATCTATTCAAAAATTGGTTTGATATCAAGTATTCAAAAGAGTATTCTAACTAAAGAACAAAAAATTATGTTTTCATAAGTCCAAATGGTTTTTTTACAATAAGAAAAAGAGAAGGACTAATTATGAAATATAAAAAACGGAATATTCCAAGAATATTCTGTCAACTTTAACGGAATGCACTTAGCAGTAAATTTAAGTGGTACCGGGTGCATATATAATAGAGTTCAGTGAACAGTGGTACCCAACGCCCTATTCAAATTCAAGTGGTGTGTCTACCTCAATTCTCAAACTTAAATGACACCCAAGGTATTTTACCCCAACCAATTTCATAGGACAATTAGGTGATTGTTTTATCATATTTTATTAGTATATTTTTTAATGATATCTCATATATTTTTATTATTGAAGCTATTTTTCTCGAAAAGATATAATATGATATCTAATGCTTTTTTTTTTTTTTTTGCTACGGTTGGTGCTCACGGCTCACGCGCATATACAGTACAACACGCCACGCGCACCAATAACTCTACCTACCCTCTATCCTTCTCTCTCTCTCGCCAATCGCCATAGATCGCACCGTAATTCGAAACCCTAACCCTGTGAAATCATCTTATCAGAAGAAAGAAACCCCTACGACTCATCTCTTCCGTGTGATTTACGCCGTGGATTCCTCAGGCAAATCGCAACTCTTACCACCATGGTCATCGTCAAATTGCTGGAGCCTCGCGAACCCTAGCGGCCGTTGATTTGTCTTTTTCCGATTTTTTCCCTCTTGTCGACTCCTCGGTTTCGCGTAATTCCCCCATCTGTTCGCTGCCGTCTCACCCTCGCGAAATTCATGGAGGGCTCTGCGGCGGATGATCTCGGAGCCCCGGAATCATGGGAGGTGGCCGATTTGGACGAGACGGTGAGCCGCTTGATGCTCAAGGACTCGAAGAAGAAGCAGCAGCCGGCTCAGCAGGAGCTGCCTGATGATTTCGCCCTGGGTCCAGGTGGCGTTTCGTCCGGCTCCGCCGAGTCAGGGGGAAGCAGAGTGTCGGATGATGCTATCAGCCAGGTCGATCAGTTCCTCAGGGATGCCTTGCAGAACCCTCGTGAGCGTCTCTCTGGTATGTAAAATCGCTCGTAATTCTCATGTGTTGCTTGCTAGTTCGGTTTTGGGTCGTGTACTACTGCGAGCGTTTTCATGGAATCTATATCTCACAATCGCCGGCGTTCCCCTTTTCTTTTCGTAACTTGGCCTGGTTTGAACGTGATTTCTTCAGTTTCCCCACTGTTAACTGATAGTGGGCAGAGCTGCAAAGTAGTTTTTCCTGGAATTCGGCCGCCAAATTGCCAAGCTTGACCTGTGCTGCATCAATAACTTCTTCCTGGAATTAGTGGTCTTCCATCAGCAGGATGAAGGATAGTTGTCCGTTCAATAAAATGATCTCGATCTTATCTTATGTGCACTTGGAGATTTCTAGATTATAATTTACTCATTATATGTGAAGGCTCTAGGTTTAGGATGATAAGTTGACCATTCTCTACCAGTGATAACCTCTCAGTTTTGAGTCTCTTTATAAATGGCACTTTGAGAATTTATTATGCTAAGTGCTCATTAGTTTTGAAGCCTTCGGGTCTACGACTCTACCAGCAGTCACCAAAACTTTTCTCTAAATGCATGCCTAAACGACGGCCAGCTAATTATTAGAAGATTAAACAATCATGTAACCGATGGTCCAACCACAGAACATTTACTCGAGTGCGTTCTTCAATGTTTGGTAGATTATGTAATAAATCATTGGTGAACACCTTGAATTTTGATTGTGTACCCCCTTTTCCTCTACTTGGTTATTGTCAGTTGCTGGAAGAAAAGTATTCGGGAAAAGATGGGGAAAGATAGCCGGTCTTTCATTGTTCTGTATCTTAGATAGTGGGGTTGGATAAGCTGGACTTGTGAAGAATTCTTCTTCTGGACTCGGAAATAGCTGCTCACTTCTTTCCTTCTACTTACCCCATGATGCCATGTACTAAATTTCAGATAGATTTGTTGCTTGTGTGAGAGTTGACTCACTCTTCTGTTCCGGTATGTGGTTAGTGTAATATTCTCTATTCTCATTATGGATAACTCAAAATGTATTGGATGGTTTTTTTATCAGTTCTAAGAATGGAGCAAGACATTGAGAAGTTTATACGTGATCCAACACAGAAGCAATTGGAATTTCAGCAACTGCCCACTTCATACTTGAGATTAGCTGCACACCGGGTGGCACAGCATTATTCACTTCAATCAATGGTTTTGTTGGACAACAGTTTGCCTGATGGTTCCGGTTCAAGAATTATTGTGCAGAAGGCTTCTGGATGGAGGCTTCCTTTGATTCGCTTAGCTGACATCCCTGTGAATTTGCCATCTGAAGATGGTAGTGTCCTGAAGGTTGCAATTAAGCAGAGGCCACAGAAACACCCTCACAATGCCAACAATCCGAACTCAAATTCATCAAAATCGAATAGTTCCAAGAGTATGGAGGAAAGGAAAGAGGAATACAACAAGGCACGAGCTCGGATATTCAATTCCACCAATCATAGTGGTAGTTCTACTATGAAGGCAGAAACTCAACCAAGGTCACAGGATAACACAAAGAAAGGTTCGTTTGGTCCAGAGAAGGCACATGATAAATCAGGTTCAGGGATTTCTGATATTAATTCTGGAAGAGGTGTAATTGAACCTTCTACAAGCACCAGTGGATTGTCTAGACCCAGGATAGAAAAGGAGCCAGTTGGTAGGCCTAGGCAAAATAATAGGGTGGCCATATTCCGGGATCGTGAAATTGAGAGAAAGGATCCTGATTATGACAGGAGCTATGACAGGTTATAAATTCTGCAACTCCTGTCTACTTTTTAGAACCTTGAATTTTCTCTTGTTTGTTTGGAATTTAGCTTATCTCTTTAGCTTCATCTTCCAAAGGATGTGGTCTATGTTATTGTTTAGATGGACTAGGACAAGTGAATTGCCGCGTGGTTTAGCTCAAATCGTTGTTCTTTACTGTGTGGCTTTCTTGCATCATCATGTACATCCATTGAAAGATTGCAGCCATAGTTCTACAATTTCATTTACTTGTTCTTCATTTAGCAATTCAGTTTTTTTTTATGTTGTACATCACTGTGTGTTCACATTTGTTATTCCTTGAATGATTTACATGTTGCACTATCCACATATAAATTACACATTCTAGAACAATTGAATAGAGGATATATGTATAATTGCAAGAACAATTATTATTGGTTAGTATAGAACTATCTTATATAATGTCGATCTAGACGCCATCTAACAATGTGGGTTTGTTCTAGTGTTTGTTTAGAGATTAGAAAGACATTGACGGTTGAAACTGTTCGTCAGGTACACACAAAGATTTGATACTGGATTTGGCTACAGTGGAGGGCCTTACACAATCCAACCTATGTACGCCCCTGCATTGAGCTACAACACTGAATTTCCGCAACTTGGATCTGGTCACAGACCGCAGATGCCTACAGAACACCAGCCACATCCTCTCACACAACATATAGCTGGGCAATGGGCTGCTCCGTCTGCCCCTGCTGGATTAGGGTATGGTCATCCGGACACTATGATGCCACCTTATAGTCCGCATCATGTTGGTGTACGGTCCAACTCTGCTCTATATCTGCACCCCTCTCAATATCCCTGTCAGCGCCCAGGAATGCCTTTCATCGGGCCTCATGACCATGTTCAACCTTTTGCACAGGTATTTCAAGTCAATTTAGCTACTCTTCTCCATACCGCAGCTACTGTAGGCGGTCTAGATTTGATCACGTCAGCCCTAATGATAACCTATGACTCGATTGATTTTATCCGGAATTGTTGGTTCCTACTACTTATTCATCTCATTAGCAAGTTGTCATCATGCAGTCTCATCAACAGCAATCTGATGGCAGTTTTGGTTTAGCCCGGCCCCGGTAAGGGGCTTGGGCCTGCCTGCCCCCTGCCACTTGGTGCTTGAGCTTGAAAGTTTAATGGGCTTCGACAGACAACTACATTTTGCGTACCAAGTGACGGGGTGCAGGCAAAAACCCGAGGCCTGATCAGGACGGCGCGTACCTTGTTATGGACATCCATATCGATCCCGTCAGTCAGCCAGCCTTGGGTTCATGTGGGAGCTTCTTCTCGAAGTAATGAAGAAAGCTCCGGGCGAGTAGTAGGCAGCCTAGTATTAGGCTCTCTACGCTCCACAGATGATGATGACGAACAGTTCCCCAGAGACCACAATGTCTCTGCTTGTTTGGGTGCAGGTAGAGTCTTCTCTTTTGCTCTTCTCTTGTCCTTTCCCCCCTTTTGATTGGTACTCTGCTATTGAATGAAAAACTGAAAATGTGGCGTTGCTGCTTTCCTCGTACCTTCTCTGTGCTAACAGATCACCACGATTCGAAAGCAAAAAGGACTCCAGCCTCCGAATTATTGCGCTCCTGCTGTGGTGGATCTCCCCCCTTGATGGTCTCGCGCTTGCAATGCGCTTCCAAGGGTGTGCAGCAAGTCAAGTGGAGTATTGAATGACCTAAATTTGTATCATATGAATATGAATATACATCTGCTTTTACAGTACTCCCTGCAATGTTTCCCTTAGAATACCGCAGACTACTACTCTAGAGCTGAATTGTTGCCTTGCATGTTATGATTGCTTCTTCTAATTGGAGTTTGGTTCTTTCACGATCGGCGGCATTTAAAGCTCCCCTCCCGTCTCCTCGACAACGCTCTGCTGCATGAAACTGTTGGAATCGTTAAACAGCAGTACGAGCAATGTTTTTCGGAATCCTGGACACATTCAGTGATCCACCGATTTGAACAAGTAGACGAGTAGGGCGGTTAATGGAGGAGCAAAGAAATACGTAATTCGCGACAACCCAACTCTGTCAATGTTCTGAGATATGGTTCACTCTGCCCAGAATGGCTGCCATGTTTTGTACCTTCACGAGATTATGAATCAGTGGAAATAGCCAAAAGCTAAATGCATAATGTAAGATAGCCATTCTCGTTTCCTCATTTTCAAGAAAGAATCTATCCTTTCTTTTTTCACGAATGCAGAAGGAATCCTTTTCATGTCTTTTCTGTTACAACCAAGTAAAAGAACAACTATTTGACAAACAATTCATTCTGAGGGTTACTTGCACCATATCCTAACTGTTCCACTTGCTCAAAGCTACCTCGACGTTTTGGGAGCAGCATCTTTACGAAGCCATCCATTAACGAGAACAGAGTCAATGATAATCTGCACAGCATTTTGTTTCAGGTGAGATTATGGAGTGGTCAGAGCTAGCATACAAAACATAAAGGCAATATTACTCTGTAACATATCTTATTTATATACAACCTGAACTAAATGGGCGGCAACACATGGAAGAACCAGCAGTCCGGATTCGCCAAATGCACCACCGAGCTGTTCTACTACAGCCACCAGTACAGGAAGCGTTTTCTGGACCAAGCACAAGCCATGTCAGCCCCCTTTCCCCTTCTGTGACCATCATTTTACGAGGTGGCATAATAAAGAGATGGAATATGGAAGAGAACATCAAATCACGCTGCATCACCTGGCTCGCAACGAGCAGAAAAGCAGTAGCATTTTCTTTCTTAGAGAAAACTGATTGGTCGCCACCAGAAAGAGCGGCGAGGCTGTTTATGGAGATAGCATTGAAGGCTAACAGGACGAGGTGCAGAATTCTGCAGCAATTAACAGGTACAATTCAATTGTCAGGTTACCGAGTTGACACCACGAGAAATTACTTCTTTTAAGCAACATGTCAGCAATGAATGAAGGGTCATGCACGTTACTATTTCCTACACATATACAATCAGCAACATGACCCTGGAAAATCATTTGTACCCTGAATGTACCCTTTTATTGTCAACCATAATGCTATATACTCGTTTAAAAATAAGACTATCTAATTCCAGCACCAAATCAGAGAATGCAACCAAGCAGAAGAGCAGAGTGTGTTCTGAACACAAGTGGCGTGGGGGGTGGGAATAATCAACGATTTAAGAGATCCCAGATATGATCTAATGGAGAGCAGTTCAGAAGGCCCCGGTGAACTTTCTAGTACTTTTATTTTCAACTGGAAACCAGGCCGGCTAGCCATTTGAAAACACAACAAAACTGAAGCATAGCCCCTACTTACTTTCAGAGTTCAGAACTGATATAAGTAGCTTCATAGCAAAAATACAGTATTGCAGAGTTCTGTTTGATCATTTCATGGCCCCATGAAAGTGAGCAATCTCAAAAGGGAAGAAAAAAAAATCCTTCTGAACGAAAAAAGCATTATCAAAAGAACTAGGGTCAGGAACATACATCCCCATTCCAACTGCCACCAAGAAAACTGCAGGCTTCACCATAAGCAACAGTGACCTTGACCTGCTCACTTGTATCCACGGAACCTGCATAATCATAATGGTCAACTAAGACCCTAGCACTGAACTCACTACTTCAACTACAGTACATGAGACACTTTCAAATGCTGAGGTGTCATATATTTTTAAGTTCAGCAGAAATATTTTCTTTTTTGAGGTCACTAAAGAAAGTACAGTGGAAAACTTTTCAGAGATGGATGGTCTGCTTTTCGTACTTCTTTCTTGTATGAGATCACTAGAGACATGTAGCCAGCGAAATCTCCAAACACAAATGATGTATATTTTATAATTTGGTACCATGTATCCGCACCATAATTTCACGACCTTGTGGACATATATACGTCAATAAATCAAGTCCAATACAAATGCTAAATTGCAGCTTAGGAATAGCACAAGAAGCAAATTGGCAAATGTGGAACTTACTAAACTTAGAAGAACAGCTGATATCCTCGAAAAGAGCCGGCGGTTTTGATCAACAAAGTCTGCCAAGCCTGAAATGTACCTTCAATATAAGGACGCCATTCCTCAAAGCAGTGCATTCAATTAGAAAGTAAGAAAGCCCCCTGACAACAGACTATTAGTCGATAAACTACCCACGTGGATTGAAAAGAAAAAGGGATTCATTGTGAGAAATTTTTATTCTACCCAAACAAACATTTTTCAGACTAGAATCATGAAGATTGAACAAATAGTCTGGGATAATAAAGGCCCTGTCTTTTGACAAAGCCACATCATTGAAGTAGTAGTATACAAGCAAAGTTCACAATTAATATTTATCAGTGCAACCGACTGACTTCCAAGGGGCAAAAAAAAAAAAACTTGAGATACACACCTTTGAAGGACTCCCGAAAAATCTGTAGATAAAGTGGCAACATCAGCTCAGGAAATTGATGGGGAAAAGGCGTAGGTGCATTGCAAAAGTATGCATGACAGAAATAATTTTTCTTGGCACATGAAATATGATTCTTTTAAATAAGTGGTTGCACACATTGCTAATTTGCTATACTATCAATCTGATAGAAAAATCTAAAATAAACACGCAAAAAGAAAGACTCAAATGTGCTTGCGTCTTGCGCTCAACCTACCAGGGATTCTATGAATTGATATCCTCATATTTAGTATAATCTTTAAGAGTAAACGAAGTAGCAGCATGCTGTGTACAACAGAAGACTTACAGGAGAATTTCTCACAGCACAACTACCCATATAGAAGAAACATGTATAGTATTTACCTTGCCCAAGATTAGTGGTATTAGAAGTGTAGTGACTAGACTTCTAAACAGTTCCTTGGTTGGAACAGTTACACCCACTCCAGTGGCTACATACTTGGCGATAGAAAATGGAACCTGGAAAACGGCATTAATGTCAGCCTCATTCGTACTATAACAATAACCAGTTAACGGCTACATGGTGCCACAATATCTTCAGTAGAGGGTTCTCCCAAAACAAGCCATTTGCATGACTTACCATCAAAATTCCCAAAAGGCTTGATATCACTGTCATTGCAAGAGCCAGAGCTGAATTACCCCCAGCAAGCTGGATTGGTGAAATCACGACAAAACTAAGATTTTAGAAAACCTTGTGGAACGCAATGCAGGCGAAAATTGAAGCAAGTGATGAACCTGCGTCAGCGCCACTCCACTGGATAATGTGGTTGGCATGCAGCAAAATATGGCTAACCCTGTGGCAGAAATAAACTCTTAGGAACAGAACAGCAATGGAATCTAAGGCAAACTCCTGAGCTCATACGAGCACTTGAGGGATCCCTGAAGGATGTAAGGACATGTTCAATTAGGTTGTACTTGCGGAACAACAAACCTGACACAAACTCCTGAGGCTGGAGATGAATTTGAACAATTGCCCTTGAAAAACATGGAGTAAATATTAAGATGGAGAACTGCAATGAGAAAATTCTCTAGTCAAATGGAAGCCTAAGAGTAGCATGGAATGGACACAAGTGATAACCACAAATCGTAAAACCTTCAAAATATTGTTCTGATAGACAAGTGCAGTGGTCATGCACGCATCATTCAACACACATAACACGGTTTGACTAGTCGGTTTACTAAACACTGTACAACAAGGAGGAACACCTTTATTCAACCCATCTACTTTTCAAGATCTTAAGGTCCATGGCAAAGAGCACCCAAGCAAGCACAACAAGCATTTAAGGACTCCTCTGAGAGACTGAGACATGCATTTTCAGAGAAGAAACTAAATGAAGCTGATACAACAAGTTTCAGAGAGTGCCATTGCAGAAGGTTCATGTTCACTATGAAAAGATCAAATTAAAGCATATACTACACCAGTAGGCCATGACATCAAGATCTTCCTTTTGATGTAAAAAGATAAGACCGTTATTAAAATTGAAGGCAGAAGGAACGGGATAAGAAATGAAAAAAAGTAAAGGAGGATGCAAAACGTTACTGAGGCTGGACCTAGAAAAGCACAAGGTCATAAAGAGAATTCAAGGTCGTACAAGCCCAAGAACTCCCACTGGCCATGCTTCAGCAGCAGCGCCAATGTCCCCATTACGCAACGTCATACCTGCAAAAGGAAACAGAGAAAGCAACCCTAAGTCCAAGAGCGATGGCAGCTATCAAGAAATAACAAAACCATAGGAACCAAATTCAATTTTCTGACCGGAGATAATGAATATCACAAATGTGCTAAATTTCGACAGTTTATATCGATCAGCGAGACAGCCAAGACTGGGATTTGCAAGTCCAAGCACTACTCCACCCACAAGAGCTGTCATTGCAAACAGGGAAACAAATCGAAGGTAAATTAAGAAAGTTCAGAACTTTTGAACAAACACGAAAAGGAATTGCTGGAAATTCAGACTACCAAAGTTTTTGCTATATGGGAAGCCGCAACCATTCACAAAGACAAACAGAGACCTCATTACCCAATGGCAGAAAATTATTCCCCACAAAACTGAGCAACGGCTTCCGCCACCCGGCCTCCTTAGCCGAATCAGAACTCCTTGCAGCCTCATTTCCACTACCACCAGCCTACACAAAGGAAGACAGACGGAACAGTTGAAACGAACCCGAGTGAGTAACCGATTCGCACTTACAGTCTGTCCTCGTAATTCAACACTTACTTCTTTTGCAATCATCGTAGAAAGAAGTGAAATTAGGAGTCAAACCTGATTCGATGGTTTGCAGGCTCTGATTATGGTAGGAACACGAACTGAGCAGCTGTGATTGAAAGATAGTGAAGGATTGGAGCAACTTCGGGGACGAACTGCGGGTGGACTTGGTGCCCAATGGCGGAACAGAAGCCTTGGCGTTTGCGGAGAAGGAGGTGCCAGCATTAGGGTTTGAATGGTGCCCGCCATTGCTAGCACAACTGCTAGATTCACAGTCAGAAGAGTAAGCTACAGTTGATGCTCTCTCGTCGCCTCGAGTCTTATTAATGCTTTTGATATATTTGAGAAGATGAGTATTTTGCAACATTGACCAATTTCTGAAGTGTTGGAAAATGATAACCATTTTATTAGTCTTCTAATCAGCACCGGGAAACGGTGCGATATAGTTCAGAATAGACCATATATACGGTTTATGGTTCAGATTAAGAGACTGGAGTATAGACCACAGATTATATGGTCCGTTCCAGACCATGCATGTGCGGTCTGGTCCAGATATACCACACTCAACGAAAGATGAACAATTTGTTTAGTCAACCACATAAAAAGTTGAACCCAATAACCAAGGAATTTTTTTTTGTATTAAAACATTAATTCTAACATGCATGAATAATTTTGACACCCTAAATCATAGTACATAACAACGATACAAAGTAAAAGCATCCCAACTTGCACCATAACGTCATAAACATTAACATAATTCACATAGAGACACGATTATCTCTACTCTCTAGAGAAATGTGGTTGCGAATGAAGGAGGGGACGTGATTCTCAAAATTAAGGTTGAGACATGGATGTCGTTGTTGGAGTTGAGAAAGTGGTCGAATGTGCTGTTGTTAACATGTATTGAAAAGTCGGCTGGGTCTACAGTTTGGTATGGTAAACCGCGGTCTAGACCAAACCAGACCAAGAAATCAAAACGTCAAAATAGTACAAACCATGGACCAGACTATACTTAATGGTCTACGGTCCGGACCAAACTGTGTGGTCCGGTTTGGACCACGATTTTTTCTAACGGTTTGGTCTATTTTCCCGACCCTACGGCAATCTAAACCCTAAACCTATAATAATATAACGTCAAAACAAGCCAGATTTCAGACCTATTCAAACTCCAAGTTACTAGGGGTGCTTAGAATGAATTTTCAATTGTGAGGGAATGTTGAAATACGTGAAATTGAAATTGAAATTGCGATGCCATTAAAATGCTGTTATTTGAGTAGATAGTTTTATAGAAGAAATTGTATTGAATTGTTACTTCAAACCATGGAAATAATCCTATAGGTAGACAGGTAGATGAAAGAAGAAGAACAATAAAAACATGGGTTTATATACTCAAAACCCTAACAACCAAATCAGAGTTATCTATTTTGTTCATGATGAGAGAGCTAAAAAAAAAATACAAGGCAAAAGCGCCAACCCAAACAAGTATATTGGAAAATATTACATGACACAGCGATGTTTCATAAATCATAACAACCCAAACTACAAAGTAATTTGTTCATCGAAAGGATGCCGCTTACTTCTACTGCTATTAGAGCATGGTACAACACGTTCATCATCAAACCGGGACTGAAACCCGAGTTCTAGGAGAAACCTGAATTCCACCATTTCATTGGAAAAGGTAAACAACATCCGAGACATACATATGCATATTATTAGTCAGATACAAGCAAGTCTATGCAGCAGTCACAGTAGTCTCCGTCGTCTAGGCGGCCTTTGTTTCTGCAGCAGCAGCAGCAGGTGCAGGTGCTTCTGCTGCTTCCCAGAATGAAGTCTTCTTCCCGGTTTTCGACACAGTCTGGAGCACCGCATCAGGCTGCACATTTCCTTTCACGGTAACTTTCTGCTCCTTCATGTCGATGTCGAACGACTCCACCCCTGTACGCATCATGGTTCATAACAATGGTTTAAAAAGCTGAATCTGAAGTCAGGAACAGCATACAGAAGTTTCTAATCCCCTCACAATTTGGTAAACATCGTAATGTCATACAACACCAGATCATACTGCAATGTTGCTCAAAGCTAATAAGCCATAGTCCTAGCTCAACATTTGAGTTCAACTAAAAATCGGGATAAAGAGCAGTAATTGCAGGTAAGTGAGTGATCAAAAACCAACCTTCCATTTTGGTTAGCACCCTCTTTACAGCCCCCGAGCATCCCTCGCAGGACATTACAACCTTGAGCACAACAGTCTGCGAATGGAGCAAAATCCAACATCAAACGAATAAAGTAGACTGCTGCACGCGAGACCACATGGTTCAAGCTCAGAAACCAATGCCTTGCAAAATCAAATCTCACAAACAGATAGTGAATAAGATTGGGAGGGTGGCAAAGATGACAATGATGCAACTAAGAAGATTTAACTTAATCCATCCCTGAGCTTCAACTAACAAAATGCAGCCATTTCAAGCCCCGAATCGAACTTGCCAAGAATAAACCAAAAGCTCAAATTCAGCAAAGCCTGCCCCCCAAGCAGTTGCTTTGAATCGGATACTTCTAAAAACCAAGCAGTTCTGAAGCCGAGTCTGGGGAAAAGATCTCAACCCATTGATATCGGCTGACTGTGGTACACAACTGTCGTTGTTCACGCATTACATGTGGATTCAATCTGATGCAAAGGGGGAGATACTGCATCAGCATCTCAATTTCAGTTCAAACATAGATTTCTTCAATCGACTGGCCGAATAGATCGAACACCTTCAACGTCTTGAACCAATACTCAACCCCTGGGCTGACAAAACACGGCCTTGAACCAATCTTCACAATCTAACTAATCAAAAATTAGACATCCCCCAAAGGAAACTTTCACCTGGACAAGATCATGACTTGCACCAGGCACCCTGTTATCTCAATGGGTTAATAGTTGAAAAACACTCCCCCTCCTTACCTCAAACAAAACTATACCCTTTTTCCCTCAACTCCATGCAATCAAATTCTGGAGGAGGGATTACAAAAGGATTTACCAGGAACCCAACAACCCAGAACAGAATCCCTCCACAAGAAACTCAAATTCCTAGGCTTCTACCATCAAAATCCCCTCTAACTAAGCTTCGCCCACCAAAAGATTCAGACCCACGAACCACAACGACAATACCAATAAGCGAATCGAAAACGGAATACACCCAACGATACACAACAAAAGCAACCCAATCCAATTAAGCGCGCGGTAATACCTGAGACATGGCTTATGGAGATATTCAACGGAAGGAGGGAAAACCCGATGAGATGATTGCAACGGAGGAGGCTTCGTTCTCTTCTATAATTCCTTTTTCCCTCTCTCGTTGATTTTCAAAGGCAGTGGTTTCGCCTTTCGGTGCGGTTGCGGGGAGTTTTATAGCAACAAATCGGTTGGATGGAGAACGGTATTTGGGTCCAACTCTCTCTCTCTCTCTCTCTCAATCGTTTGCCAGAACGTCACGCAAACAACAACTCTCAAATAGGAGAACATTAGTACAAGTTAGTACGCGCCATATTCATCAGTACATTGGCCCTTTTATGCACGTCCGATATGGTCAGTACAGATTCCGCCTCTCTTTGATCAACGGTCGAAATCACATGGATTGTTTTTGAGAAAAGACCGAAACTTTCATCGCGATTCTAAATACTGAGATTTCCAGGTTGAAAATGAGTGACAAAACTGCCGGACTAAACCCTTTTCACTAGTATATGCACTCCAATCCATGGGGCATTTTATTACAGTCATGATCAAGAAGAAGAGCAGTAGAGTGACAAAGTTCATTTCTCATCGTATAACAAAGCCTTAATCATGGACTGACTGATCTCAGGGATGAGAGGGAACATGTGCCCTTTGCCAGGGAACTCATGGTACTTCACCCACAGCAGCTTCTTGGCAATGTAGCGCTGCAATGTCACCGGAACCATTTGGTCCTCCTCGCCGTGCCACAGATGAACAGAGCCTCCGCCGTCCGGTATGGGATTGATCTCCATGTCCATGGGGTCAAACTCCCACCTCCCGAATCCCACCATCATGTCTCTGTGTAAAGATTCGAAATTTCCCTGCTGCATTGGATATGCCCTCAGCTGCCCAGAACAAAAATGAAAAACAGGGGGAAACAGAGGAAAAACAGAGCATTAGTGAAAGATCAAGTCAGTAAAATGAAAAAAGTACCAATTTTGTTACCTCGTCACTTATCTCCTCGTTTGCTATTATTTCCAGGTCCTGGCTGGAGAAAACTTCAGCGCGTCCGGCCGCAACAGCCGAAGCAGGGAACCAATTCTGGGTGTTCCACCAGTAGGTTAGCCATGGAGCGTAATGGGCGACCCTTAGTGTCCATTGATCCTGTGGCAGCTGGAAGTAGTATGCTTCTGTAGATAAATTGGATGGGAAGCCAGGCCACCAGTAGTTCACCACGGGAGCGATCATTCCGGCTCCTGCTAGCCTGCCAAGCACGGTTGTAACGGATTGGGAAATCGGAACAATGCAACAAATTGAAGAACACAGATTTACGTTGTTCACTAACACGATGTTGTGTGTTAGCTAATCCACAGGTAAGAGACCAATGTCACCACATTTTGCGAGGCCCCTGTGATTTCCAATCAATGACAGATAATCTGTTTTCAACGAAACCCCACCATTTGGACCAATTGCTTCCCCAATGGCATCCAATTACCTACCTGTGAGGGATGTATTTGATGCAGCCCCAAACAGCCTGGCCGCCCATGGAGAACCCAAGCACATAGAACTTGGAACCGAGCCCCAACTGATCAGCAAGCTCCTCCACATCCATGGCCAAGCTCTCCGGGGTTCGATTGGGATCGGGATCGCTCTCTCCGTAACCGGGCCTGTCGAAAGACACAATATGCACCCCCAACTCCTGGTAAACTTCCTGTTGAAAATCAAACAATTCGTTCATGCTTACTGACCGGGGCTTGTGGAAAGCAAATTTATCATATGCTGCGCTACTGACCGGCGGGAAGGTAACGACTCGGTCGTAGCGACAAGAGGTGAAGCCATGGATGAAGATGAGCTTGAATTTCGCAACATCTTTGGGCAAGCCGTATTCTGTGTAGGCCAAATGCCTGCCGTCCCTGAGCTTGATTCTGGGTCCGGTGACCGGAGGACCACCCGGGCTGCCGCAGATCTTGGGTGGTGGAGGGTGAGTGATTTGATACACCCATCCAAAAATCACCATTGACAACACCATAGCTACCCTTCTCATCATCACCATCTCCCTCTGTTTCTGCCTGCCTGAAACAGAGGATGGGATGCGAAGAAAAGATGTCAAATTTTTTCAAGGCCGTTTCACTGAAACAAACATTGACAGATGATTTTACCACCCAATTAAACAAATAGAACAGTGAATCGATGATGGCGACTCGGGTTTGTTTTGAAGCAGACCCAAGGAAGAACAGAGGAGAATAAAAAACCGCAGTTTGAGAAGCGAACAAGTGGTAGCAGACGGTACCAGTAGGTTTGGTGGGAGGGAGTGATGATGCGTGGCGTCCATGCTGCCTGCAGAGCTGTTTCTGTGAATTTGTTTGTTTTAAAAAGTAGCAGAGATTTGTCCGTTGTGTTGAAAAAAGGTACAAACGTGAAACTGTGGCTCAGTGCTCGGATTGCTAATCGCGATAGATTCCTGCTGACAAGAGGTTTCAAGAAAGGGAAAAGGCAAAAAGGGTACACGAGTGGAGATGGACCCTAATGTTGATAGTGCCACTTATTTTAGAAAAAGCACCATAAATCATTATATGATAGACTGCATTCATTTCAAAGTCATTATAAGTTGGAAGAATTCTCAGAATACAATAAAAATTAAACATAATTCCGTAATACATAAAATTTATAAAATTTCCCAAACTACCCAAGTTTCAAAAGGTTCGAGTCCCATAAACTCAAACAACTTTCAAGTTCGACGATGAAAAACTTGAACTGGAATCAGATCGAGTTCCTAAAACTCTATCAACATTAGTTCGATTTTGGAGAAATCGATCAAAGTAGAACGATGACAAAGGACTCGATCATAGTAGATCGAGTTTGGACAACTCGATCCAGCAAGATCGATGCCAAAAACCTCGATCTAGTACAACAACTTTAAAGCACTCGATCCATATCTGCACAAGATCGATGCTTTAAAACTCGAACAACCAAAATCGATTCCAATGGGCTCGAACCACTGGTCCACCGACATGCTTCATGATAGGGTTGCAGGGATAAGATTCTTTGTTGTCATAGATCGAGTTTTAGGGACTCGAACTAGGGTAGTTCGATTACACTGAACTCGAACCACTACTCAATCATTCTGTCCAGTCGCTTTCGGTCCGACATGCTCCAGAATAGGGTGCAGGGGTAAAATTATTGGTTGCCCTAGATCGAGTTTAATGGACTTGAACTAGTGTAGTTCGAGTTTTTTGGACTCGAACCACTCCATCAGTTTACGAGGATAAAAAACCATCACTTAGCACATTATGGCAGCTCTCTTCCTTTCTATCTTCTTTCTTCCAAACACAAACTGCAGCTGCTGGAGCACCATAGCTGAGCAAAGAAGAAAATTTTTGGGGGTAAGTTCTGCTTACGTTGTTTGAATGAGCATATTAGAATTTTGGATTAATTTAGTATTGTTTGTACTGTATGTAATGAGCTGCTTCTATAAACTGCAGAAATGGGTAGAAATTTTCGAAAAGGTGGAATGGTCGAATTACACATTTTCATGATAGTATTGACTACGAAGATGGTGAATCAAGTACTGTCCGGATTCAGAACATATTTACTTGGCAAGAACTCAGTCATATTTGTGCGGAACGATGTTGCATAGGAGGGCGAAGAGTATGCAAGATGACTTACCGTATGCCGGTTTACAAGGATTATGCACTTGTATATGAATTATTAGTTTTGTCTGACGATGATGACATTAATATGATGGTGAGATTTATTGCAGAGAACAGATTTCCAACTGCTGAGGTGTATGTCGAGACAGAAGTTTTTGGCCAATATGGTGGCGGCGGTTATACCGAACAAGGTGAAGGATCGGGAGGGTTTTCCGGTTCAGGAGATTTCAGAGTCCTGCATGATGCACCATGGCCAACATACGAGGATCGAACTGCAACTGGTCCATTAGTGGAACATGACGGACAGGAGTGGCCAGTATGGGGTGAAGAATGGGATTACATAAGGGCACCCAGACAGTCACCCAGACAAGCATCTACACCAGCATCTGGCATCAACAATGATCCGTATGTGGATAAACCAAGTCCTCCGTACACTAGCGAGGCAAGCGATGTGGAAGATGAAGAGTTAGAATCAATGAGTAGTTCAGATGGTGAAATCTGGAAGTTGATGAGGGAGAATTTGAGCCCCCCACACCTCACTACACGATGGTGCCACAACATCCTCTCTATGCTCACAACGACGATCCTGACCTCCCTCCTATACCTATTTGGACTCTTGATTCTGGATTCGTGGTTGTCCAAACATTTGGAGGAAAGCCTCAGGTGGTCGATGCATTGAAAGAAACTGCTATGCGAAGAAGCTTTCAATATCGTGTCATCACTTCTGACACTAAACAAATTCATGTTCGTTGCGAGAACCATGGCGACGGATGCATGTGGCATGTTTTGGCGGCATATGTTAAAAGAAATGAGGCTTGGCTCATTCGTAAGACAGACAACAACCACACTTGTAGGTCGTCACTGATTTCTCTAGATCACCGACAATTGAGTGCAAGGAAGGTTGCACAAACAATCAAACGTCTGATTGAGGCACAACCTGGGATCACCGTAAAGAGTGTCATCGCTGAAGTGGAGAATCGACATGGCTATACCATCAGTTACAAGAAAGCATGGCATGGGAAGCAAAAAGCTATGGCAGAGGTGTATGGCGATTGGGAAGAGTCATTTGCTAACATGCCTCGTTTGATTCTTGCAATGGTGGACAAGAATCCCTGAATCGCTAAATGTCGCCCTTAAAATTGCTAACGGTCGCCCTAACTCTAATGATAAATGACTTATTTACCCCCAATAAAATTTCAAAATTTAAATAAACCAAACAATCCCTAACCCCTCAAACTGAACCCCTCATCTGCCTTCTTCGCGAATCCCTCTCGACGCACCAGTTCGTCGGCGTCTTTCCCGCCGACGTCGTCGCCCGTTCTCTACGAAATTTCCAAAAAAACGCTCAACCTAAGGCAAGTTACGGTTGGTCCGTGGTGCAACCGCAACTCACTTGCGGTTGGTCCATGGTGCAACCGCAAGTGAGCTGCGGTTGGCGGTTGGTCCATGGTGCAACCGCAAATGAGCTACGGTTCCCTTTTTTGTTTTTTTTTTCAATTTTTTTAGTGAACTTTACCGATTCAGAGTCGCTAGTCATGATAGAGACATCATATCGACGATTCCAACTCCGGAATGACGATGATGAATTCTCTCTTTTGAATAATGTTTTATTTTCTTTACTAAGAGGTGTTTGTTTGCTAAAGGAAGAGTAAAGTAGCTAAAAGGTTAAATTTGTAACTTTTATGTTTTTTAGGGCGACATTTAGCAATTTTAAGGGCGACCTTTAGCAACTCCCTATTTCTGGGTCTGATTTTGTGCCTAGTTATGAAGATTTCTATGGGGGTGCTAAACGCGTGTTTAAGTGACTATTTTGGGCATTCAAACCATGCATTGATGGTTTCACCCATTGTCTGCCAATAATCCAAGTTGATGGCACCTTTCTGACCGGCAAATACAAGGGCACTCTACTCATTGTCACTAGTGTTGATGGCAGTATGCAACTTTTCCCGCTTGCTTTTGCTATAGCCGAATCGGAGAACAACTTAAGTTGGGCATGGTTTTTTTCCCAACTATACACTCGTGTCACTCAACGGAAGGACATTGCCATACTTTCTAATCGACACCATGGAATTGCACATGCTTTCTACGACCTGCCCGAGGAGCTAGGGTGGAAGTGACGCTGGTGCATACGACATTTCAAAAGTAATTACGGGAAGCACTTTGGTAGAACTTATGGACAACGTGCAGTTTGGCACGCTGGTAAGAACAAATAAGATGTTGTGATTATATCAATTGGTTGAATGCGTATACTCCTTTACTAACCTTATTTTGCTTTATTGTAGCTATTGCTTTTCAGACTCGAAAGTTTGTAGACAAAATGAAGAGCATAAGGGAGGTCCACTCTGAAGGTGAAGATTGGCTAGAAACTCATCCTTTTGAGAGGTGGACGTTACATCAAGACGAAGGGTATAGGTATGGAATAACAACAACGAACATGGGTGAGTGCCTCAATGGTTTGTATGTTGGTCTTCGTGCAATGCCTATCTCATCTATAGTCTTGCATACCTTCTTTCGTACGGTGACATGGTTCATTGAACGCTACCAAGCAGCATATCAGATGCTGAATGCTGGAATCTACATCCCAAAGAAGATTACGGATGATATGAAACCATGGTCGGAAAGGGCAAAATGGCATAAGGTGACTTTATTTAGTCGAAGAGATTCCCGCTTCGCAGTAGTAACAGGAAGTGGCCCAGATAGTTCAAAGGGTGGTAATGCTCAAACAGGTATACTGGATGCAAAGAATGGAATAAGAGAGTGTACTTGTGGGAAGTTACAAGGGAGACACCTGCCTTGCTCTCATGCATATGCAGCTGCGAGAAGCGTTAATTTGAACCCTTTGATATTAGTTAGTCCATACTACAAGACTCCATACGTGGTCAGAGTTTAGGAAGGGTCGTTCTTTCCCTTAGCTCATGAAGCATATTGTCCCCAGTATGATGGACCTGTAGTGTACCCTCCCTAGCACATGAAGCGTACCAAAGGTCGACCTAGAGTTAACCGAATTGCAAATGAAATGGATAGATCAAGGACACAGCGACGCCGCCCGAAGAAGTGCTCTGCATGTCGAGTTGAAGGGCATGATAGGCGCTAGTGTCCAGGGCCATCGACTGATAATTGAAAGTTTATGTTGTAATTTGAATTTTATGTTGTGATTTAAGAACTTTATGTTGTAATTTGAAATTTATGTTGTGATTTAAGAAATTTATGTTGTAATTTGAATTTTATGTTGTGATTTAAGAACTTTATGTTGTAATTTGAATTGTATGTTGTGAAATAGAAAAACTTAACAACTCTAGAGAAATAGAACACCTTAACAACTCTAAAGAAATAGAACAACTTAACAACTCTAAAGAAATAGAACAACTTAACAAACGTCATTAGAAATAGAACAACTTAACAACTCTAAGGAAACAGAGCAACTTAACAACTCTAAAGAACACCTCACTCTTGTGCACAACGTCCGCGTCCCTCTCTTCGACGTCTATTCCTTGAACGAACTCCATATCCAATTCCAGTATTTCGTGGCAATGGAGGTGGGGTTGCAGTGGCTGGAGGAGCCCCTCTATATAGGGATGGAGCCTCCAAAGTCAACCCGGGTGTTTTTTCAGTTCGTATGGATTGTCGGTATAGTTTGTCATTTTTGTCCACCATGTTCGTACTGTTTGTATGTCTAAAAAACACCCGGGTTGACTTTGGGAAGGAGCCCCCTCTATATAGGGATGGAGCCTCCAAAGTCAACCCGGGTGTTTTTTCTTTTTGTATGGTTTGTATTGTTTGTCGGTCTAGTTTGTATTGTTTGTACAGTTCATACGTTTGTAATGTTTGTAAATTTGTTTGTATGTTTTGTCGCTCTAGTTTGTACTGTTCGTATGTTTGTATGGTTTGTACTGATCCTAAGTCCGGTTTGTATACTTCGTAATTTTACATAATACCCAAACTACCCCTGTCATTAATTAAATAGCCCTTCCCACTTTTTAACCATCAGATTGATCTGTCCAGATCTAAGGGCTGGGAGGGACTTAGTCAAGTGACTAAGCACCCCCTTAGTCACCAGATCCGCTCTCCTCAAGTGGCTCTGGCCTACCCGTCTCTTCTATTGCTCAAGCAAACGGCCCAATACTGGCCCATTTTTGTTATCTGATAACTATGCTCCTTGGCAACAATGGCAAGGCCGATTATTAGGCCTTAATAAACAAGGCCTTCGGCCCACAATGGTTAATCAATCAATGGATTAGCTAAGTCCATTTAATTTACCCTTTAAAATGAGGAATTTTACGATGTGTGTATTGGTGCTATAGCTTTTTGTATTTACGGTACAATTAGTGGCGGATCCAGGGGGTGGCCACCCGCCCTCCCCTGGATCCGGAATTAATATAGCCCATATTAGTTTATCGATTTTAGCCATTGACCTAGTGTTATTTTATAATAAAATTGTGGATAATTAGGAAAATGGATAAGATGAACATATTCAAATTAGAAGTCTAAATTTAGCCTGAAAATTCTAATTACAATGATTCTCTTGTAAATAAAAAGAAACAATGAAACCTAAAATTCTAAAACGCAAAAGACTAAAAGAAATATTAGGTTTATTCCCTTAAAAAATTACTAAAGCAGCTTATGAAAATATGAATTGATACACAATATATGGCTAAATTACATATTTGGTCACTCAAATTACATAAATCTTTCACGTTTGCCACACGAATTACTTTTCTTTCTTATTGACCACTAACTTTACGAATCGTTTCATCGTTGGTCACTGGCCGTCAGTCTCCGTTAACGCCGTCAGATTTTTGATGACGTGGCAAACAGAATTGCTGACTAATCTGTTAACTTAATGACATGTCAATTAAAAATAAAAAACATTACACCTCATTCTCTTTCTCCTCCCTCTTCGCACGACTAGCAGTCCAACCGGAAGGACGACCGCCGCCCTCCTCCTTCATTATTCCAACCAAAGCAAGTTGGGACTTCACCTAAAAATCTGTTCCTCCAACGAATCAGGACTCAAGATCGACAAACTTGCACATGCTGGGATGAATTCGACCTAAAAGATTCATGGCGTTGAAATCGATTGAGATAATTCGGCCTTGTGGTTGTGGCATCCAATCCCCGTCCAATTTGTGCAGTTGGAACCAAACAATGGAAAAATCAAAACAAAAGAATAGAGGGAGTCGAAACCTTCAACTGCCCTGACAGCTACTTGTCGACGAGAACGTCGCCGTTAGGTCTGTCTCCAGTGAAATCCCAACACAGGTCTCCACCATCAAGTTCAAGAAGAGAAAATAAAATCAAAATTGAAACTCCTTATACTCAGAATCCAAAGAAAACCCTAAAAATAGACAAGAATTGAAAAGGAACAGACCACTTACCGTTCTTTCTCTCGCCGACGAGGAGAGCAGAGCAGCGGCAGATTACGATCGAGGGAGGAGAGGAGAATGCGATTTGGGGTTCTTAGTCTGGGTTTGATAGAAGAGGGAGAAAGGGAGTAGGTCGAGAAGAGAGGGAGAGATGAAGGAGAGATTCAATTGATTTTTCTGTTCCTTATGTCTATCGCTCTTCAGAGGCAATCAGAGAAGATAAAAGGTGAGAAAGAAGAGGAATCGCACGAGAAGTAGAGATGAGGGAGGAGGACGACGGTGACGAGAAGGGAGGAATAGGGGAAGATTGACGAGCATTAATATTTCTTTTTTGCTTTATTTTTTGTTTTTAATAAAAAATTCCATCTCAGCTTTTGTCAGTCCGGTCAGCAGTTCTGGTTGCCATGTCATAAAAAATTTAACGGCGTTAACGGAATCTGACGGAGACTAACGGTCGGTGACCAACGCTGAAACGATTCGTAAAGTTAATGGCCAATAAGAAAGAAAAGTAATTTGGGTGGCAAACGTGAAAGATTTATATAATTTGAGTGACCAAACGTGTAATTTAGCCCACAATATATATTGATTAGTTGATTGATTTGTCCAGTGTTGACATTTGCATAACAAAATAAGCGATGAATTTCTCGCTAATCGGTTAACTATTATATCTTAAAGAGAGTATGCTATTGGTGTGGATGTAAACTCCATTATTGATGAATTCTCTATATTCAAATTTAAAAGATCGACGTGTACAATTGATATTGTAAAAAAACTGATTTTTTTACGATATCTAATTTTCTAATGAAATGCGGCCAAGTGCTCTACTGTGTCCCGGATCTGCCGCTGGGTACAACTTCTCTAACGTTATGGTACAGCTTCAGATTGTACCTATACTCTTTTGTACAAATTCTTTTATGGTACAACTTAAACTTGTATCTTGATGTGATGGTGCAACTTTAAGTTATAAAGTTGTACCATAACATAAGGGTACAAATTCTTTTATGGCACAACCTTAACTCATACTAGGATTCAGCCCGCGCTCTGCTGCGGGATACTATTTCTGTCATAATTTAAATGGGATTTAATATAATCTATAACCATAACTGTTATGTCCCAAACATAGACATAAATGTTGTCATTGTCATAAACATAAAAACTGCGGTCATTATGCAAAAGATTGACTGGGTTTGCAGAATAAACATGAATGTAGTTAGGAGTGTAACCAAGTCTCCACGATATATCTACTAAACTAATAAAAGTTCCATGGCGGAGACTGAAGATTTGGAATACAGTAGGACAAAATGCTTTCAGAAGTTTTGTGCCTTTGTTGTTTGCACGATATCAAAATGGCAAGCTTCGAAGGACAACATCATTTCTCGAATGCTGATCGGTCCCACAGGGTGAGCACTGTCGCTCTCGGATGCATGTCTGAATCACTGTCCCCCACTTTTTTCCATGCGACATTCAACTCCGCAACATATTTTTTGTTACAATTCTTTGCGATCAATTCGATGATTTCGTCCTTCTTCAGAAACTGATAATCAGATGGTGACTTACGAATAAGTGACAAAGCTGCTTCATGCTTAAACACCACATCTATTTCAGATCCTCCTTGGCGACATTTCCCTTCCAGTTTGTATGTCAGTCTTGCAATAAAGTTTTTTTTGTTAGGTTATACAAAGAGTATTATTATGCCTTGTGTAAACATGGGAGAATGGTCAGAAGCTTACCCTGTGTTCTCTCCACGAACTTTGCAGATGCTTTTTCTGTATATAAACCTTGGAATGTTAATCAATGTCATGTAAGTAACCTGTTGCAAAAAATGTCAGATGTATTATACAGGTAAACAGATGGAAATGAACAGCTGTTGTCAATGTTGGTGTTTGTTCGTTTACCTCTGTGAAATCTGATAGGTCCTCCATCCTTTCTTTTATCTCTCTCAGCGATTTCTTTTGCAGTTGATTGCTCAGCAGGTGTCCAGTTTTTTTGCAAGTGGCATCATCGATGAAGTATACTGGTTTGCGACATGCAAGAAAGCTAGACGTTGAAAATAAATGTGTAAGTATCACTAACTCGATAGGAGTTGAACCAATCAGTTGGGTAAACCAATATACAACAACTCACATGTTCATGACATCCTTGCAGCAGTCCTGATAAGAATGGATGATGAGCTTGCTTGCAATTGTGGATTGAAATTCATGCTGATACTTTCTGTTATGTCTAGGGGTTACTCTACTAACTGATCTGATTGTCACAATCAGTGGTAACTTTGACTCAATTGCTGGAGCATTCTTTTGAAAATCATCAATGTCATGCCCACTGTATTCAACATAAGCCTTTGCCCCACTTATTGCAAACCAATGCGTTAACTATACATTTTGACAAAGTAAAAAAAAAGTGTACAATCTTAAGTGCATACCAGACATCTTGTATGAGCAGGTCTAATTTCTGAATCCTTCCTTTAATTGTTTCTGGATGAGTTAGTCTTCTAACACATCCTGTAACATCTATAGATTTAATGTTTGTTATGCTTTGTTTAATGGTGTTCTTAATCATGGATAGAGAGACATATATTTACCTGAATGGCAGACAAAGTCCTCTGATAGTTGAGGCACAATGGAAAAATCGGCTGCTGTGTATGATCCTGCTGGGAATTGTTGGGGTCCATTTCCTTCTTCAATGTGTCTCCTAATTTGATATGAAGTGAGGAGCAGGCGTAACTCTCGATGGACAACGCGTTGCACTGACCTTGCTGGACCTGCTACAATATCTTGTAGTTCATGCAGGCAACCAACCTTTATTTTCTGAAAAACCTCAGATGCATCTTCTTCTTCAACTTGTGCTTCGATCAATTTGTTCTGTAAAGTCAATGGTAGATAAATATGTTGTCAAGAGTTTTTGTTCTTTTAGCATTTGGCAGTAGGTTAATTGATGTCCAGGGTTTGTATATTGGCAAGTTCTTTTGTCCTAACACTGAATCAAATGCTCTGACGAATATTTATGAATATGGTTTGGGTATTTGGAGTCAAACCTTTTTGTCAAGCCAGAGCATGTGATGTGTCCTTTTCTTCCATGTGGATAAAGGCACTTCTCGGAACTCGGTCCATGTAACGACATGTCTTGCTATAACGGTTCGATTGTTTGTTCCCAAACGCAGTCCCCGAAAGCACATGCTTGATTCAATAGACTCTGCAATCCGATTAAAGAGGAATCGATAAATAATAAATGGGAAAAACTTGCATAGGAATCGAGATGCGCTTGTCGGATTTCTTTCCAGATTCAATGTATTTACCTTTCAGTTCGTTCGGGTCCATTTTGTGTGGGTCCACGGAATCTCACGTATCAGTCGTACTATACAACTGTAAATCTGTTGGGTAGAAGAATGCTTGCAGTTCTTCGAGATCTTGGTTTCCCTTTTTTTTTTCTTTAATCTTGACTGCGCGGTTGATTTTAGAAGGCATAAAAAACAATCGGTAGTTTATGTAAGCTAGGGTTAACTTAGGATAAGTCCTTTTTGGATCGATTGTTTGGGCCTTGACATCGTGTTTGGGCTCTGTATGGTATGCAATGGGTTCTAACTATTGAATCAGGCCTTTTCTCGAAAAGGCTACAATACGCTCCTGCGATGAATGTCTGTCAAGTTGTATCAGTTGGGCTCATCGATTTTCTTTATAAGTTCTCTCTGGATAGTCCGAACCGATGTTAACTGATCATAACTCATGACTGCTTTCAAGCTTTGAGTTTCGAAATAATAAACACAAAACGTGTCTCTTGTTAAGAACAACGCAAGAACTGAAAGAACAAATTTCCCCAGGCGTAAAATTCATAAAGTTGGGAGAGTTAATAATAATCACTTCGAGCTTCTTCGATGCTTTCAAAAGTAACCAGGTGCAATATCTGTGAAGGCTTCTGAATATACAATGTTTCTCGTGTAATTGGCTGGAATATCCTCTTCATTTTCAATCAAGAATCTCAAACCACTTGCAGATCTTACTCTTGATGCTGCCACATAAAGCTGTCCATGACTGAATACTGGTTTGGGCAAATAGACTCCAACCTTGTCCAGCATCTGACCTTGGCTCTTATTTATAGTCATCCCATAACATAACCATACTAGGAATTGCCTCCTCTTCAGTATAAAGGGCCAGCATTTGTCTTCTACGTTGAGTACTATTCGTGGTATAACAACCTCTTTTGTGTCAAAAGATCCTCCCATGATGTTTCCAACAATGATATTTTCCCCCAATTTCGTAATCAATATCCTCGTACCGTTGCACAGGCCGTTTGGTGGACTCAAATTTCTCAGCAACATGATCGGAGTGTGAACCTTAAGTCTTATTTCATGATCTGGAACACCATTGAACTGAAGAGCATTCAAAAATTCTGTTGGGTAAGTTTCAGCAAATAGTTGAGGTACCTCTGTATCAAGTTGCATAGAGTCTGAACTGTAGTAGCAACGGCAATGTCCAGGAATTTTTTGCAACATGAAGTCATTCACTTCAGTCACAACTGCATTAGTAGGAGTAACGATTGCCCTTCCACTTAGGTAATCTGTGCTCATGTGTTGTTCCTCAAATGTGTCATATATGTCATTTGTGATTGACTCGATTGGATTTTTTCCAGCATATATCAAGAGTATTTGTGGTATCTCAATCCAATCTGAAGGTGTGTTAGCCATAAAGGATTTTGTTGGAAGCCTTCCATCTCCTAGCGCCAGAATCCACTCACCAAAGTTCATTCCACAGCCGACCAGGTTTCTATTATCCTGTGAATCATTAAGCCTCATGTTCCTTGATAGTTTGAGCACTTTAAAAAAGGGCCACAATGATGACCTTGTGATGGATCCATCCACTGTTTGTTCCCTTCCTGAATCTGAAATTACTGGTAGAGTCTGTCTAAAATCACCACCAAAGACGACTGTTTTCCCTCCAAACAACTTGTGTTTTGGACCTGATAATGGTATGTCCATCAAATCACAAAACGTCCTGCTTATAGCCTCAAATGCATTTCGATGTGTCATTGGTGCTTCGTCCCAAATAATCAATGAAGCTGCACGTATTAGCTCAGCTAAATGAGTACCTTTCTTTATGGAACATGTAGATGCATGGTCTATATGAAGGGGAATCTTGAACCTTGAATGAGCAGTTGTGCCATTTGGTAGTAGTGTGGCTGCTATTCCAGATGAGGCAACAACTATAGCAATTCTGGAAAGACTTTTTAATTTTGCAATGATTGCATTGTAGAGAAAAATCTTGCCTGTTCCTCCATGGCTATATAGGAAAAATGAAGTGCCAAGGTTGTAGTTGATGGAGAGAATAATGAGTGTGAAAGCCTCTAGCTGTTTTGTGTTCAGTTTGCTAACCATAGTATTTGCCAGTAACCTTTGTTGATCATCATCAAAGTTGAGATGCTCATTAATCAGGGGATTTGATCCATCGTCGGGTTCTGAATCTGTCGGTCTTGGGAGATGTAATTGCTGAAGTGAAGAACCATAAGTCCTCAGTAAAGTTTCCAGCTGATGTAACACCCAATTCTTAAGTCTCTCATCTGAAGGCTGGAAAGTTTTTGAGTGTAGCTGTTTACGAAGAGAATAAACATGATCTTCACTCATTAACCTCCATGAAGATTCAAATAGAGCATTAGGATCAGGTATCTCGCAGAACATCATCACTGAAACAAATGTAGTCCGTATTATGTGTGGCATACTTGATGCTGCAATTTCTTGTAATACCTGAATCCATTCTGAAGAGTCCGACAGAAGCCCCAACTTTTGACATGCTCTTTCGTAAGTACTACAAACCTCCCCTTGTATTGTTCTTAAATTGAGGAAGCTTGTTGCTCCTCTTACTTTGGTCAATAGCAGCCTAAGAAAGAATATATCATCACTTCCCGGAGGAACATATGCTATCCTTCCTATTGCGAAACCTCTTTTCCTTGGAGTCCATTCACTGTATTCTTCATTCCATGTAAAGGAATTTGGTATCTGAGCATATGTAAGCTTTCTTGCATTGCAATCATGTCTGTTAAGTTCAAACCACGAAGTAAGATGAGTTTTGCCTGCCCTTGGATTTTGCAAAACATTTTGAATATTTGACCTTCTCTTGTATGAAACATTTTGTTGTCCATCCATGTGTACACCAAGTCGAACCACATTAGGCTCTCTGTGGTGTATAGAATACTCGTTGATTCTCCGTATAGCTTTGTATGAGGACAGCGACCTGCAATCAATGAACTCTTGTATCTCGTCTCTGGTTTTTTTTGTTATATTCGATGGCACCTGAACTGAGCTTGTCGAATCTTCTGCAACAATAAGAGATCTATCTGGTCCTTTAGTAATGTACTTAAATAAGTACTTCACTAAGCCTCCCTTGTGACATATCTCCACATTAATATGGGCTTGAGCTCTAACCAATAAGTTCCGATTGTATGGAACGACATATCTATTATCCAGCATTGCCTTTCCTTTTTGAACCTGAATGCCGGAATTTCTTCTTCTGTACACAACATTGCCAAACTTGTCGAACGAAGTTTCTGAACAGAATTCTTTTGGAAAATACTTCGAACATTTACCATCTTTCATACATGGTGAAGTGGGGTTGTTAACACCACAAGGTCCATGAATCATGAACTTAACCACTGCAGCATACCCTTCTGGATCTAGATTGGGGTCTGGTATCTCTGCAGAAATCATCTCATCAATGTCAGATGTTGACTTTAGCTTATCCTCTTTGGCCAACCATATAAGCATATGGACATGTGGGAGGCCCTTCTTCTGAAACTCAACTGTGTAGATTACTACGGAAAAACAGTCCATCATTTGAACTTGATAGCTCATTCAAACAATAAAAGAAATTTTATACAATGAAAGGTCATCTACAGGTAACTCACTGGCTATCGTTTTTCTGAAATATGATTCTCTTTTAAACTCGTTAATTAATATGGCAAGCTTCATGTGAAACACACGGCAGACCACCATAGGCTTCAACTCGCTGTTTGGTCCAACCATATCTGCAAAAGCATCAACAATTTCTTCCCAAAGAGCATTACAGGTAAATGTAACAAATAAATCTGGGTTACCATAATGTTGACAGGTTGCCATAGCATCATGATATAGTTGCTGCATATATCTTGGTCCTCCTGTATAAGATGATGGCATTATAATTCTTCCAAGTTTTTCTCCATCCATGTCTCCCTTTGCAAAAGCATCCTGCAACCCCTGATAAACTTCTGCTCTTAAATCTTTTTTATGAGTTCTAAGAAATGCCAGGCGATTGAGTTCAATTGTTGAAAATGCATCAACACAGTAATGTTGCAATGCCTTGCCACTTTGAACCAGTGTATGCCCCTCATTCAATCGATACTGAAGTCTAAAAGCATAATACTCTTTTTGAGTAACAAATATTCTGCGCATGGATGCTGGACAAAAGGAGGCATTATAAGATATTTGAGGATGAAACCCATCTTCTCCGTACGGGAATAGCAATGGGAAGTGAAGAGCCTCGAATTTTGGGTTGAGGCTTGTTATACGTTTCAGCCCTTCTCCTCGATGGTCAACAATGATATCTCTATCCTCCCTATCTGCAACAAAATCACCAGGTATTAAGGCTGCAATATCATAGCTAGTTGGCAAGTCATATTGTCGATTCCTACTTTTGATCCCAAAGATTCTGAGTCGGAGATTTGGTGTGGAAGAAAGCTGGAGATCTTGTCGAATGCGCCTAAATGTTCTGACCAACTCGTTGTTTTCATCAAGCATTCGAAGTAAACTTGCAAGTAACTCAGGCAGCAAGACTTCCTCTCGAGATGCGAAGTTTGCAAGTCTATTGTTAACCTCATTTTCAGGTTCAAATATATATAGCTGAGCAAACTTGGGCCTATTTCCATCAACTGGAAGTAAGGATCCAATCCTATGGTAATTCTCACCACAAATAACCATCGAATAAGGTCCTCTTGTTGTCAAAGAGCGTGGATCCAGTTTGGCTCCAAAAGATGTGAAACACAAAGAACATTGTAGGGTCTAATGTTGTCTCTAAAATGCTTTGACATTGCACCTCCATTAAGATCCAACAGCTGAGCAAGCAATGGAGGTGGTGGCTTTAACAGGGGAATGCAAACTCTTCCTTTCTGACAACAAAGACTATACACAGGATTTAAGGATTTCCTGTGTCGATCCAATCGTTCAGCATACCAAAAAAAAGCACCACAAAACTGACATACACAGTCAGGTTTTCCAACGCTCAGCCTATCATTGTGCAATGGCTTCCTTGCAGTTGGGACATCAGCTGATGCTTTCTTTGCTTTTTGATATTGACGATCATTTGTAGCTAAACTGCAAGATGCCTCATCACCACCCATTTCTGTATAAGGATTTGGAGGAACGAACTCACTGTTGTGATCATTTGTCGACTTTGAAATTTCCCCTGAGAGAATGAACGGCAGGCTTCTCAATCTCTTGTCTACTCTGGTGTTATCCACGTTCATATCTGTAAAGCTGTTTGCTGGATTCCTGGAGGATTCGATTGTGAAAGAAGTGTCACCTCTCTTTCGCTTCAACAGGTTGGAAGTCGCTCTCTTCTTTCTAGGTGTCATTCTGATTACATGAAGTAAATGTTTGATATCCAGTCAGACTTAAATGAGCCAAAAACAAAAGTCAATAACTGCAAACTTCAGTGTTCTGTCTTGGTCAGACAGACAAAGAAGAGGATCCAAATCATTTAAAGAGGTTCCATTAATGCGTAACTGAAGAATAACGAATACAGACATGCTTAACTGTATCTGATGACGTGGTCTATATCACCAATGATGAGTGTCTCTGACTTGTAGCTCCAAACAGCTGATCATAAGGTCCTACCTTGCTGCATACTCCAGCTAGCTGCTATTCCACTGAAGGGAAAAAGTCGACACAAACAGAATTACTTGCTGAACACAGGAGCAAAAACCAGAGGGCAAAGAGAAAGTTGAAGGTCCATTGACGAAATCTCTTTGATATCTGATGTGTTCCTTGATAAGGTATTATACAATCAATATATAATTTTATATCAGGTGTCTAATCTCTATCCAAGTAGTCATTGTGACAACTGGTTCTGTAACCAAGGGTAAACAATGATGGCTTTTGCATTTAATGCTTTAGATTTTGGGCATATAATTAACCCAAATTATTTAAATCCTGCAACCCAAAAGATTCCTTTTAATATTAGCACATGTCTACTATCCATTACCAATCTCGCCTGTTCTTATCATATTTTTCTTGTGGACAATGCTTACTCTTTCCCATCACATGAAGTAAAGAACATTTTTGTGATATTTGCATATACATACAGCTAAAACATAAATGTCAAACATTGGCACCTTAGATAAAAACTATATTCCTTGATAATACATAAAAACTGCTGAGCATCCACATCCTACAAAAGAGGGACCAAAAGGCAAGAATTTGGCCCACACTGGGGTCACAACATTTCAGGTGTCCAAACTGACCACCCTGATTTTGCACAGAAAATTACATGCACTTAAAACTTACACTTCATAAACAGATACCCGAAGTACCATTAGTTTTGTCTAGAAACCAACCACATAATTTCCACAAAGTTGCCAAAATTAGCCAAGAAAGGCAAAAACAAAGTTTACAAACAGGTTCCCCAGAAGTTTACAAAAGAGCTGCAAACACTACAACCAGCACAACTTCAAACGATCAACAACATAATCATCCTGCCAACCACCAAAAGGACTTCCTCCTTGCAGCAAATCCAGCATCCACAAAAGGCAACCACCTTTCCTGCAGCTAGCATAACTTAGATCCAGTAAATAACATAACCAATCAACATTCAAAACTAATAAATAACACACAAACGGATCAGACTCGAATTTATACCCTAAGATTCATACAGGCGACGCTTAGCAGCAGAAGGCTTCCCAGGCGCCCTTTGTGAATCTTGGTCAGCAAGCGAAAAAGGGGACAAACTTTCTGTTTGCTCATCATCCTGCCTCACATTAGGAGATCCAGTTCCAGAAGATTCCAACTTCTCAATCTTCACCTTAGCCAGAGGTGATATCAAGCTGCATTGTCAAAGACCAAAACAATAAATTCCGACTGCACTCTAACCATGACACGATAAGTTTAAAAGCAAAAAACTCACAGACTCCTTGAAGACAAAGGCGAAACTGCCGAAGATGACTTGCTGATTTTACTCTGAGGAGTTTCAGAACCCAGCCCAGCAATGGATGACAATCCATGTACTCCCTGGCTAGTAGAACTCATGACATCCATACCATCACTCAGAGTTCCAGGAGTCCCCACTGCACCCTTCACAGCACCAACTGACTGGATATTAGAGACCTTCAAAGGATCTGCAATGGTAAAAGGAGCTGCCACAACAGTCGCAACTGGACCTGTTCCTTTTCCTTTCACATCAGCAACAGAAAGCAAAGGTGCAATAGATGAAACAGGAGGCAGCAAATTTGGCGAATTCACGTCGGACACAACAGCATTCTCCTTGATTGCCAAGGGAACTTGAGATGAACTGCAAGAGCCAAATGAGCACATAAGTATTTACCATGCAACAACAGGAACAAAGCACAGGTTAATGCATCAATACCAAATCAAGTAAAACAGTCCAAATGTGTTACCTGAGAGGCAACCCTGCAACCTGGCCAATCTGGAATGTTGGATTCGTCCCTCCAGGCGACACTGAGTCAACAACCTTTTCCTTTCCCTTGGATGAGCTAGATTTGTAACAGCAAAGATTAATAATTAGTCTAACCCAAACCCATACCTAAATCCCCGTAATTAACTAACACAAACATAACGATAGAGGAAACAACGCTCACCTAGATGGTATGACAGCAGAAGCTGAAGCTGCGAAAGGTACACCTGGAGCAGGCAGCATCAACATTCCTTCCTGACCAGAATAGGATTGACTTAAGGTTTGGGATGAAGAAACACTGCATGTGACATCTGGAACTCCTGTAAGACCAAGCACTGGGCCCTGAACATCACGGGGCATAACTCGGAAAACACGGAATTAACCCGTAGATACTCCACTTGACCCAACCATCGGAAGCTTGACCTCAAACCTGACAAACTGGCCGAGCAAAGCCTCAAGTTCAGGCGGTAACTGGCTAGACCTGTGAGGATATCTCTGGGCTAGAAGTTGGGCAGATGTGAGCACCAAATTGTTCCCACACGGGCCGAAAATAATGAAAGGGGCCTCGTCAGTGGCATCATGCAGGGTCAATTGGATCTTGTAGCTATAGATGACACAGTAAAAAACAGAGACAATTCCTTCAGGAAAGGCATAGGAGTGCAAACTCAAAAAATTAGGCAAATTCTTTAAGTCCTCACAGGCACACAATTGAAATAAAAAAAACAACAACTAATGATCAGACAAAACACACACCCAACTGTCACTTGCTGCTCAGTGATCTCCCAATGGTCAGGACACCAGTAATTACCATTTCGCCACGTAGAACACTTTTTCCTGCACATGCTGCATGACATGTAATACCACGGGCTCCGGGACTCAACCGATCGGACTATACCACCGCAACGATGCTTCTCATCCTGAACATAAACATTGACAATCCCAAAAAGAAATTTAAAAACATAAATAAATAGACAACCCGAAGACCATTCTTAAATCAAGAACTACATGCGAATGCAACTCACGACAGAAGCACCGCCATGGTGCAAATCAAGAAGCTCAGCTATGGTCCTTGTTCTCCGCTCAGCATCAGCAACAGTGTCCCCTGGGGTCGCAAACTTGACTGGCAAATCAGCAACAGGAACTCTGGATCCACCAAAACTGCATAGATGGACACAAAAAAAGTCAAGGAAATTAAACACAACAAAACAAATCTAGAACAACAAAATCACAGTTTAGCAACAAAGAACCCACAAAGCAGCGAGGCTGTAAGCTTCTGGTATCCTCGGGCTAACAACTATACGGGTTCCAGAGGAGCTCGAACAGGAATATTCACCAGCTGCACAACAAAAACAAAATCAGTTCACAATTTATGATCAAGCAGAATGGAAAAGAGTTAAAACACACGCCTATCAAACGACCAACCATGAGCCCCCCAACTCCAACGATCACTGGCTCAATGGAGTCCGCCTAAATCAAAGCAGGTCGATCAAGGACTGCCGTCAGTTCATTCCAAAGCGTGATCGACACTCTCTGGCCCCTGACAGCAAAACAAAGGATCATATCTTACGTGAAGGTGACGAAACAGTATTCCCCAGTGGAAAAACAAAATAACAGAAAACCTACTGTGCATTCTCAAGGACCAGAACTTGTTTTGGAGTCGAGCCGTGATTAGTAACCTGATGATCAATCCCGCTAATAGAATGAAGACGGCCGACAACATCTGACCGAAAAAAAAACAGTAAGAAGACATAAAACCCAATCCACTTCAGTCAAGAAAACGCAACAATCACCTGCAAGGATACGATTGTCCCCTGAACGGTTAGACAGGTCACTATAAGGAACAACCTCAAAGGAATCAGTTGGAAATTCAGCTGCAGGTAGAGAACAGGCTTGGAAAATAGTCGTTGCTGACAACTCTATTATCAGATCAAATGAGCATGCACGATAGAGATTCCTTGCGGCACTGAGACCAAAAGACCTTAGAACGTAGATAACTCCCACGCGCAGCACACGCTCAAATTCAGACCCAATAGAGACATTAGCAAGGCTCTGAATGAGCATACCCTGAATTAAAAACAAATAAAGACAGTAAAGAAAGAGCAAAGAAGGGGGA